TCACCACCTTCTTCCCTCCTCCTCCTCCTCCTCCTCCTCCTCAGGCTGCTGCTGCTTTTCACTCGCTAACGCAAGATCCTCTCTTTCCGCAAAAAGCATATCAGCAGGTGTCTTGGGCTTTGTGTCGTCACTGCTAGTTCTCAAGGTTGTGCTATCAGCGGAATGAGCTCCAGACTTTGTAAGGTGTACTACCGGGGCATCGGCATCGGCATCGGTTCTGGGCGTCAAAGGTGTTGGATCATCAGTGGAAGGCGGAATGTGCGAAATCGACGTTCTTAGTGGGCGAGTATGTTCAGAACGTTGGGCTGTTGTAGACGGCTCTGCATCACTGAGATTCAACGGTTGGATAGACTCTATTCTATCTGTCATGATAGAAGGTGATGGGAGCGACTCGAATGCACCCGGGGACTCCGGCGCCGGAATAGTAGCAGGATCACGAGCTGTAGTTTGCGAAGAAAAGCAAGGATTCACCTCTTTTAAACTGAGCAAAGTTTGGGCTGCCTCAACACTAGCGTACGTAGGCGGGGGAGACAGTGGTACTGTTTTGTGGGCAGAAGCAGGCTGAGTCTCTGCTGCTTGTTTACCACGCTTACTTTTCTTTTGTTGCTCCCTCTTTTTGACCTGTCGCCTCTTTCTTTGTTGCTCATTCAGGGTTTCGGGGTTCTTCTTCTTCTTTTTCTTATTCTTCCTCTTATCCTTTCCTCTTTCTTTTTGAACAGGCACCTCGACCTTTGATGTGACGGGTGAGGCAAGAGGATGGGCAGTATCATCGCTCCTGTCGCCATTATCGTCTTTGGAATTCGGAGTCGGAACAGGCACCTCGACCTTCGGTGCGGCGGGTGAGGCAAGAAGCTTGGTGGTGTCATCGCTCCTGTTGCCCATATCGTTTATGGGATTGGAAGTCGGAACAGGCACAGTGGTGAATCTGCACATTGCGGCACCCAAGGACTGCCTGCGAGAGTGGCAAGGCGGCCGTGGGGGACACGAATCAAGACCAAGCCGCTGGTCGATATCTGCTTGGATATCCAGCAGCCTCTGTCTCTTCAACTCCTGTTCGACCGCTGTTTTCTTCGGGCGCCATATGCTGAAAAAGTCGTCCAAGGCTTCACTGACAAAGGGATCATCGAAAGGACCGAAGGAGTGTTTTCGATTGACATGGGAGTGCATGGTACTAGTTCTCCGTCCTTCGAGAGGAGGAACCGGTTCGCAGTAGAGAGCGTATGAATGCAAACCAAAGGGTATGTATGATCTACTGAGGTGATAATAATGTTGAAATCCGGGGTTTTAAAGTCTCTACGTCAAAATCCGGTTAGCAAGATAGAGCACAACAGTGAAGACACAACGACAGGCTTCCCTAGTATGAATAAATGACTGTTGAGGTTGATGTGAATAATCGCCAAGCAGAAGCAGGAAAGGATTACCTATGTATTTTTAGGATGATAATCTTGACCTGGATATTGATAATACGACTGAAGGCAGGTGCTATGGTTCCTTAAGTCAAGGCGTTTGTGGCAAGGCAACAAGTGGAAATACCACTGACACTGTCAAGAGATAAATGAGGAAGAAGAACCATACTTCGTACTTCAATGACCAAAAATAATTCTTTCTATTCTCCACACTGTAAAAAAAGGTGGGTTAAGGCTTCACTTTCACCCCAAGCCATCTATTATAACCACTATCAAAGCTCACCTTCGCATCACATTCTCTCGAAAGGCTAGAAGGCCACTCTTTAAGACACTGTGTTTCATATTTTTCACTATCTTGACAATTATATAGATTTGATCATGAATATTGAATGCTGGGGCTAATTCTGTTCCTGTTTAAAAAATAGAGGTTCCCATGCATCTGCCTTGACTTGGAATAGTAACACCTTTTACAGAATTTATGCAGTTACTTCAATGGCATGCGACAGTAACAGAAATGGCTAGCAAAACATTTGGGATCCCCTGGTTCAACGTTGGACAATCTAATGGACAGTCTCAATTCTCGCTTGTGGACAGGCAGTACTAGAGGACCTGCACCCACACGTTTGGATCTCTCGAAAAGCAGCTCAAAAAGGAATATTGGCATGATGCTCTACACCGTTGACATAAAGTATCACTGACATACTGATGACCAGTGCCTTACAGCTCTTTTAGAACCTGTTTGTAAATAATTCATATATTTGTGGCCAGATCCCAACTATTTTTAGGAAATGGTGATGCTAGTCCGAAGATATGATATGACTCGTAGGAAACTTGTGTGTCAAGGAATGGGTAAGAACATGACAAGGAAAAGGGAAGGTATCCGCTCAACGTAACGCTGTTGGTGTATCATGATGGATGCAAAACCGAGATTGCAAAGGAGAGGTATCCAACACAAAGATGCAGAAGGCTAAAGCAGAACATGAGAAATATGAGATAATACATCGTAGTCGGGGAATGAGTGGTCGCAGAAGGTGGAGATTGGAATGGCAATTTTATGAAGTGAAAGGTTAAAACATTCCTCCATCTAGAGGAATCTGTGGCGGAGGGTAGGTAGGAACAGCAGGCGGAGGGGTGTCAGCAAGGAGCTGGTGACGGGCTTTCACATTCAAGTTGCCGCCCTCGCTAGACGATTTGCGGAGTCTGGCACGAGATTTCGGGCGCTTCTCGCCATCGTCGGAAAAGTTACTGGTTTCCTCCATGGCCGAGTCGATCGATGGGGTGTATTGAGACTCATGTCTCTCTCCTTTGAGGGCTCCCAGAATGGTTTGTGTAGTGGTCTGACGACGACGTCGCGGGTTCATCGGTGGGATTGGCGGTGTCGCCATGCCATTACTGAGACTAGCGCCAGGAGGAAGGCCAACGGTGGGTACGTTGGACGTGCAAGAAACGAAGGTAGGCTCGGAGATCAGGGTTTTGTTAATCGTTCGCTTCTGAAGACCATTGTTGCCTGGTGCACGACTGAGAGCGTGATGATGTTGGTTATTGTTACTGGTAGCTGGTACCAGAGGAGAACCATTCTCGGAATTGAGATCCAAAGGGGGTGTTGCATTGGCGGAGTATGGTGCAATGGGGGACGGACGAGGAGCGGCTCCAATCAGTGATGAACTGTTTGTTGAGAAATAAGATGGCCGATCGTGGAAGCTCGAGACAGCTGAGCGGCTTCCACTACGGTGTCTGGTCGAAGCAGCGGACGAGCAGCGCTCATACATGGTAGGTTCGCTAACTTCGACTGACGGGCGGGTAGAGGAGGTGACGGACTGGATGCCGTATTGATCGTGGTCAGGATAAGCCATTGGATGGTGCCCTCCGTGTCCAACTTCCTCTAGTGTCTCCAGACCATCTCGATCCCGCCGCGAACGACTTTTTGAGCGACCCGATGCGTCAGACGTGGAGCGATCTCGGCGTGATCTAAAGCTAGAATGTGGAGAAGCACCGCGGCTGCGGCTAGACTCACGGGAGTCTTCTTGACTGCTGCGGCCAAATACAGACATTTTAGATCGAAAGGACCTCTCGCCTGCGATGTGGGGGGTGCTAGAATTAGCATGCTTCGCGAAAGGCAGTGCTGGCCTCTCTTCTTCCTCTCGCCAGGGATCATCGGAAACCAGAGCCGGGGTAGAGGCGTTGGCATAGCCAAGGCCTTTAGCACCTTTGGTGTCCTGCTTGCTGAAAAGATGCTGCTTTCCCGATTTATTCTTCAGGAAAGAGAATGCATTTCCAGGTTTACTTGGAGTGAAATCTGGAGTTTGGCGGCCGGATACAGGACTAGCTGATCTGCTCTCCACTTCCGCAAAGCCTCTCAGTTTTTCCTGCACTTTTCTTCGTCTCTCTGCCAGTTCATTGGCGAATTCTTCGCGCTCAATCTGTGTCTCAGTACTCGCTTCGCGTCTATGTCTGCAGACGAGCTCATCCTGCCACTTTGAGCTCTGGGGTGCGCCCTTCTGACCTTGCGGGGACGCGTCCGCTATGCCACTCACTTCTACAGGCTTAGCGGGAAGACCAGGGGAAGGAGGAGGGTAGATTGAGGAACGGTCGCTGTCTTGTCGAAGGTGTGCTCGTACCAAGCCACTCAAACCCAAACCCGAAGGCCCCAGTGTAGGAGAATCGGGCTTCTCTGGAAGATCCTCCTCGTCAATAGGCTTGTTCTCAACAAGATCGTGCTCCGCAATAGGCTTTAGATCACCCAAGTCAGAGTAGCGCACTTCGGGCAAAGGGCTTCGGTGTTCACTAGAGGGAGTAGAGGGCTTGGAAGGTGTTTCTGGACGCAATGCAGGGTGCAGTTCGTCAGTAGTATACATCGTATCACGCATGTGCGAAGCGCGGCCTTCTTCTTCCGAGTCACTATTACTTAGATTGGCGAAGAAAGTAGTGCCGGTGGGCTTGGGGGGAGAAGCGTTTGTGGCGGACCGGCTACCTGGACGTTGAGCCTCGCTGTAATGGGAAGATGCCGAGCCAGGCCTCGATGTGTAGCTTGCATTCGAAAACCCTCGCGCGCGTCCAGGGAGCTCAGGCAGCTTGGTTCTTGTGGGCGGCGGGAGGGGCCTGGCTAGAGGCGGCGTGCTCCTCCCTTGATGCATCTGTAGCTGGCGTTGCTTGAACTGACTTTCATCGAAGGCGGACTTAGGCTTGTTGAATAGGCCTGAGGCTGTAGCCTTACCATGATCCTCTGGCCGGAGAGCAGCCACTAATGCTCCCCCTTCTTCGCTTTCACTAAATGGGGGACTGAGCGGTGCAACACTGTAAGTTGTGCTGGCAGGACTTTTGAGTCCCTTGAGACCTATGTTCAGAGACTCCTCTGGTGATATAACCAAAGACTGTGGGCTGGTGGGCGGAATCGGGTTGGGTTCAATGGGAAGGGGTTCTGTGACTGTGACGGGGTGCATCCTGTCGCGCAGGTTTGTGGCGCTCTTGGAAAAGGCCCGATTTAGCGGCGCGTGCTCGAGAGTTCCTGCTCTTTGACGACTCAGGCTCTCTAAGCGCTGAAGGGTAGAGGCTTGCTGACTCTGTGCGCTTTGCGCCAAACCTTGCCCATATAGACGCCTAGATTTGACTGAACCACGTTCAGATGCCATGCCCGGCATCGTTGGCTTTGATGCGGGAAACTGACCCTCACTGGCTGAGGTCTGCGACGAGGGTCCCGAGAATGACTGCTCGTCTATTGACGTGGCAGCTGTCGAACTGCGAGCGTTCGCAATAGGACCGGATGCGGTGGAAGAGAGGGTAGTTCGTTTGGCGGAAGAGACTCGGGAAAGGGCGTCTTCAGTTTCGTGAGAAGAGCTATCTTGTTGTAATTCTTCTGTCATGGATTCTATGCTCTTTTTGGGATTGAGGGGTCGAAAAGTCGATGTTGTCAAGTCAGGTTCATAGAGAGCACGACTACTCATCTGCGAGCGCCCCGAGTCGGAACCACTCAATGTTGACTTCGATGAGATCTTGTACACCTTCTGCCGTCCGCCGAAAAGGTTATTGCTTTCCACTCGGCGACCTCTACTCATAATACTCTCTTTTTGTGAAGGGTCCTCATCGGTTCCACAAGAATTGTTCTCCGACACAATTGACTGGGCGCGCCCTGGAGCCATCGATCGACCATCAATTGAGACCTCGTCTATATCAGCAAGGAAACCGGGATTGTGGCCAAAGAGATTCAGTCTCGAGGCACGCTTGGGAAATAGAACGCTATCGTCGCTTGCTTTACCAATAATTGAATTCGGGTCATCCTGCTCCCTCAGCATACTGAAGCGTGCAGACAGTTTTGGCATCAAGAGACTGGTGCGAAAGTCGTCGGTTGATGGCAAAGCCGAGGAGAGATCAAAATCTGGTTTCTCTTCGGGTTCCTCTTTCTTAGACTTCCATGATAACTTGGAGCTGAGGCCTACTGGGCTGCTCTCTGTGATTTCCACGACTTCCTCCTTCACCTTCTCCTTTTTGGTCTTGCGAAATCGATTCATGGCGGGATATACGGGCGCAGCGCAGATTGATCTCAGGGATGTGCTCTTGTCGCGTCGAGAACCGAAACCAGGCCAAATTTACGTAGAAGCGGGAGACTGGGGTTTATTTCACACGTCAGACACATATGAGCTGCAGACAACATGGGGTACACTGTGCGTGATTCGATGGGGCGAGTCACCTACTACCGACTGTGGCGAGGCCGAGAGAGCGATTGAGCGTCCCCAAACACGCGATAAATATCAGGATGAACGAGTCAGACTAGATGGTTACTGTATGAATTTTCGAGTATTTCTCATTCCCTCAGAGTTAGGATGCTCCGGGGGCGTCAAAGCTCAGAATAGACTGCAGGCGGGGGCGGCGCGCAGGACTAGATCGGAGTAGTTGCCCAATGGTGGCCTTCAATGTGAAGGGTGCTGAGTTGAGAAGACGGTCGCAAAAGAGATTGAGCAGCAATGTGATGGAGGAATCCCCGGTGCAAAAGTTATTTCTTGAAGGCGATCGAGCTGGGGGCAATGGGCATCTGCATGAGACGCAGGAATGTGGCTGCACCGTGGAAAGCGGGAGCGGAGTCGGTAGGGATGCTGAAAGTCCGGGTTGATGGCGGGTGGAGGCGCCCAGAAATGAGTGCGTCGGCGATAGTAAATGGATGCAGAATTGAGTGCGGAGTGCAAAGAGAGGATAGGATGCAATTGACCTTAGATAAAACGCGCACCGAACAAGTTGTAAAGGAGTGTAGAAGTTGAAAAGGGAGTGTATGGGTGAGTGAGTAGAGAGAGTGTGTAAAGAAAAGGAATGACAGCTCAGATGGGTCAGAAAAAGAGAGGGGAGACTCGGCGGGAGGGAGAAGCAATAGAAAGACTGACTGACTGACTGACTTTCACAGAAGAAAGGATCTGGATTCGATCCGATCGAGTCACTCTTTTGCGCTCATGTCCTTTTTTTTTTTGTGTTTTCCTTTTTCTCGTTTTGTTTCTCTTACCCACTCTTAATTGTTTTATTTAATTTTTTTTTCTTTTCTGTTCTTGATTTTTAAGTGAATTTGGCACTCAAACCGACTAGAATTGCTCCTTCGTCAAAGGACCAGTCAGTCAATTCCAATGTTTATTACCGACAAGTCCAGAGCGCACTGCTGGAGTCGATCAATTATTGGGTCCCATGGAACGCGCTTTTGCGGATCGACACGAGATGCTGCCTTTTTGTTTTTCAATGCTGGCAAGAAAAAATTGTCAAGATCATGATGTCTTCTTACTTACGGATACTGTACACTCCCTTCTCTCTCTTCTGACCCTCCCTTCCAAAGGGATAATACCTATTCATGGTAACCGGGGGTGACAGCCCGTCCTGAGCATTTCGGACTTCATACCAGATACCTGAATCATAACAACTTCCAAATGTTAATAAACTGTCACGCAAACCATGGATGTGGCTTCGGGTTACCGTACGGTACCGTCGACTGGCTAAGTGGCTACAGGGCTATCAGGACCCAACCTGAATGCCCCTTGCAGACTCCACTTCGAAAGAACCACAAATCGGATGGCCCCATTTCGGGTACACTCTACCTACTACCTTACCGTCCTTACGTGCCTTACGCCGGCTGTATCTCTGTCGCGAAGCATTTGTGTGTGTGGGCGGGAGTCTTTTCCCACCCTCCACCAGCTCATTCTCAATCAACCTACAGACCAAAGTATGTCTATTGATACTAAGGCATTGGCTGGTCGCACACCACCTTGAACCGGCCTCTCCATCGTACGGAGTATATCTTACAACTATCGCACTCCCCGCATATCTAACATGGTTGCTCCAGTTGACATGGCAATGCCTGCAAGTCCTCCACTCCTCATCCATCAACTGAAATACTGCAGGGCAATTTGTGCGATTTAGACGACCGCGTCTGGCGGGATGTGGGCCGATTTGGGGCTGAAGTCTCATGTGAACTTTGAAGGCTGAAAATCCAAGCCTCAATTGCACCTTCAGAAGGGTAAAGGACAACTTTAGACCTCTTCTTCTACTGCCCCCAAACGCCTCCCGCACAAATCATTGGCAGTAGCCGCCCGCCTAGTGATGCGGGAGATACCCTCGGGAGTCCCCTTTTTCACCCTGTTGAGGCATTGTGGGAAACTATATACCGTTCTGAAGCCGCCGACTGAACTGAAATTCCGCCGCCGTTGTTCTCATAATGTGAGCTGTCTCCTGAAATCTGTTTCATGGCTTTTAGGCCCGTACTTCTAGCACAAGGCACATCGGGCGCGGTTCCGGAGATTTGGACGAGCAGGACGATCACATGGGCCATCTTCGTGTATCTCCGTACTGTTGTACGAGTAGGATCTACTCCGTATTGAATAATGGGTGAGCTTGCCAGCATAAATTGCGGTACGGACATGTGATGTAATTTATCCATCTATTTTGATCTTGGTCGTCCTCATAGACTCACACGAATGGGGATATCCAATCTCAATCAGTTGGAATGTATGACAGAGGCTGCGGTCGTCCCGCAGATATTTCAAAGCATTCATTGTGTGCACCTACTGAAGATATGATCAATTCGTACAAAGTGCTCCGCAGCTGAGATACCCCTGAGTTTGGCTGGAGGTACAGCACTTTGCAGGGATGGAAGCGACCTCGCATCGAATCCGGAGTGCAGATGCGACATGCATTAGGTCAGTAGCTTTACCCCTCTCCAAAGAAATCCCCAACATGGAGTCACTAATCGCTTTTGGGACTGCAGAACAAATCTTGTTGGGGATTTCGTGTCTCTGGATCAAGACCCAATCCTCCGTTCACGGAGCACCGCAAGCCTCCTCTAGAACCATGCTAAGTACTACATAGAATACTCCCTACCTACGCAGTATATGGATGCATGCCAGCTCGATATGTTCTGTACTCGGTTCCGCAGGGAGATCCGACGATGGGGATTCCATACGTCATCCATGTTCGTGATGGCCATGCTCATTCCACATGGCTGTCGGGTGGAGGCAGCGCGCACCTTCGTCTGAGATAATGGACAAGATGTGTGAAAAAATTTGAATATTCACTCACAACTTATTAATGAAATTGCTTTGCCCTCCATGGTCGAGTTAGTGGTGGTAACGAGCTGAATGACAGCCGTTGAACAGCCGGGACTAACCAAGGTCCGCCCGACGGAGTAGTCCCTTGGGAACAGGCGTGGTCTGTATTGTACCGTATCATTGTACCTACCATAGTCTACGGTAACTATCACAGTACCTATGTACCAGTCATTTAGTAAGATGGTGGATGCCCCTGACCTAGGCCCGAAGTGGTGGTCTTGGAGGAGCAGCTGGTGCCAACCCGTCTGGACAAATTCTCACTTAGTGAGCCTTAGCATTATTAGCATGCTTAATAATGGTTTTAGCGAGAGTTTGCTCGCAGTACTCCGGTACACAAGTGCAGTACTAAATTGAACCAGTCCAGGGACGGGAACACAGTCTTACCGGGCTGTTCTCCGCCCACTTTAGATTAATCCTGATCAAGGACGGGAGAGAGACAGGCACAGACAGGCACCGACAGGCACCGACAGGTACCAGCCAACTCCTAATGGTTGCGCTTTCCAACCCAACTCCGCTGTGGCCCGTCATCTGCCGCAATCCTGCTCAAGTTGGTGCATCATCATGAAGTCATGCACGTAGAAGCCGTGTTTGTTCAGGTTCTTTTTCTCATTATCCAGGATTCCCATAGCCAGCTCGCGGATCCAGATCAGTCCGCTGCATCTGCGATTAATTAATCCAATCTCCGAGGTCCATGAGGGGAAGAAAATGGTTGCATCGGGCTAATCCAGACTACCATCGATCCCAATAACCTTCTTCTCATTTTCGATATCGTTCCCGCATTATCCACAACCGCCTTCCTCTGCTAATAAGGTTCTTTTGAATCCACACTTGAGATTGTGCAGTGTCGCGTGTGTGGTACTACTGTGTGCTCCATGGTTCTCTCGGGCTGAAGCTTTGCGCGGGGAGAGGTCTTCCATCTAAATCTGAGGCCGGTGTTTCAGGTCGCGAGGACCAAACACGAGTCTCTGACTCTCTTCATCTCGCCTACGCTTTCACTTGAATCGCGCTCTGTGGTCTGAGCTTGCCCCGAGCCTCCGAAGAGCACAGTATTCTGGTCAACCTTTAAGACCAAATGCCAACAGGTGATGACTGCAACCGAGAAGACAGAGCCACGTGGATGAATTTGAGTTCTGGCTGATTCACAGCTGGTTCTCTAAGGTTCATCAAGGGGTTTTTGCAGGGCGATGCTGCCATGGGGACGCCCGATAAGAGACCACGGCTCCTTGCAGTGTCCGAGACACACAGTTGCTTGACTGACCGACCGACTGACTGATTGATTGAAATCTGCATTGCATTGTCAATGCTTTTCCAACCAGGGGAAGCAAAACACAGCTACTATGACGCAATCTCCAACTTCCCCTCCATGTATTACTAATCGAGCTGCCTCAACTCCATCTTACTGCTTCCCCCGCGGCATCATGAAGACTGCTGCAACCCAATTCACACCCTAAAAGTTCGACTGACAGCACGCGACTTGGCGATAGTTAGCTGCTCAATTGATCCTTCCAGCCATTCATACCCCATCATGCAAGTTCTCCTCCTGGGTGGTCACGGTAAAGTGGCCCTTCATTTGACCCCGCTTCTCCTCGCCCGCTCCTGGAACGTCACCAGCGTTATCCGCAATCCAGAACACGAGAGCGAGATCCTTGCCCTTGGTAAAGGCTCCAGAGGCAAGCTCAACGTCCTCCTCTCCAGCTTGGACGATGTGAAAAGCGAGGGGGATGCTAAGAAAGTCCTTGATGCCGTCGACCCGGACTACGTAGTTTGGTCTGCAGGTATGCACTCGCGCTTGGCTTCGGACTTTGAGTGACTACACGAGAAATCCAAGCCACATTCAAGTCACCCCAAGCCCCCACATCAATTCTTTCGATCGCTCCCAATCACATTTGCACAGAAAACAAACTCCGATCTATTTTGATAGCATACACACTAATGCCCTGCCCTTTCAACCCTCTAAAGGCGCCGGCGGCAAAGGCGGTCCTGCTCGCACCCATGCTATCGACGAAATCGCCGCCAAACACTTCCTCTCGGCCTCCTTCTCCCGTCCCCGAGTGACCAAATTCCTCCTTGTATCCTGGATCGGCAGCCGACGCAACCAGCCTACCTGGCTCTCGAACGACGACTGGTCCGCCCTCCAGAACGTGTTCACCAATGTCCTCCCCGCCTACGCCAAAGCCAAGCTCGAAGCTGACGAGTACATGACCGCGCTGGCCGCACAACGCAAAAGGCTTGTTGCCGAGGGAGCCGCGCAGCCCCTGCAGGCGATCAATCTACGACCTGGAACGTTGACCGATACCCCCGCGACGCGCAAGGTCGATCTTGGTAAGACGAGGAAAGGCGTGGACAAGGTCACCCGGGAGGACGTGGCAATCGTGGCGGATCTGCTATTGGCGCGGGACGACACAGATGGCTGGTATGACCTTCTGAATGGGGACGAGGATGTACAAGACGCCGTGGAAAGAGTGGTGAGGGAGAAGGTTGACGCGCTAGAAGGTGAGGATGTAGAGGCTATGGTGAAGAGGTTTGGCCTGTAATTGTGCTCGCCTCGCTTTGCCAGTCGTCGATATTCCGAAGGTACGCGTTAGGCAGAGTTAAACAATGAAGTTGAACTCTTTCCTCCCGATGAAAACTTGGGAAATGAACAATCATGGATGCAATACCTACAAAGATATACCCAGGACATGGGACATTCGGCACATCATGAATTATCTAAGAAATGTGTAAATATCAACGCCGAGTCTTATCTACACGATTTCAGCCCGTCACGCCAAGCTTATAAATGGAACACTGCAACAGATCATCGGAACCCGTCACTTCACAACTTCGCTTTGGGTGCTGGAGCGCCTGCACCAATGCCCTCTTCCCTCGCCTGCTTCTTCAGCAAGCGCCGCAGGATCTTTCCACTTGCACTCTTCGGAATCTCCTCCACAAAGCGCACGCCACCACGCAAGCGCTTGTGATACGCAACCTTGCCGTCCAACCACTTGATGATGTTTGTAGCTTCCTCTTCCACGGGAATCCGCGAAGCAAGACTCTTCGCGCTCCTGACCACATACGCAAGAGGCACCTCGCTCCCATGCGCCTCACTCTCCACTCCAATCACCGCCACATCGTCGACCGCCTCGTTGTCCACGAGGATCCCCTCGAGCTCTGCAGGCGCCACCTGGAAGCCCTTGTACTTGATCAACTCCTTGACGCGATCGGTGATGTAAAAGCTCCCCTTCTCGTCCTGGTAACCGACGTCACCCGTGCGGAACCATCCGTCGGGAGAGAGACAGTCCGCTGTCGCGGCGGGATTGTTGTGGTAGCCCAGGAAGACGTTCGGCCCGCGCATGTACAGCTCGCCCACCTCGCCGGCGGGGACTTCCTGCGGCTCCGAGCCGTCTTCTGGCATCGTCATATACTTGGCTTCGAGGTTCGGGAGGAGCTTACCCACCGCGCCGATGCTGGTGCGCCATTCTTCCCACGGCTGCGTGTGCGTCGTGGGGCTGGTCTCGCTGAGGCCGTAACCTTGCTTGATCCCGCACTTGATGCGCGCGTAGACGGCTTCTACCAGTTCGTGGGTTAGGGGCGCCGCGCCGGAGTTCATCATCCGGAGGCTGGAGAGGTCGTATTTGTCCACGATGGGGTGTTTTCCCAGTAGGAGAACCACCGGGGGCACCACGTAGCTGAAGGTGATGCGGTAGTTTTGTACATGGGCGCACCATTTCTCGAGGTCGAACTTCTGCATGACGACTAGGTGGAGGCCTTTGAAAAGAGTCTGATGGACGAGACAAGTGAGGCCTGTGCTTTTCTGTTAGCTAGAATGCACACTGAGGGTTCACTGCGGGGCGGGGAGGGGGGCCAAAGGGTGCGGACCGTATATGTGGAAGAAGGGTAAGAAGGCAAGGACGCGGTCGCCCCGCCCATCCACACCGTTCCAACTCAAATTGCCACCCTCGCCGGCTGCAAGTTGGAGGTTGTTCGCAATGATGTTGCGATGCGAGAGCATCACGCCTTTGGGAACCCCCGTGGTGCCGGAGGAGTAGACCAGGAACGCGAGATCCTTGGAGGGATCGATCTTTGTCTTGCGGTATCTGGCTGTGCCGGAAAGGTTGCGAATAGAGGTGAAGTGTTTGAACCTAGCCTGCGGATCGCGCTCGTCGCCAATCAAAATGATCCGTTCATGGGGAATACCGGCTTCTTTTGCCGCAGTCGTTGCGACTGGAAGCAGGTGATATTGTGTGATCAGCCCTTTTGCACCCGAGTTCTTTAGCTGAAAGGCCAATTCCTCTGCTGTGTAGGCTGGGTTGGACGGAGATACAACACCTCCCGCCCAGTGCGTCCCCCACGTTACTGCAGGGGTGTCGATGCTGTTAGGCGTGAACATAGCGAGGACTTCTCCTTTTTGCCAGTTGAGCATGGCCTTCAGACCCTGTCCGAAAGCAAGTGCGGCATCGCGGACGCCTTGGTAGGTGTAAGTTCGTTTTGTCTCCGCATCTTCGTAGATTACTAGAGTAGAAGGCGATCAGTTATGGACTGTGGAGAGAAGTTGATGCCTAGGCTAGAGTAGAATAGTAAGAGTTTATGGGCCCTCCTCTCATGGTAATCCATGTCTAACCTTTATCTGCCGGGTACTCTCGGTCTTTGCGCTCAAAGAGAAACGTCCAGATATCGACGTTCGGGATTTCTACCGACGGGTACAGTGAGGAGACGGGCATAGTGACAGTGCGGGGAAAGGGATAGGGAAAGTGTGACTTCAAGCTATCGGGAGGAGGAGAGTAGGTAACAATGCAATATAGTCGGAGGACGTCTGAGGTGTATTTATCGCAGAATTGAAGGATTGGGGGGAAGCTGAAGGGGAGAAGAAGAGGACGCCCATCATTTAAGGCAAGCGTTCGGCCCTCGGCCTGGCGGCGGACAGATAAGTGGTGCTCCGTAGAGTTGGAGACGGCGCGAATAGCCGTTGTCTCCGCATGTCCCTGCTTCGCTCCACTCTGTTTAAGCTAAATGAAATGCGCTCCAAATCCCATGAATAAACACCACAGCTCACACTAAAATAACTGTGTGGTAAGCACTGTACATACTAGTAGTTACTTTCCCTGGTATTTTGTTGAACTCCACAATTACAACTTCCTGCACATAAGTAAGTATAACTACGTATACTGTCTCCATGCTGTTGGCGGCGCCAAGCTTTACCGGTGCCCGGATCCGGGGGCTCTGAGTCAGCAAGTTGTGGGGTTGGATTGTTGGAGTCGCCGAAGCCCCTTTGGAACCTGCGGCATTGGCTTGCTTCTCCGGCACTTTGGGCCAAATCCTGGTTGCTTAGCTTGGTGTAGGCATCAAGTAGCCATGTATTTACAATATCAGGTACGGAGCAAGGACCGTACGTGTGCATTTTCCAAGTTGCTGGCATACTTCAACTTGTATACCTCTCAAACTTTTCCCCTATGCGTGCGTCAGGATATACTTCTTGACAACGAGGTGCGACACAGATTCCTGCACAAGATTAATTTACCAAGAATAAAACCGAACATGTGACATCTGGCTTGAACTTAAGATCTGTGAGATCCATCGATCAAGATTTTCGAAAGTGCTCTCACAGCAACAATGACGCGGTGGCCGTCATGAGAGACGACTGGATCAAGCTTGGTGTGACGATGGTTACATCGAGACTGTCTCATGTAGCTCGGCAGCTCGAACAAGTTGCTTGCACGGGACTTGAGTTGCTTGTTCCAAAAAGAAGAACGATGGTCACCGGCATACACTCAAAGGTGAGATAGAGGATGACCAGGACCACAAAGAGTAGTCCAGTATCTCCTGTGGTTGTGTCCAAGGCCGGAACCCCACTAGCTACACGGGAAAAGACTCACATGAATCTTGCAACAGAGAAACAACATGCTTAACCACTAGCCGAGCATTAAGAGCACTCACGGAGTACATCGAGCACAATCGCAAAGACTATAGCATGAACTCAGGATTCGGATGCAGCAAGACAGAAGCCAGAGTTGAGATTGAGCATTTCACCCACTGTGCAATGCTGTGCAACCCCTGTAAAGAAGTGTCAGCTAGAGTTATAGTGTTTCCTCAAAAAAAGTCAAAGAGAAGATAACCTGCTCCGCCCTGATACCTCGAAATTATAAAGAATTTAGTAGACAGTCCACAGCTCGAAGTAGCCTTCACAAGAGAGGAAGCCGGAGACCAGGTAGTGACCATGATATCGCCGACATTGGTGCTGTCTGAGCTATCGCAGATCAATTTACTGAGCCAGTCCATTGGACCGTCAACAGGAATTACAGCAGGCAAGCATGGAGCAGTTCAAACGGTCGAGCGGCCAGCACTTGTGTTCGGCTTAGCTCCTACGGGCCCCACCGCCAAGGTCGAGTGTACTGAGAAAATGGAACCCGTGGTAGTTGGGAATCTGTTTTTCTAGGGCTCAATTGGCTAGTTAGCCCCAGAGACTCCGGAGTAACTTGGCTCTTCATGAGTCTCTTGACCTCTTTCTTCTTCCTGTCTGCGACACGAACATTCTGGCGCAAAAAGTGTTGCCGCCTCTACCGCACTGACTCTTCACGCGATGCCTGTAGTGGCTGCCATGGATATACATTATCGGACACAATATGAGCAAAGGATATGAACTCATTGCTGGCCCTCTGAGAGCCTAGAGGTCCTTCTTTGGTGGCCGAGGGGGCCATCATCTCCTACGCGCAGCCGTGCCATGCCATCTCTGCTCGAAATTTCAGTGTTCACAGACCGCCGGCAGTGAGCGGGAGCCCTCGCTTACCCACCAATGGGAGGCACGCATTGTTGCCGTTTTGTCTATATAGCCCGCCGAGAACAGTTCTTGTTGCCTTCGGGCATTTGGTCAATTTGAAACGATACAGAGAAGATTAGCATGGCCCCTGCACTAAGGATGACACGCTCAATCAAAGAGAAGCTACCAGTTTTTTTTGTTACTTTTACAGACTTCTATTTTGAGGTGCGGGGTTTCTAGGCTACATTGCGGTCCTCATATTGGCGGGGGTTCGAACCCGGGCGCGTTCATATTCTTTTCATGGTGATGGGCTGTAACTGCCGGGCGACAACCCTCGTATATACATTGATGTAGCCGTAAATACATTCATGAAACTCCTTCTGCAGCTTCTGCAACGACAAGTCGTCATCACATCAAGCTGGTGCGACCTCCTATCTCTCGTCCACCCTCGCCAGTCGGCATCTCTCCGTTTCTCCCGAAAATGAATTCACGGTAAATGGCTTCCAAGCGCCTCCGTTCAGCATCACTCAAGGAGCTGCGCGTTGTCTTCAGCGATCGCTCCATGTGCTCCCACTGAACAATGATTTCCTCGCGCGCTTCTTCCTGTGAAGGCCCGTTAGGAGCCCACGCCGGTGCGCTGACTGCTCCTTGCTCCTGCTGTCGTTGGCGACGCCGAGCGCTCTTCATTGCTTCTAATTTCGAGGCAACAACGGCAGGCGGAGGCATTGACACCGATCCCGCGTGCTGTTCAGACGCAGAATAAAGAAATTGGATGAATGATTTGCTGGTGGAGCCGCTGGCGCCTGCGGAGGATGCTTTGGCAGTGCCATTTTTTGTTGCGTCCGTGTCGCTCGCGGAGCGATCGCCAAGAGCGTCATGAACGGCCTCGAGGTGGGCGTTGTAGACGACGGCTTGCAGGTCAGCACCCGAGAAGCCCTCAGTGCGGGAGGCAACCTCATCCAGCCGGGAGATCACATCCTCGCTCATATTGAGCTTCTTGCTCACAGCACGGATAATGTCAAGTCGGTCCGAGTAATTAGGCATATCGCAAATCAGAGACTTGTCAAGGCGACCTGGTCGCAGCAAGGCGGGATCGATCAGGTCAGGCCTGGAAGTGGCTGCCAGAACATATACCCCTGAGAGACCCTCTGCACCGTCCATCTGTGTGAGGAGCTGATTCACAACACGGTCAGTGACTCCAGTGGAGTCGTGGCCACGCTTCGGGGCAATACTGTCGAACTCGTCGAAGAAAAGAATACAAGGTCGGGCAGCCTGGGCTCGTTCGAAAAGATCCCGAACACTCTTCTCACTGGCACCAATGTATTTGTTGAGGATCTCCGGACCTTTCACACTTATGAAATTGAGACCACACTCGCCTGCGACCGCGCTGGCAAGAAGAGTCTTTCCACAACCGGGATATCCGTAAAGTAGCAGGCCCGATCTCAGACGAAGAGGGCACTGTGCGAAAATGGGCGCATACTTAGTGGGGTATTGTAAAGTCTCCAAGAGCATCTTTCGAGTCTCCGTTAAGCCACCGATGGCGGAGAATGTTGTAGTAGATGAGGTGAGCGTCACATTGCGTAGCGCGGCAGGGGTAAAACCCTTGATCGCGTTGTCGAAATCGTCCGCACCAAGGACGATCGTTTTCGACGAAGACAGGGAATTCTGAACAGATCGGATTAGAGCCTCATTACGGGCACGAGACAACAGCAAAACTAGATCCCCGGGCATGAACCCATCCGTCTTGCCAGCTAATTCCAGAAAGTCCACATTTCGTCCGAGAACAAAGCCATCCGCCCCCGCGGAACTCGGTCGACTTCCAACATTAGAAGGGTCAAGCCACGAATCGTGAGTTGAGGTACTGGCATTTCGTGCGTGACCATTAGCCTGGGGAAAGGAGTCTCTGTCCTGCATTGTGAGTTGCTCGAGCACCTTGCGCCGTCCTTCCTTATCAGGAGCCCTCAAATGTATGATTTCCCTAACAACATGACCTCCAATAATGACATTATTCAGGGACTCCTTTGATTGCGCAGTTGCCAGTAGCACCACAGAAGAATTCATCGAACAGTAGTCGCGGACCATGGAGCATATCACTTCGCTATTTTGCCGACTTCGACCATTGTCACCGCCCACCTGTAATTCCGTTTCCACAGGACACAACTTATCGAGATCGTCCAAAATCACGACCGACTGCCCTCCCAGTCGAGCACACCAAGACGCAGCCATGAAAAGACGATTCAGGGTCTCCTTGATGTTCGATATCCGAGTTTCATCTGTGACGAGCTTCCGACAGGAGAAATATTTGACATTGAACAAATAGTCTCTTCGGACGCGGTGGGCCAGAAGATGACTCAATGAGGTCTTGCCAGAACCAATGCTACCAGTGAGTAGAACGGAAGAAGACTTAGTCAAGTTGTCCAATGCTTGCGATATGACCTTGTCAATCCCGACGAGTTCAGGGACAGTGGCCGGGATAACCTCGTCGGAGGGATCAGCGGACGAGTCCGGCTCCGCTGGACGTGCTATTTCGGCTTGTACTTCAAGTGGCAGCTTGGCTTCAGAGCCGACGAGCCATCCGATTCCTGGCTTAGCAGTATCCGAGCCACCTTTCCAGGGAGGATCGAAACGAAGAATAGCACCATCAAACGAAGTGCCCGTGGTTTTGGAGTCCGCGCTTGGCACAATCATACCATCTGTCAGTGGTCCCGCTAGTAGCCCTTCATTCAATCCAGAGCCACCATATATGAGTTTGATGCGCTCAGCCAAGGAATCTCTTGCCGCCGCAGTGTCGGATCCGAATTTCAACCCATCCTTTCTCTTCGAAGCGTCAGCCATGAATGGGTACACTTTGATGGTCTTCACTGCGGCGCGCTGCAGCGGTGGAGGGGCCGCCTCCACGCGAACAATGCCGCCTACAATGCCCTCAGCGCTCAGCGTAGTACATAATAAGGAGGAGATGGCAACATGCTGAGTGTCCGGAGCGTCAATCCAGGGAATCAGTTTGGCCACTAACTTGGTTGCAGGGGTTCCGGATTCGTTCGTTCTCTGCTCTGCCTGGTCCATTTGTTGCTGAGGATCCAGCGGGGCTTTCAGACCGGATGGCCGTACGATTGAAACGCAAGCCCAGGTGGCTCCGCGAAGCTCGTTTGTCGCGAGCATCTCAGGGTCTACCCAGACACGAAACCCATCGTTCGCATCTGCCTCATCCTCCTCGTCGAAGAACTGCTCAGAAAGCTGACGGTCGATTCCTCTGAAGAAGAGTGATCCTCTGCTTGTGGGATCTAAGCGGCTGCTTTTTGGCCGCACTGTGCTTCCGCTACTTCGTCCACCCACGCTTTTCCGGCTGCTGCCCGCGATGCTCCGATTATCACCGCGAGCACTTCTGTGGACCTTTGGTCGGGTTTTTGGAGCAACGATTACTTCCGCATCTGGTGCTATTTTCGCGAAAGGCGAGGCGGTTGGGGGCGCGGGTGTCATCGAGGTGATAATAATATTCGCGGTTGAGGTCGGAGACAGATGTAGTGCAAGCGGGTGCATGTGTTCGGACTGAGTCGGAGTATGTGCAGGATTGGGTAGAGCGCGGATTTGCGATAAGAGATTAAGCTCTAAAAACGTAGCGTGGAGCTCGATGACTGTGTGATAGCGGATTCGAAGTCAGCGAGGGCATCGGATGTGATGTGAGATTGATGTAGGCCATGGAGTCTAATCATACTCTCCCAGTCTTCTGGTGTCAAAGGCTCGATATTAATGGTATGGGCTACCGGCGGATCAAGGTGAATGTATATGCCAACCTAATGGATCATTAGAACCACAAGAATCGACAAAGCTGACAGCACGTTTACCTTCTGTCCATCCGCCAGGCCGAGAACTTTGCCGAAGGTTGTATCTAACTCGACAGTAGAGATTTCCTGTTCTCTAGCAGTGGAGCTGCTGTTAATACCATCCCTCCCGACAACAGGGGCAAGCTTGCGCTTGCTGGGCATGCCCGTCCAGCCTAAGTAGCATGAGCGATGCGTGAGGTTGCTATTAGCCTTCCCAGCAGCTGGCCGGTATTGAAGCTCGACAATCACATTCTGAGCAGCCTGTGGAGCTCAGCGTCAGGTTCAAGGGTTGTATGAATAGCTCGCAGCGAGAGGAGATAGCTTACCGTGTTGGCATTGACCAGCAGTGCAACAAGCGACGGCGGGAGGTTAACCAGACAGTTCTTCAACGGCACCAGTGAGATTTCGGCAGTGGTAGAGGGCTTCCTAGGCGCCATGGTTGCGCGCTAAAGAGCAGCAGTAAGGGTTTGTGAGCGGGGAGAGGGGAGAGAGAGGAGTGAAGTTGGGATGGACATGTACAACATGGAAGTGACAAGTGCGCGACATCAACCCCGGACTCCATCGCTCATTGACTCCGCAAGCTCGCCGGTCGCCGAGGCCGGCCCGCCCTGAACAATCGGGCCGAGGCTTAATCCGCTCCGATACACGTGCTCCTCCACTAGAGCAAATTAGGACTAGCAGGTTCCGGAGAACAAAAGACACGAGAAGACGCGTCGCGACGTGTCTTTGGCTATTAAGACCGAGTTTGGTCTAGTGTTCAAGCGACGGGCCCCAGCGACGAGAGCTGCCAAGACAACCACCACAGCAACCGCCCGCCTTCTTTTCACCATCACCACCACAACGGTGCATGCGAATTTGACAAGCCACTACCTGCCTCATTGTGCCAGTTACCGAAACGATAGAACTTGGCCAGTGCCGTTGTCGCATCATGTCTCTTCTAGCCTACAATGTTCACGTCGATTATGAGGCGCAATTGGAGGGCTTCAAAGACTTCCTGAAACATTTCAAGAGCTTTGAATCGGCGTCCGAATCTGCCGCGACCGAAGCGATTGAAGATCTCAACCTTGAGGAGGATGGCACAAGCGACGAATATGATTTCATGGATGATGTCGAGGATGGCGCACAGCGGCCTGGCCGCAGACGACGAGAGCCGAAGCTCAAATATATGCAGCTGTTGCAGGATGTTGCTGACCGGGAGCGCACGAATATTCTGATTGAACTGGACGACTTGGCTACTGTAAGCGCTTAACTCAAACGCGGCAGCCGAGGCATGTCTAACGTTCGAACAGTATGAAAAATCTCTCCCTGATGATACAGACCTGCGTCTGGTAGAAAGTGTACAAAAGAACACTCACCACTATATCGAGCTTTTCTCACGAGCAATTGACAACCTCATGCCGAAGGAAAGCAGGGACATTACGTATGCCAGGCCAAAGTTGTTTGCCTTGTTGCCTCACTAATTCTTTTGCAGTTTCAAGGACGATGTGCTCGATGTGATCATGTCGCAGCGTGAAAAGCGGAATGAAGCCATGCTCATGGCGGCAGAGGCCAATGCAGACGCAGAGGCTGCCGACTCAATCTTCCCCCCTGAATTGACCCGTCGTTATACGGTCAACTTCAAGCCAGTCACGCCCTCCGGATCGAGCACTGATCGCCAATCCAAAGCTATTGCAGTGCGGAATGTGCGAGCAGAACATATTGGTAGCCTGATTACAGTCCGCGGTATAACGACCCGTGTCTCAGACGTCAAGCCTGCTGTGGAGATCAACGCTTATACTTGCGACCGCTGCGGAAGTGAAGTGTTCCAGCCAGTCACCACCAAGCAATTCCTTCCCATGACAGAATGCAAGTCGTCTGAATGCCAAACAAATCAGTCAAAGGGCCAGCTCTTTCTTTCCACACGTGCCTCGAAATTCGTTCCATTCCAAGAAGTCAAGATCCAAGAGATGGCAGATCAGGTGCCTGTGGGCCACATTCCGCGTACAATGACCGTCCACTGTCATGGAAGCCTTACTCGCCAGCTGAACCCTGGAGATGTTGTTGATATTGCGGGTATCTTTCTTCCGATCCCCTACACTGGGTTCAGGGCCATCCGTGCCGGTCTGTTGACCGATACCTACTTGGAAGCACAACATATCACGCAACACAAGAAGTCCTACCAAGACACGGCCATGGATAGTCGCACCCTTCGCAAGATTGAGCAGCATCAGAAGTCTGGCAACATGTACGAATACTTGTCGCGATCTATCGCACCGGAGATCTACGGTCATCTTGACGTCAAGAAGGCACTGCTATTGCTACTCATTGGTGGTGTGACAAAAGAGATGGGCGACGGCATGCATATTCGTGGCGACATCAACATTTGCCTGATGGGTGACCCTGGTGTTGCCAAGTCTCAATTGCTGAAATACATTGCTAAGGTTGCTCCGAGAGGTGTCTATACCACCGGTCGTGGTAGCAGTGGTGTTGGTCTTACGGCTGCGGTCATGAGAGATCCTGTAACCGACGAAATGGTCCTGGAGGGAGGAGCACTGGTCCTTGCCGACAATGGTATTTGCTGCATTGATGAGTTCGATAAGATGGACGACTCAGACCGGACTGCTATTCACGAAGTTATGGAACAACAGACTATCTCCATCTCCAAGGCAGGAATCACAACCACACTCAATGCCCGAACATCTATCCTTGCCGCAGCTAACCCGCTTTATGGCCGATACAACCCACGGGTGTCTCCCGTTGAGAACATCAATCTGCCAGCTGCACTGCTCTCTCGTTTTGATGTGATGTTCTTGATCCTTGATACCCCTTCACCGGATGCAGACGAAGAACTTGCAAACCATGTCACATATGTCCATATGCACAACAAGCACCCCGAAACTGAGGATGCAGGTGTCATGTTTACCCCCCATGAAGTCCGTCAGTACATTGCCAAGGCACGGACCTACCGGCCTGTGGTGCCATCTTCTGTCTCCGACTACATGGTTGGCGCGTACGTGAGATTGAGGAAACAGCAGAAGAAGGACGAAGACGAGCGGAAGCAATTCTCCCATGTCACCCCCCGTACCCTTTTGGGTGTTGTGCGGCTTTCGCAGGCTCTAGCTCGTTTGCGTTTTAGCGACGACGTCGTTATTGAGGATGTCGACGAGGCGCTGCGTCTGATCCAGGTCAGCAAGGACTCCTTGTCCAAGGATGGTCAATCTGGTTTGGACCAGAGTCCCAGCAGCAAGATTTATCACCTTATCCGCAGTATGTGGGAAAGTGGTGCTGCGGCAATCGGCGATGGTGAGGAGGGTGAACTCAGCATGAGACGTATTCGCGAGCGGGTGCTTGCCAAGGGCTTCACTGAGGATCAGCTCGAAATGGCTGTGGCCGAGTATGAAAACTACAATGTAAGTTCCACCTTGGGTCCTATGGTTATGGCAATGGGTATATTAATGACTATCTCTAGGTCTGGCAAGTTCTGGGTGGCGGCAGCCGTCTGCTTTTCGTCGATGCCACGGATGCTTGAGCGATGCAGCAGAAGAGGTGATACGGTTGAAACAAGTTGGGAAAGTTTTTCGGGACTCGATTCTGCTGCAATCTGCTTTTGGTTGGTCAATTCTTGCGTGTATGGGAGATATGCTGTGCTTGAGGGTTGGTGGCTAGAAACTGGATTGGTGTTTTTGGCGTACAAGACTATGTTCCGAAAATGTTGGGTTACCCATAAATAATAGTTGAGCAATCTACGATGAGGCAGCATCTGAATCACAAACTAAATTCTAGACTGATACTTCTTGCCTTGTCGCACTGTACTGATCGGCCAGCCGTAGAACTGGTCACGCCCTCGCTCAAACATGTGTTTCCTACGATCGACGACTTCCACACCTGCACAATCGCTGATGCGTAGTCATATGATGCTATATCTACCAAGGAAGGCACATTACCGACCACGCTTCTCCAACTGCACATTGTATCCAAAAACAGAGTCAAGTACCAAAACTGATTCATTCCCCATTGCCCTTACCACCTCAACTCCACCAGCTCCATTCCTGGAATAACAGGCAAATATCTACAACAATCATTTCTGAACAGCTCTCCCCAAAACATCATCACCCCCGCCCCCCACCCACCGCTGATCAAACCAGAACAGACAGCCCTTCCAACCCTCCCCGCCGAACCTAAACCGGACAAGAATTCTGAATCGGCACCTCCGAGCAGAGCTGCGGGCCGGCCCCATAGGGGTTGTTGCACAGCGTATTGCACTGGGTGAACTCAGGGACGAAGACTAGGAACTGGAAGTTGGGCATAGCAAGGCGGAACTGCTTAGTAACGTCATTATTGTTCTGCGAGGCCTTGTAGCCCGCGCGGCAGGCACAATGGAAGCGAGTGCCGGTGTTGATGCACGAGGTGGTCACGTCGCAGTTGTTCTGGCCGGAGAGCGGGTTGCAGGTCCCGCAGGTGGGAGCCGCGGGAACAGCAGGTGCAGCAGTAGGCACGCCTGTTGGGCCTGCTGTGGCGAGGAGGGCCAGAGAGGAGGTGGTGGCTAGTAGGAGGAGGGAGGGTGTATGCATAATGATGATGATGGGTTGAGATGAATATGGGAGATTAATTAATATAATGATCTGATGTACTAGGAGGAAAGGACGGAGGGATGGTGATGATATCTTTCTGAGGGTCAATGACTGCCAGGTGATGCTTTGCTGATAGTAATGATGTTTTTGAGTGCCGGATCTCTTCGAGGGAGGGGATTTATATAGGTCGGACTTTCTGATGTTGAACAAGGGTTCAATGATGGGTCCGCTGCGCCAGCGAGGAACTACGGTGGACACTGCCATGTTGATGCAAGGCATACGATAGCCATGGCATGACATCGGTAAGTCACGGATACTTTGAACTGAGCACTGTGTTGCTATTTCCGGTGTAGCTCGTATCGCTTGGAGGCTTGGTTGTTGCTTGAAGTACTGGACCTCCCCGAGCGCGAATAGCCCAGGGGGAAACGTGTTTGTCAATGCTGAAAGCGGTTCGTCTGAGACAGGATCCTATGGACGATGTCGGTTGATGGAGGCGGCAGAGGTCCGGCAACGCGGATAGCCGTCCTGAATACGAGGTTGACGACTGACAGAGATGGGGTCTTCCCTGTTCCTTTGTGCTGACACTTTTGTTCTCCAATCTCACGTAGGTTCGAGACAACACTGAATAAGTTCATGTGGGAATGCGATCCGCATCAGGTGATGCGGTATCTAAGGGCCTTGCTCAGTCTAGACAGCATTGATTCTCAATCTGATGCGGGCTATGGAGAGGGTTAGAAACCTTGTGAGTTGTTCATTACAGTAGTTAATTGCTGAGTACAAGTGCCAGAGTTAAGATGAGTATAGCCCAGGCGCAAAAAACTTCCTACTTTGATCCGGGCAGGTCTATCTCTGACAAGTTCGTGCAACTCATTACGGAATGAAGCCTCCGAAGTTCCATTAGCAGTCTAAAGAGCCTCGTCTTCAAAGACCCTTGGGTTGAGGTTCTGTCATCAACAAGGACTCGTTATGGAACTCTATCCTTGAGGTGATACCATGATACAGTAGAAGGACCAAGTCATGTTGATGGCGGTTTGACGTCGATCATCTGCACCACGAAGCCTTAGCGTCAATTCAAGTCCATTACAGACACGTTCTGAGACCAGTGTCTCAGATTATCGGAAATAAGTAGACTTCTGCTGCTTCACAACAGCATAACAGTGACAGAATGGCCCGTAATTACTGCTTTGGACCAATATCCTGGAGTCAACTAGATATGAAGATTCCCAACTAGAGATTTGCGATCTAGTGTCACAGTTCGCATGTATGCTATCTGCGAACTTGGTTTGGGGGCTTGTAGGCAGAGACGATATGCTGTTGTACGACCCCGTCCTCAGCTAAAGCAAGCACACAGCCAAGAAGAGGAAGACAGACACCATCCATTGACATGTTGAACTAAAGTTTGTGCTCCCGTGTCTCAGGCGATTAAAAAAAGTCAATCGCGCATATACCCCGGATTTGGACGGGTTATGGATTCAGCCTTGCCCCAGATACGAGCCTTGTCGCAGATGTCACTCTACTGTAACTACCAATCAGATGCGGCATGTATTTATAGACAAAAGATGTGCCAAGGGTCCATAATTCTGAGATTCATGATGTCATGACATGGCCAAACCGCTGGACGGACGACCTGCGGTCAACTATCTATACAGTCCTCTGATGAGCCTGGACGCCCTCTACAGGCGCATCTTCGACGCTTCGGGCTCGCCAATCAGCTTGAGGAAGCTCTCGTGGACCTCGTCCGTCAAGTCACTGGCCTGCATACTCCGGCCCTTGGCCAGAAAAGCCCTTCGAGAGCATTCTCGAGTAATTGAGCTACCAGCAAACGCGGCCAAAAGCAGAGTCGTGCAAGGAGACATCCGCTTGTCCTCTGACTCAAGCTCCGCTCGAATTTCTTCCTTGGTCTGCGCTTCCTTGGCATTGTCTTTCTCTCCCGAGTCCCAGAGTCCGTCATGGTAGGCTGCTCTCCAGGCTAACAGTGTACCCAAGGAGCCCGTCAGCGTATCGCCTTGTCCTCCACTGCGCTTCAAGCCTCCCTGGATATCAGAGATGATACTTGTGATGCCGTTGGAGATAACATCATGGGGACCCTTTTGGATAATGGTCACGCCACCAAGTGCGTTGGACAGCTGCTCACAGGCCTTGGTCTCCTCATTTGTTTTGTCAGCACCGTCAGCCTTAGCGTTGATCTCAGCGAGACTCGGCACATCGATCCCCAAAGCCTTGGCCAGCCGACTAAACTCGTTCACATTGGGCGTCAGAATGCATTCTTTGTAGCCACGGACTAGATCTGGATCCTCGGTGACGAGGAGTAGACCATCTGCGTCTAGGACAAAGGGAATCGAGCGGGACCGGGCTTCCTTCATCACCTCGATGACAACCTTGAGGGTGACGCCGTCGCGACCCAATCCCGGTCCGATCACCAGGCAGTGCAGCCGAGAAAGCATGGCGATGATTGGGCTAGCGAGTGATGGTGCATCGATTGTCTCAGGGTTTTTGACTGTAGCGCTGCTTGGCAGGATAGGGTGAACCATGAGGTTCGGGGAGTAGGTTTTGATGACCTAGACAAACCGACAAGGTGAGTTTTCCCCAACCTGCAAAGGTGGATTGACACGAGTGATTACTTACGGTGGCTGCTGATTTATCACAAATGACATGGCTCTTTTGTGATTGGTCAGACACATGGAATCTCATGCACGCAGTAGATGGGGTGGACTAAAGTAGCTTACCATATCACATCCTGCAGCAATATGTCAGCCTTAGAAAAGTATGAGCAGATGCAATTTTCAGAGGGTATATACCTAGTCTCGCCGATGCCATCGAGGAAAAGTACGGTGCGCCTGTGTAACTATAACCATCGACTCAATCAGCTGCAGTCCGATATCCCTGGTCCATGAGGAAACGTACTCTAAAGATCCCCCGATGACTGCAACGCGTCCATGCTGTCCTTGATGGCTTGTCAGTCAGGGATTCATGCACAACGCAAGGACTGCGAGGCTCATACCTTTGTGAAACTGCTCCAGCATGGGCGGCACCATCTTGCGCGCCTTTTTAAGCAGGACTTTGGAGGAGGTCGATACATGATGGACAGACTCCATTGCGGTGATGATCAATTGTGTTGAGTGACTCAATTACTGAGGCACACTTGATAGTGATTTTAATATATCGGGAAGCAGTTACTGTACTGTGGAATGCGTGGTGAGCTGACCGGGCTTTAAGAGACAGCGTTGGAGGGGGGAATAGAAGTGATGTCACCGCCTGCAGGTGGGGCTGATTAATGATAAGAAGAATCCGGTCCGGGAATGCGAGGGCAGTCCATTAATTTTCTTGGTCAACAATGACGATAATGCTGGTAATGGTTCGATTTCTATTGCTGTTCAGGTCTTGCAGTACAACAGCCATGCTCCCACAATTGTATAATATATATAGAATGTTGCGATAAAAATATGTGACTCGAAGGAAGACGATTCAACACTCCATCTATCGACACCACCTTGATGCTCGCTGATGCTCATCGAAACAACTCAAAAAGAAGTCAAAGACACGGGAAATCAATGAAATCAGCAACGTCAATTGTAATGCACCCTCGGGGTATTCCTCGCTGATGCTCCGTTTCCAGAAAATTCACAAAATACATAGGAAAATGATAGAGAGACAGGGTTGGTCCACGTAAGTAAGTGTAGGGATACCAAAAGCAGTTCATCTTGATTCGCCCGACGTATGGGGCTACCGCATTACCGTCGCGCAGCCAGCGCACTGAGCTTCTTGAGGCGTTCCATCTTCGCCAGTTTGGCTGCCTGTTCAGCCGCCAACTCCCGCTCATCCTCCCGTCTGGCGGCTGCGAGTGCAGCGGCTTCTTCTTCCTCCACATCATCGTAGCCAGCTTCCATATCTGAGGACCCGGAATCGTAGTCATCGTAGTCGTCAGCATAATCACCCTCGTCCTCCTCGTCAGTACCCAAGTATTCATCCATTCTGGAACGCTTCCCTCTGGTCTGAGCCTTGAGGTCGCTAGGGTTCCGTTTGGCAGGCAAGCCCGCCGTTCCCCGATACTCGGGTTGCGCAGGACGGGGCGTTGGTCTTGAAGTGCCTTTGTAGGCAAGCTCTTCCGGCTCCCGCTTCCTCACGGGCTTCGTACCACTAGCTTTGGCACTTCCAGCTGCGTTGACAGTAGCGCCGGGCTTCTTAGCCAACCGGCCATCTTTCTCTTTGGTCTGAGCTTCCACTACCCGCTTTTTTCGCTCCACCTTGCTAAGCTTCTCCTTAGCTGCAGCCTGATGCTTGAACATACCGACCTGTGTCGGTGTCTTTTCTTGTAATGCCTTAGCCTTGGCCATGAGGTCGGCATAAGAGCCTTTCGGAGGTGGTTTTGAGGACACCTGTGCTGTCCTCTGGGGGGTTGATGAACGACTGTTGGAGGCGGACGCCACGGTTGCTGTGGCGGCACTAGGACGTGCTTTACCAGCTGCAGGTATAGTGGATTTGGTAACGGCTGGCCTTATGGGCGCTGAGGGCGCTGGGGGCGCTGGTTTCATGGAGCGAGGCAGCGGCTCGTCGGCTTTGCGCTTGATTCCCTGCATAGGGGTTTTGCGTTCTGTAATTACGGGGATATTCCGTGGTCCAAGGCTGGTCTTGCGTACTTCGGTTCTGACGGTAGAGGAAGTGACAGGTGGTGATACGGTAGACGAGGTTGGGGGTATTGGAGACGGTTTGCCCGTCTCGATGGACGAGAGAACTGAGTCGAGAAACTGGAATGGTCATCAGTAAAACTCCATTAGATCTAGTAAGAGACGGGTTGTAATACACTCATGATGATAGTGGGTGAGAGTGGCGTAAGTTGAACTGAATCGTGTTGAGAATTCAGGCAGGGATGCGAACAAAGAGGGCTTCACCGTCGGTGGTTAGTATGACGGGGTAACTTCATGACTTCGTTGCGGAGCCACTTTAAAGATTCGATAGAGTTCCAAGCCGGAAGATGCCACTCTTCAAGATCTCAGGCACGACATGGGTCTCGAGAAAAGGAGCGAAATGATGCAGCCAGTGCGTACTGTGACTGCTACCGTTTAAAAGCACCACGAGGTCGTTTGGCTAAGGCCGCCGGGCAAAGATGGTGCAAGAAGTCAGTCGCCATCCTATCTTCTAGAAGCAAACGAGCCACGTGACCGTCGCATCGACCCTCGGATTTTTGACACCCAAGGCAGCAACACTGGGGGATGCGCCACAGCTGCTCGCTTAGCCGAAACTAGCACGCATACCCACGCGCCACACTCCACCAGCCGCAACGCACTTTTCTCGATTTTAGACGATCCCATTCCGACTTCTTCTTCCTTCGTCCACTCCATCGCTAACCCCCCAGCCCGACGTTTCAGTCTCCGCCCAACTTCGCGGTTAAATCGATTGATTCTCGTGTTCGGATTTATCCAAGAAATATCTGTACGTTTATATTCTGCGCGCCAATTGATTTCCTGTTGAACAACCTCAGCGCATCTTCTCGAGATTGAAAGTGTGCTAACGCAAAAACCTTTGGTCCAGATTCAAAATGAAGCACCTCGCAGCCTACCTCCTTCTGTCCCTTGCTGGCAACGCCAGCCCCTCCGCTGAGGACATCAAGTCCGTCCTCTCCTCCGTCGGTATCGATGCCGATGAGGAGCGCCTCACCAAGCTCATCTCTGAGCTCGAGGGCAAGGACCTCCAGGAGGTTAGTTTGGCGCCTTGAGATCAAAAAGGCTACACGAGGAACATGGCACTAACAACAACTATAGCTGATCGCTGAGGGTGCTACCAAGCTCGCCTCCGTTCCCTCCGGCGGTGCTGGCGGTGCTGCCGCCCCCGCTGCTGCTGGTGGCGCTGCTGCCGGCGGTGACGCCCCCGCTGAGGAGAAGGAGGAGGAGAAGGAGGAGTCCGATGAGGACATGGGCTTCGGTCTTTTCGACTAAGCGTCTCGCCTCCACCGAATATCGAGAAAAGCGTAACGGGTCGGGGAAAGGGAATCTGGCGTTTGTTTACAGTCTTGGGAGGAAATTTGCCCAATGGTCTGGCCAAGCATGGATGTGTCGGACTTGTCTGACGCAGCTACGAATCTTGCATAAGTAAGCTGAGAAAAGCTTTTAGCAGCCAATATAGATTCTCTGACCTCCCGATTTTTTGCCTTTGTCTCTCGAGATCTAAGCATAGACTAGTAATTTGCGTGTAGACTGTACGGCTTGCTACATCGCATGATAGTACCCTGAGTATTAGTAAATCTTCGAAATGCCATAATCGGCCTACTGCAAGATTGGCGCTGAAAGCAGGTCCGGCTGGGACTTTTTGAATGCAACCTCAATAATCTGATAAAGATCCGCAGCGGCTATGGCTACAGTACATGATTACATACGGAGTAGTACATAAGTTACTAAAATCTACCCCATACCAGAATCTAGGGCAATCGAAGGCGGTCGGCCCTATGATGGGTGCTAGAAATGGACTAGCGCGACTGTAGGGTCGCAACCCTAGGCTAGTCGCTTAGACGAGCCGCCAGCCCACCTCCCGACCGCAGCGTAGAGGCACAAGAGACGCCCGAGGAACGTTCATCGACACGACACGACAACCTATATTCCCTTCGCTTTTCGAGTCACGTTCGAAAAGCGACCTTGAGAGGAACACCCGCAAAAATGGCCGACGAGCACTACGTGAGTACTCCTATATCACTTCAAAAGTCTTGCCCAGTGGCAAGGGGACTAATGACTGACTTTTCACTTGCAGAACGCCGAGGAGGCTGCCGGTACGTTCAACTCGAAATAACCCATTCACCCCCTTTCTTTCCTTATCCCGAGTCGAATCCGATATAAAAACACACCTTGGATATGCAAATGGAGCGGACATGCGACGAATATGGATATGAAGATTGGTGGTGGATCCGATTTGATGGGCGGACGATCAGGATTGGCATTTTTCGGGCACCACATGAGGAATACGACGCAAAGTGAAATAGACCAGGCCGCTGACGTCTAATCTCACGAACAGAGATCAAGAAGAAGAGACAGTTCCGCAAGTTCTCCTACCGCGGTATTGACCTCGACCAGTATGTGCCACTGAATGAAAGAATCCTATCGATCCCTCCTGGGCCTGCGATTTGAACCGAGTGATACACGCGCTTTCATCTACACGACTTCTCTGCGACATACTCGGTTACGATGCGAAGGCTCAGGATGTTGGATTCGACCTACAGATTGCAGGATGGAATCTGACTTCGATTACCTCATAGGCTCCTCGACCTCTCCTCCGAGCAGCTCCGTGATGTCGTTCACGCTCGTGCCCGCAGACGCTTCAACCGCGGTCTGAAGCGCAAGCCCATGGGCCTCATCAAGAAGCTCCGCAAGGCCAAGCAGGAGGCCAAGCCCAACGAGAAGCCCGACCTCGTCAAGACCCACCTCCGTGACATGATCATCGTCCCCGAGATGATCGGCTCCGTCGTCGGTATCTACTCCGGTAAGGAGTTCAACCAGATCGAGGTCAAGCCCGAGATGGTTGGTCACTACCTCGGTGAATTCTCCATCACATAGTACGTACCTCCTACATCTTCTCTCCGCGTCATCGCGCGTCTAACAACCGCACAGCAAGCCCGTCAAGCACGGTCGTCCCGGTATCGGTGCCACCCACTCTTCCCGTTTCATTCCCCTCAAGTAAAGAAGAAAAGCTTTTCTGGGGAGTTGTGTGGAGGAATTGGGCGTACGGAAGTGCTGGGAGAATCTACGAAAAAATGGATGGATACCATATGCATTTCTCTGGGTTCATCTAGTTGTATGTCAAATGCGGGTCAGCTGTTTGCATCTCAATATAAAGGTCTTGTCGGCATGAGAACGAACCAAAACCGGGGAGTCTTCGGATTCTCGATGACGGAGATGTCCCAGGCCTCAGCCTGCCCGGGTTGAGGCCGCAGACTTTTGTCTTTATATTCCCGAGCGAAAGTCTAATTTAACGAATTCACCTTCAAATTCTTTGCTTTCATGTAAAACTCGCTTTCTATTTATCGATACCCCTGCCTCTGCCTTGTCGCCACCGTCAGATGGGCCAGTATTTTTTAGACACTCTTAATCTTGCGCCAAGCGACGTGCAAACTGCACCACCTAATACTCGACCCTCTTATCCTCCCGTTTCCCCAGCCTACTCAATCCTCCTCGCATCAACCGTCCACTCCACCAATTTACCAACCTTGCCCCACTCCCCGTTGATTTCTCTCTCCATCCGCCTCGGATCCAACCCCCCTGCCACAAATTCCGTGGTTACTTGCCCGAAAAGGGCCTTCACCAACCTCTGAAAAGCCGGGACATTACAACTCTTATCCTCTAGACTGACCAACCTCTGCAACACCTCCCAGAGGATCAAACTAAAATTCACCTCGTACCGCTCCAGCTCCAGCTCATCCTCTCCCCCATGCGCCACCTCAATCCCCTGCGACAGCAGCACCGCCAACTTGGCCAGCGCCCAGGCATGAACCTGACGGATCGGATGGATCTCCTGCGGATACACGACGGGGTCGATGCGGAGATACCGCACCGCGGCGTGCGCGAAGGCCGCTTTGTATCTTTGGAGGGTGAGCAGGGTAGCGATCAGTTCGTCGCGGAGAGAGACGTAGGGTTGCCTCGTAATTTGTGTTTCTGGTAGGCCGCCCAGCAGGAGGGAAATTTCGGCTGCGAGGGAGTGAGGATCGGTGGAGTCTGGACTGCGGGAGAGGAGGGCGTAGGCATTGGCCTCAGTTGCTTCTACTGCTGCTACTGCTGCTGCTGTTGCTGTTGCTGCCTCCCCCTGCCCCTCCTTCCCTTCCTTCTCCTCCGTCTCGCATTTCGTGCACCGACAGCGGAAGTAGTACCGTTCTTGGAGCTCCTTCTGCCGCAGCCATCGCGGGTTAGTGGTGTCGACGTAAGAGATGAAGATCTGTTCACCCTCGGCGATGGGCCGGATGGCTTTGACGAACAGCTCGTCGCCGTCGAATCCCACGACGGCGTTGTAGTCGCAGCTGTGGTTCATGAGGGCTGCGTAGGGGTGGAGGTAGAGTCCTACGCGGTCGTACATTGCATTGGTGAGGTTGAAGGCATTCAGCTCGAGCTTGTGTCACCGAATCAGCTTTAGGTACTACTTTGATTTTCATGTTTCTAGATTGTAGTGCTTAAGCGAGCAAGAGGAGCTGGGGGGAGGCGAGAGAGAGAGAGAGAGAGAGAGAGAGAGAGAGAGAGAGTAATAAAGAAAGTCAAGATGTACCTTGGCACCATATGCAGAGATCGTTTCTTCTTTCATCTCCGTCTCAGAGTAGGCCTTGACTGCCTTGGAGGACATGGAGATCCGCTCCCACTGAACGGGATTCTCCTCCCGTATATCTTTGATATGCGTCTCTAATTGGAGAAACATGTCTACATCCTTGGAGGTGTACTTCTGTCGACCTGTGCGCAACACCATGCGGAGGATCGCTCGGGCGTTGATCGGGAGGATCCGAGGACTGAGCTTCTGGAAGATGGAGCATTCGAGCGAATGGGCGAACTTCCAGTCTTTGGCTTGACATATCTGGATTCCCGAGCTCAGTACAAAGTGTTTTTGATTCCCTCTCAGCGATACAATACGGGAGGGTTTCAGGAGGGAACTGACCTTGTCGCAGTACTTCACGACCTGGCATCCGGTGCAGCCTCTCAATCGTCGGTCTTCATCATCGAGCTGTCTTCTTCCGAAGCAGCCAGAGCATATTTGCCCCAGCTGATGGGTGTCTAAAACTGCCACGAACGGCGTAGAGACATGTAAGACGTCTGCTCCAGCGGCGACGTTGGTCGTCGCGAAAAGACCTCTCCCTAAACCATCGGGGGCGGCTAATGGCGTGGTTCTTATGGGGATTGTATGAGGGAAAAGCGACATCTTCGCTGAAGGTGACGGTGGGTTTGACGAGAATCCGATAAGCCTTGGCTGATTGTTTTCCTGTTTTGGTTGCTTTCCTCAGTCCGGAGTTTATGCCCGAGGATGTTGTCAAGACTTGGGTCGAATAGAAGCTTACCGTTCGCTTGATCAGATCCACTCTGGTTTCTACTACAGCCTCCGAGCAAACCAGCACGATCTTACCTGACTTTCAGGACGCAAACTTCGATCAAGCAAATTCTCGTGATCTCTCCAGCTTAGTCATTTGGTTTCTTTAAGTTAGCTACCACATGTGTACGCTTTAACAATTTTTATAGAGGAACCAAGGCAGATTTGAGGGGAGATCTATAGCTCGAATCATAACTAGAAGTACAATTTGAGTGAGCTGACTCACTATTCCTTTCGCCTTGGCACATGGCCATCCTACATGGACTATGAACAGTCAAAGCATGGGCAACACTGGAACTTATCCACAAAATCCTAAAGGTAACAAAATATCAGAGTACATGAACGTATTCATCGTATCGTCTTGTCCAAGACGAAGCAGAATCCCCCATACCAGGGCCAGTAAAACATCATATCTATCAACATGGAGCCTTATCCGCTACGCCAAACACGGCGGCTTTGACGGTGCCTGGTTTAGCACAAATCCAAAGCCGCAATTATATCTATAAAAGAAAACTTTTTGTGTCCCTTTTCCCTGCTTGTAAACCTCCGCTTACAGAAGCTTACCGCCAACAAAGTCGGACCAGGTGCGGACCTCGGAAGGAATGCCTTCCTGACGGGGCAGTTTCTGGCTCATAGCCTGGGCGAAGAGCAGAGCAGTCTGTATCGACCGGTTAGAGACCTGTTCCACAGCACGATAGGAGAAGAAATTACGTACCTTAGTCTCCATAAACAAGGGGACACCGAAGTCGACAGCATTACGTCTCATAACATAGTCTTCGTCAAGAAGAGTCTTACCACGGCTCTTAGCAAGGTTGAAAGTACCACGGATGTTGTACTTCTGGAAGACCTCACGGAGAGCACGCTTGTCCTCCTTGGGGAATTCGATCACCTGAACGGAGACACCAGCAATCGACTCGAGGTGGCTCTTGACGGTCTCGCTAGCAGCGAAGAAGTTGAAGCCCAGGGGCTGAAGGTACTCCACAATCTGAGACAGAGCAGGGTTGTTGATGTCGCCACCGAGCAGGATACCCTCACCGGGCTCAGGCACACGGAAGTTCATGGTCGACTGAAGAGAAGCCCAGTAGGCTTCGACAACGTCCTTACCGAAGCAGGCAATCTCACCAGTACTGGCCATTTCAACGCCCAGGAAGGGGTCGGCACCAGCCAGACGAGTCCAGCTGAACTGAGGAACCTTGGTAGCGAGGTAAGGGCGCTTGACGCTCATGAGATCGACGGGCTCGGGAACGTCACGTCCAACAAGAGCCTTGGTAGCAACGTCGATGAAGTTGGTTCCCAGCACCTTACTGGCGAAGGGGAATGAGCGAGAAGCACGGAGGTTACACTCAATGACCTTCAACTCAGGCTGGGCTCCCTCAACATCGGCCTTGATAATTTGCATGTTGAAGGGACCAGTAATGTTCCAAGCCTTGGCAACCTTCTCAGCAATCTCCTTGACGCGACCCATGACAGACTCATCAAGGTCGGCAGGGGGGAGGACAAGGGTGGCATCACCGGAGTGAACACCAGCGGGCTCGACGTGCTCACTCACGGCGTGCAGCAGAAGCTTGCCGTTGGAAGCAACAGCGTCAACGTCGATCTCCTGAGCTCCTTCAATGAACTTGGTGATGACAACAGGGTGGTCAGGCGAGACCGCACTGGCATTGAGGAGCTTCTCCTTGAGTTCGTCAACACTGTAGATAACGTTCATGGCAGCACCGGACAGGACGTAACTGGGGCGGACCAAGACGGGGTATCCAACGGATTCAGCGAAGCGCTCAGCATCAGCGACGGAAGTGAGCTCCTTCCAGGCAGGCTGATCAACACCGATGCTGTCTAGAATCTGGGAAAACTTGTGTCTGTCCTCAGCACGGTCAATATCCTTGGGATCAGTACCAAGGACGTGAGCACCACCTGTCTCCTGCAGACGGAGAGCAATGTTCTGAGGAAGCTGACCACCGACAGAAACAACAACACCACTGGCGCTCTCGAGCTCGTAAATATCCATAACACGCTCGTAGCTGAGTTCCTCGAAGTAGAGCTTGTCAGCGGTATCGAAGTCAGTAGAGTATGTCTCGGGGTTGTAGTTGATCATAACAGTCTTCTTGCCCATGTTGCGCAGGGAGAGAGTGGCGTTAACCGCACACCAGTCGAACTCGACAGAGCTTCCAATACGGTAAACACCGCTGCCCAAGATGATGATTCCGTGATCATCAAAGGTGACATCGTGGGAAGTGGCGTTGTAGGTGGTGTAGAGGTAGTTGGTATCAGCAGGGAACTCAGCGGCAAGAGTGTCGATCTTCTTGACCCAGGGTCTGATACCGAACGACTTACGGCGAGCACGGACATCATCCTCAGAAGCACCAACAAGGAGAGCAATCTGCTTGTCAGAGAATCCGAGCTTCTTGGCCTTCAAGAGAACCTCCTTCTGCAGACCGAAAAGGCTGCCAATCTCCTTGAGTTCATTGTTGCAGTCAACAATGTTCTGGAGCTTGTAGAGGAACCACTTGTCAATCTTGGTCAGCTCGTGGACACGGTCCACGGTGTAGTTCTCGTGCAACATAGCCTGACCAACAGCCAACCAGCGGCGGTCGGTAGGGTTCGCCAGAGCATCGTCCAGGTTCTCGAACTTGTCACCCTGGAAACCGATGAAGCGAGGGTCAACCTGGCGAATAGCCTTCTGGAAAGATTCCTCGAAGGTACGACCAATAGCCATGACCTCACCCACGGACTTCATAGCACTACCAATATCTCTCTTGACGTGCTGGAACTTGCTCAAATCCCACCGGGGGATCTTGGTAACAATATAATCGAGGCTGGGTTCGAAGTTGGCAGTGGTAGTCTTGGTGACAGCGTTGGGAAGTTCGGGAAGGGTGTGGCCAAGACCGATCTTCGCAGCGGTGTAGGCAAGAGGATAACCGGTAGCCTTGGAGGCCAGAGCAGATGAACGAGAGAGACGAGCGTTGACCTCAATAACACGGTAGTCCAGACCATCGGGCTGCAGAGCGTACTGAACGTTACATTCACCCACGACACCCAAGTGGCGCACGATCTTGATAGCAGCAGTGCGGAGCATGTGGTACTCCTCATCAGATAGGGTCTGACTGGGGGCAACAACAATACTGTCACCCGTATGGATTCCAAGGGGATCGAAGTTCTCCATGTTACACACAGTGATGCAGTTGTTGGCAGCATCGCGAACAACTTCATACTCGACTTCCTTCCAGCCACGAAGGGACTTCTCAACGAGAATCTGAGGAGAAAGGGTCAAAGAACGGGAAGACAAGTTCTTCAGTTCCTCAGGGTTGGCGGCGAAACCGGAACCGAGACCACCCAAAGCGTATGCGGAACGAACGATGATAGGATATCCAACTTGCTCAGCAGCCTTCAGAGCCTCGTCAACGGTGCTGACGGCAATGGACTCGGCGATGGGAATGTTGATCTCGTTCAGAGCCTTGGAGAAAAGGTCACGGTCCTCGCTAGTTTCCAAGGTCTTGATGCTGGTTCCAAGAACTCTGACACCGTAGCGCTCGAAGATACCCATACGGTTCATTTGGACACCCAGGTTCAGGGCAGTCTGACCACCGAAAGAAAGGAAGATACCATCAGGTCTCTCCCTCTCAATAACGTAGGTCACATATTCCGGGGTGACCGGAAGGTAGTAGACTTCATCGGCAAGCTTGTGATCCGTCTGAATCGTGGCAATGTTGGGGTTAATCAGAACCGATTGCACGCCGGCTTCCTTGAGAGCCTTCAGAGCTTGGGAACCTGAGAGTCGCAAGATCAAGTATTAGTCACATCATTCAGCATGAAAAGTCTGCAACGACCATTGGATGGTCAAGCGGCTCATTTAGGCTTCAAGCAGGACAGTTAAACAACCAAGAGGGTCCACTGCTCGATAAACGTACCGGAATAATCGAACTCTCCAGCCTGGCCGATGCTCAGACCACCACTACCAATGACCAAGACCTTCTTGACATCGACCAGGTTGCTGCCCGGCTTCACAACTCCACTGGCCAGATAGCTCTCAGCGGAGGGAGCATTCGAGGACTCCGAAGCCAGGCGACGAAGGGCACTAGAGAAAGACCGCAGCTGCTGCGGTCGCCACGGAGAAGGCGCCTTTGCCAATCTGAGACTCGAAGCCGTCGAGTGAGCCGTGGTCTGGGAGGAGAATGGGCGCAGAGCGAGGGCCGAACGACGGGTCTCAGTCAGGCATCGCTGACGCAGAAGGGCGGACGTAGCCTGCCCGCAACGAGCGGCGAAAACCATTGCGCGCTGCGCTGATGGAAACGAGAATTAGGATAGGAGGAGGAGGGTGTAACGAAGGCTGCGCGATGAGTCAATTGAGAGGGATACTCTCAATTGCTGGTCTATAGGTTCCGGACAAGACAAACCTGGAGACTCCGCTTTTTTTAGCCGGCACACCTTTGGGGTTGAGTGGTAGTGTCCCGCTTTCTGCCACACGCCCAAGTCACAAGGGGAGGACTCAAAAGGGAGGATAGATATTCCCGACAGGAGTGTCTAGGGAGGGATGGAATTGAGGAGACAAAGAAACAAAGAGGAGAAAAGAAGGTTGAAGCGGAAGGAGACGAAAGAAAAAGGCTCAGTCGGGGACAGCGATGAGTCAATGCGGCACCTGTCCTCTCAAGGAGGGAGTCATGAACCAGCACCAATTGCAGAGAGGTTTCCGAATGAGTCGACCATAATTCCCGAAATCACAAAAACTCCCCCAACATTCAGGGCCGATAAGAGCTCCGGTGTGCGGAGCCCTCTTTTTTTTCTCTCATTCTGTGTTAAGAGGCAAGGAAAAAAGCCACTGGAACGCTGGCCGATCTCGCCTTCTAAGTGGCTAATGACCTCACCGCTTCCATCACACACCAATCAACGATAGCGAGGGTCGGCAAGAGGGAGTACGGGGAGGTGCAACACCAGCGATGGTCGATGGGTCTTGACTCCATTAGTGCCATAGTCTAAGTGCCCACTAAAGAGTCACTAGTAGCCGGAGACTGCCCAGACTGGAGCACAGGAGTCTGCGGTTAGCAATACCGATCACTAATGACCTGCTGTGCTGATAATGTTGCCCAGGGGTTAGTTACACTTCTGGATCTCAATCCCTGGCAAGACGACTCAATGGTTCGCAGTCATTGGAGCAAGCGTCGTTTCCTATAGGATAATCATTATTCAATCACTATTAGACATCACTTAGTCTACTTGTCCTACAGCCGCCAAATCGACTAAACCCTCAGCCGCGCGTTAGGCGTAAATCCTGCCAGGAAGTTTTATAAGTCTAGTGGACTGTGACTACAACTCTAGTAAGCGTAGCTGCTCTAGCAGATCAATGCTCTTCTGGTATCCGCTTGCCGGCTGGGGCTCGCTTGCACGCTAAAAAAAAAAAAAAAAGAAGTAATTGCCAAGGAACGAGGTTGCAGCACCGGAATTCGGAGGATAACCACGTCTCGGGGTCAAACTTTCATATACTCACGTTCCAGCCTCCTATAATTCCGTCTAAGTGACATTCACATTTTGAGAGCTTTGACCATTCGAGCTGCGATTTCTTGCTTGTTGAATTGGCTTAACTAAGATATGACGATCGCTCCTCAATGCCTATGGTGCCGTTGAGATTAGCCCACGGACCTGTGGGTTGTACTTCACGCCGCTCTAATTTAGATCGAGATCTAGTCATTCGTACTCCCGTTGTCTGACTTCCCTCTGAACCATTTCCATCAGTACTCTCAACGTCTTGATTGAGCGTACGACAAACCGCCTCTAGAGCCTGTCTTGCATCCTGAATCGTCTCATTTCCTTCTGCCAACTTCTGTTCTACATACTCGTGCACGTTCATTCCGGCTTCGTCGGATGCAAATGCCCATGCTTCGGCAAGAGCAATTATCTCGTCTTTTTTTAGAGCTTCGGGACCATTAACAACCTGCCGGAAGGATGCAGGAGCCGCTGCGCGATTTGATCGCCGTTGATCGGGAATCGGGAATTCGGGAAGAAGATGACTTTCGTCTCTCAAGCGATTGAGCATGCGGAGGGTGTTGGTTTTCTCCTTCTCAAGCAGGCCTGACAAGTAGAACTTCTGTAAGGAAACCGCGCGTTGGCCTTTGGACAACGGTAAGAGGTTTGTTTCCGTATAAGAAAGTACCTCCATTGGACTCAAAGACCGCGGCGCTGGTGCCACATCTTTCTTCGGGATGATACTCGTAGGGCGAGTTGAGGGGGGTACAGGAGGTACTGCAATGGGTTGACATGCCCTGGAAGCTGCGTCTAAAGCAGCCTTGCGGGCTTCAATGTACTCGGCATATTGCTGTGCTACCTCCGCTCGCTGCTCCTCACATAGGCGTGCAGATTCCTCGAGGTCTTCGGGGGCCAGATCCAGCCTGGATCCACTTTCTTCATGGCTGCCAGCACTGACCAATTTCTCCTCCACCCAATGAACCAGTTCATCACGCGTTCGTTGCAGGGCGAGTACTTTGGTAGCGGGCGTGATGTTGCTGGGCAGAGAATCCTCGTCAAGGTTTCTTTGTGCCTTCAATTCTTCCAATAGCTCTTTTTCCCTGTCGAACTGGGTCTTCGCTCGTATCACTGCCTTCTCCAATTTGTGCATCAATTCCTCAACATTTTCCCCTGTGTTGGACGATAATTGACTTTCGTCGTCCAGCAACTCTGGCGGTACTACCAATTCAAGTCTTTTGACGCTGTCCTCAAAGTTCTCAGCTCTTCTTCTATTTCGTTCCTTGAGCTCCTGTAGATAGCGTTGGAATACTTGGAGTTTCGCATTTCGGCGACGTTCACGTAGGAGATTGATGTATTCACCCAAGTCCCGAGAAGGGTTGCATTGAGGCACTTCGACCGCTTTCTGTCGTCGTTGCGACCTGCATGCTTTCTGCTTCTCTATAGCTGACTGATACTCCCTTCTCGCAGCGATGTTGGCTTGCAAAGCCTCCAGGTATTCTCTCCGCAGTCCAGTCACCTCGGGTGGGATGCGCTCCACACCAGAGACTGCCTCGCCAGGCACAGATAGAGTCAGGTGTGACTTGGCATAGAGCTCGGGATTCTCAGGGTCGTTCTCAGCGAAGATGATGTGCGAACGGACATAAGCAGTCAAGGCTTGGCGGATACGGAAGGCCTCCTCGCGACTTTTGAGGTAAGGAGCGAGCGGTTCGGCGAATGCGGGAATAGGTGTACTCGAAGACGACGTCGTGCAAGGGTTGTCCATTGAGCTCAGACAATCAAAAGAAGGTGGGAAAGAGGTGGAAAGCACTAATGCTAGTGGTAGTCGCTGAGCTGTCCTGGGGTTTGTTTGTGGAGTGCTGGAACCGAGGAATCGGGGACGCACTGATGGAGCTGTGCCCGCTTTTTGTATTCGGCCCGATACAGTGCCGCAGGCCCGCCCTCTCTCATTCGCAGGTACGGGACAGCCTAATGAGCCCATGCTCTTCATAGATTGAAGCGTGGCCCTGGCGGCCCCGCATCATAAACATCATTCATTCATACGAATAGCAGGGAGTCTTTGCAGTTGATACAGCTAGTAGCAAGTCCACCGATGATCTTATGGGTTCTACGATCCGACCGCTGAGACAGGAAAGGCTGCGAATTCATATCCTGGATGCCCATAACATAGTTCATACCTCAACAAGGCCGACAACTGTAGAGATCATATCATTTCGTCGCAGTTGTGCTGCGACTACGGTCAGACGGAGAGAGGAGGGAGTTGGAAAATTGAGGGATGGAAACGAGGGGAAAGAGGTTTATACTTTCTCCTGGCCGATGTCTTCTCTCCGTCTCCTGCTAGCGGGGCTACTCAGTCACCGTATGCATATTGACATAATCGACTAAACGACTCAATATATATCGGCATGCACAAGGAAGCTCTATTCCATGAATGAGGATTCGGAAAGTCGTTACCGTCCTAGCCATACTACTCCGTAGTTACTCGAAGTGTCTCTCTCTATTAATGGTACTCGCATAACGAGGCGGTGGGAAAAATGTGGTGTGTATATTAGTTCGCCAAACGCGCTTGCGACTAGTTCCACAGAAACTCTACTCGGTCCTAATCTAGTCTAGTCGTGTTCGTGCGATGGGAATATGTCGATATCGTCATAATACTAGCAGCGAGATGGGTGCTGCGACAGCACAGTGCCACAGACTGGGTGCCTTAAGTGGGCCTTGACGCTTCTGGCTCGATCCAGGCATGCATGTCGGGGTGGGTGGGAGGCGGGAGTCGTACGGACAGTGAATGCGAATTATCCAGGGCCCATCATATTTGTTTAAGGGAACCGTCTCAAGAAACGTGTTGTACAGCACTATTATGACCAACTAACTCAGTGCATGAAATGATCAATTTGGAAGACGGTCGATGAGAGAATAGGCTTGTGTGGTGCATTGCGTGGACACCGGGCCAAGTTCGATGACCATTGGGTGTTGATAGAGGTTGATCCATGTCCATGCAATCGCCGCGACCCGGCTTTCATGTACAGTACCTTTTTCCAAGTGTTTGTTGAACAACACAGGTACTGTATTTTCGGAGAGATGTCGAACGAAGGATCGGAAGAGTTGTTGATGGGACCGTTCCGATAACCAATCAAGCAGCATGAGACAGGTTCCATGCAATCCAAGTCGTCTCATCCACATCAGCCAAAGGATTTCTGGTCGCAACTCAATGGTGCCAGGTCCGGGGATGTGGAATGTTTCAAAGGTCCAATCAAGGGGCTTCTACCCTGCAGGTTGGCACTTCTGGTCAAAGCAACCTAAACAAGTCAATCGTTGTCCGCCGCTAAGTTACCAAGGAAAATAAACATATTTACTTCTCTCAAGGAACGGATAAGACTGTCTCCTCGTCGCACTCTTCACCAAGCATATTCACCTAATTCATCCCGGATTGCTTCCACTTTTCTTTCCCATCTACCTACTTTTGACATGCTCACCGCCGAGCTTCCTTTTATCTAGCTGAATAGACCTCAATTTGACCTAACCAGATAATGACTTCAGAGTTGGGCTCTGTCTCCGTAACCACGCCCAGATCCCGGCCCCGTGCTGCAACAGCAGTGCAACCAGTTCCCACCTTTTCCTCACCACTTTCTTCCCGACGCTCCTCACAAGCTATGACATCTCTTGCATTGTCCCCGATTCTCAATCCCTCCGCCGCCAGTATGATGCCAAGCGCCGGTGATCAGGAAACCTCACAGGCAGCTGCAGTATCTGGTGAGTCGTGTTACAAGGACAAAGGAATTGGCTGTCCAGAACTCCGAACTGACCATGATGCCAGGTCCGCTGCGTCATCCAAAGCCACTTACCCCATCTGATATCCATTCGATGCTGGAACAGGAGCAAGAAGCTATGGTAAGATGCGGTGCATCTTCCCAAACTCACTGGAACTGACCACGCCTGTCACTATAGGTCAACCGCTTATCGAGAGAACTATCCCTTCTTCGCCAGCAGACAGCATCGGTCGCATCTACAACATCTTCTACATCAACTACGTTGAACGATCCTATGGATTCCCTTCACAATTCCCAATATTCCATCAATCCCACGGTTCCGACGACCTCGCGAAGACATCGCTCCTCTTCCAGCCTAAGTTCTTCATATATCCCAGCTGTTCAAGGGTCACGAACAGGAAGTGGGTTTGGAATCGCACCGTCAAGAGAGACGCAGCTACCACAGACACGTACTGACTCAGCGCGCTCCGGAAGGAGTCGAGAGCCATCGCTCACTTCTCGACAATCTGACACAGCATCGTCGCAGCTTCACATTCCGGCATCCGATCAGCTTTCACCCTCTCTCGGAAGTTATCCTCATCGCAATTCGCTGCCTCAGCAGAGAAGTCCTGTTATTCCACCATCTCGTCATGAAGAGCTTCATGCCCAGCGAGAAGAAGTAGACTTGCTGAAGCGAGAGAACGAGACACTGCGTCGCCGCGTACAGGAACTGGAACATATTTTACGAAATTGTCGAGAACAGGAGCGTGCTAAAGCAGACCAATCAAGCCAAGGTGCAGTGCGTATCGATGGAGCAGAGGAAAAAGCGGGACCAGATATTGTTGAAGACTGAAAACCGAAGCAAAGCGCTGAGTTGAATTGCTAGGAACAAAGGTTTTTTCGTTGGTCGGGCGAGGTGCTAGATCATGAAAGTGATCTGCTAGACTGCTGTTCTCGAGGCGTACGAAGTTTTCGGTGCCTGGATTTCCAGATTCTTCCCCCCTTTTCCATCTGTTTGGTGTACTCGTAGGTTGGTGCCGGAAGTGGCTATCACTAATACGAGAATGCTACTGCCTGACGGGTCACTGTTTATTTCACATGCTCCAAATTTGGTCGACGCAACTCCACCGTGGCTGTGCGGGGTCTGCCCCTCGCGCGACGTCATTTGTGGCGTAGTGTAAAGCCGCTCCTCCCCTCAAATAAATAACCACCAGCTCCTCCATTCTCTCTCCTTCCCAGTTTCCCATCTTCATACTACTGCAGTGACTTACTTCTTCTTGATACCTATCAACGTTTCAATCGATCAAGTACTCTTCAATTTTACATCACCTCAATCATATTCACAATGTCTGAGCGCTCTACTGTTCACGTTGAGGGCATCGCGCCCGCTACCACCGATAAGGAGGTCCAGGATTTCTTTAGCTTCTGGTCAGTAATGCAGGCATACCAGACCCTTGCATGAGACATGCAGCTGACAACATTGCAGTGGAAAAATCACTTCTATTTCCGTCACCCCCGTGTCTGGTGAGGCCGATGCTCAGAAGTCGGCCACTGTGACCTTTGAGAAGGAAGCGTAAGCCTTGCCCCGCACCCGCTCCCCATCCCGCCCACGGCTCAAATTGCACCATCCTTTAGCTTAGCTTAGCTAGCTCCTCCCCCTAACCCACCTCCCACCACCCCTCCCGCATGACATAACTAATCCGTCATCTAGTGCCGCAAAGACTGCCCTTCTCCTGGACCACACCCAACTGGGCACTTCGGTCGTCCACGTCAAGGCCGCTCACTCCCTCGATGAAATTGCTGGCGACCACGCTGCCAGCGCCTCGGAGGCCAAGGACGAGCACGACCATGACCTTGAGCAGGAGGACAAGCCTCGCTCCCGTATCGTTGCCGAGTATCTAGCCCAGGGATACGTGCTCAGTGACACTGCCATCCAAAAGGCTATCGCCCTGGATCAGAAGCATGGTTTTTCCTCCCGCTTCACCAACGCCCTGGCCAACTTCGACAAGAAATACCAGGCAACTGATAAGGCCAAGGGCCTAGACGAGAACTACAAGATCACTGAGAAAGCGAGCACTGGCTGGCGCGGTCTTCACAGCTACTTCGAGAAGGCCCTCGAGACCCCCTCGGGTAGAAAGCTGCGTGAGTTCTACGCCCAGACCGATAAGCAGGTTCGCGACATCCACAATGAGGCTCGCAGACTGGCGGACTTGAAGAGCGGCAAGAGCGAGGGTGATGAGCACAACACCAGTGCCCCTACTGCTGGCGCTGGCGCTGAGGGTGCTGGTGTTGCTCCTGCCACTACTTCATCTCAGCCGGCCGGTACTGCGGCCCCTGCTGAGCAGAAGGCATGAATGATCTAAGGAATCATTGACATGAGGGTTCAACTTCACATCTGCTTCTCGGTCTGTACGCCTAATGATGACTTGTTCATTCTGTTTGCTTGAACGAGCACGTTTTCGATGTTTTTAGTATTCCCTTGGCGCGTGTCTTAGTTAGTCAGCTGTCTGGAACAAGCGAATGTGTGTACCGTCTACATCTAATTGAACGGTAATAATCTCAACATTGTTCTTTTTCTCGTAAAAGCAATTGCGCAGACAGATCATTGAAGCACGATTTTGTCCAACAGTCAGGCTGTATTCTAGGGTCTAGCAACGGTCAAAGTTCACTGCATTGGACATGTCTGCATTAAACAAATCACGTGAGATAGGAAATGCAGCCGAAAACCAGCCCACAGACCAACCACCATAAGATTCAAATACAAATCCAGATAAACTATGAACTTTAGGAGAATTTTTCACTTCATTTCTCGCTTTAAATAATTAAAATAAGACAGGAGGCGATGATCCCATCACAGAAGAAGAAAAAACAACAAATCATTTCAGAAACCGTCGTTTCAGCTCAGCTGCTCTTACTGTACTTGGCAGCCTCAATGTCTTCCAAGGGGTGCTTGGGGTTGCTCTGCAAGCCCGATTTGGTATTCTCGGATTGCTCCTGGGCGGCTCCACCGGAGCGGGTGGAGTAGGTTTCGCCGGTCTGGCCCTTGGACGGAGGGGATTGCTGCTGAGCGCCGGTCTGGGACTCGGGAGGGGGGGACTGGCGGCCGGAGTTGGGAGCGGACATCTTGATTGTTGTTGTTGTGGTGGTGGTAGTGTGAAAGAGAAGGAGGTTCTGAAGGCGAAAAAATGTTAGTTGGGAGGGGCTTCAATTGTGGTTGAACTTCAGGCGTTATATTGGCCCTGGAAGCCGAGGTAGGTGTACACGAACCTTGGAAGTTGTGCTGTCGAATCAACAGATTCGATTGTTCACAGGATATGGTAGCTTGAGAGAGAGATTTCGTGTGTGTGTGTGTGTATGTATAGTATGGAAATCGTAAACTTGCAGAGTTCAGAGCAGAGGCAACTCTTAAGTATCCTGTGTATGCTGGACCTTCAGTGATTCTATGGAGGGGCCCCTCTATCATCATTATGACGTTTCCGGCTGCTTCCTCTGATGTCTGCGGTGGGGGTTGACCCCTCCAAGCACAATGAATTGGCAGGCTTGTTGAGCATTGTGAGACCAACTGTTTACTCGTACTATGCAGGGTAGTCTGATGCTTATGCAGGAGTACTGTAATCCTAGCTTCTGTTCCTTTTCTTGTCCATTGACCTGCTTCACAGGGTCCTCGTAGCTTTGCTTACAACCTGCCGAGTCGTTGTTGCTGCTGGGGATTTGCGGTGATGTCATAGGTCCATGAATGGTGTTTGCTTTGTTTGTGCTCAACGTGTGCTGCCAGATTGATCTGGCCGGATTAGATAAACCCGGCGCTGACTATTTTCATTTTGAGTTTTCTTGTCAAGATAAGTATATGCGTTAGAGTCTATCACGGCAGAATTTGACTAGTAATGCTAGTTTCTTAGTTGGATTCTATATCCTTATCTGTTCTTTCCACTGTTGTTGTCCCCTGTAGGCGGGACACTGGATATAAATATATGAATTTTTGAGGTCGTGATCGACATAATCATAAGTCAATTGACAAGGATTAAATTCGGGGGAATCGGAAATCGGAGCCTCGAATCAAAGATGAGGTCAGGACCGACGGAAGAGGGACTTTTAGAAAAACCGGAGGAAAACTGATACAGGCTAATGCAGCCTTGAAAAACGCACAGTGCATATGAGGGGGATATGATCTAGGCAACAAAGGAAAGGAGAATCAAAAGGCAATCGAAAGAGGCATATATGGCGTGATGACGTATCCAGCTGTAATCGTCCGACTGTATCGGTCGTCGAAGCGATCCGGGAGAAACATAGATGCTTGTCAAGCAGTCCTCCAACCTGGGATGACACTTTTCTCTTGCATGATTTTATTTTTGGTCATTTGATTTCTTTATTAATCCCAGGAGACCGACTGGTTCATTTCGTCAAATCCCGGAATAAGCTGCAGCATGATTCAGTTTCCATTGGCCTGGGCGGCTGCAGCTTCGGAATTCGCAGCCAACGCCTTTGCGTCGGCTTCATGGAAAACCGCTTGAAGCACCTGCTGTTCCTCCGAACTCAGAATTTTTGTGAGGTTCTCGTAGAGTTGCGGCTGCTCTTGTTGAAGGCCTGCATAGATGTTAGTCGACAGCACATCAGAAAACAAACACCATGGGCGATACATACTCATAAAAACATGCTTGAACATGCCGTAAGGCTCGACCTTGTCAAGAGGAGTCTCGAGCAGACTCTCCTCATCCAGCTCGTCATCGTCATCATCGGCAAACGAGCCAAACTTTTGGGCCTGCCGATACAATTAATACCCTCGTTTGAGGCGTAAAGATAACAAAAGAAGAACTGGATTTCTGGACTCACCTCCTTGTTCAGGAAATCGAGGTAGGCGGCGCTCTCGTCTGCAACGTCGTCTTCCAAGACACCCTCAGCCTCGTCCTGTTCAGTCCATTCAACCTCACCATCCCAGTCGTTGTCCTCATCCTCAACATCTTCCTCGTCATCATACGTGAAATCGGACTCCTTGGTGGCGTCTTCACGGTCTAGAAGAAAGTCAGTACATGTTTCCTCGCAATCTCATTGTGATAATACGCACTCTTGATTGCGGCGGGTAGAGTTTGGAAGAGTCTGGTCACTCCCTGGAGAAGTCTGGGCCAACCCTGCTGAACGCTAGTCGGGACATTATCAGCCTTCAGTGTCAATAAAGAGCTGATTGCAGCGATTGACAACTTCTTGTCATGGACCCTTCTGAAGTTGTCAATGTTGGAGAACCATGTGCTGAAGAACTTGTTCGTCCAGCCATTGGCCTCCAGTACCTGTAAACTGAGAACAGGGTTGTAATAGATAGCATTAATGACCATCTCCATCAAGTGGATGCGGTAGGACTTAGTGCGCGCCTCTCCTGCGTCAATGACACGCATCGCAAGCTCGATAAAGACAGGGATGTACTGATCGATAAAGCCACGAAGGTTAAGCATCAGAGTCTCGGCGAGTTTGCAACCGCAAATGCGGTCAACACCACCCACTTTTTCGTCATGGAAGATGTCCTGAACCATACCCACAACAGCCGCCAGATATGCCGGGTTCTGAACCAGCATCTGGGAGCCGTAAGCGACATAGTTATCGAGAGCAGGGAGCATGTCCTCGAGGTAAAGCTCAGCACCAGCCTTGAAGGTCTTGTGGATGAGCTCGAAGGCCTGCCACATGGTGGGGGAAATCGACTTGGAAGCAAAAGTGCAGCTATCGATGATTTCGAAAACCTCATTGTACAAGTCGTAGAGTTTGTTCTCGAGCGTGATACTGATAACAGGCATGAGGATGGTCTCGAGGTGAAGTAGCACGTCGGGAGTGCTCTCAAGAGTAAGAATCAAAGTGCCAATCGTCTGCAGGACACCAAGAGCGGTAATGCTCTTGTCATCCAGGAACTCGCCGTAAGCGTCCTCTTCGCCCTTGGTGGCATTACGCTCCAGGAGCTCTCCAACAATACGCATGTAGGTGTCACGAAGCTGCTCGCTAAGCGCAACAGCGAAGGGAGTAAGCTCAGCAGAGAAAACCTCAACAAAGTCCTCCATGACATTGGCCAAAGCATCCACATCAACCTCGTTGGCGAGCTTGAGGAGCTGCTGCATGATCTGGGGAATGTTTTGCTGCATCGAGGTTCTAATGATATCATGACGGATGAGAGGCTGCAAAGCGAGCGCTGCCTCGACTCTGACAGGCAACTCAGGGTCTGTCATTGACTCAAGGATGTTTCTATAAATGATCATGAGATTGTTCGGGTCCTGGAAGTCCAGCTGCTCGAACTTCTCCAGAGTATCGCACGCACGGGCCCTGAGGAAGCCATGAGGGCTACGGAACTCCGGGAAGACGTGACGAACAAAGAAGTATTCGACCTCGCCAGCAATAGGACTCTTCTTGCCCAGGATGACAGAGGCCAGAGAGCCAATCATCCGCAAAGCACCCTCCTTCTCTCTGGGCGACTTCTGGTCCTCCGGAGCAGACTCATACTTGCTGACGATGCCATTGACAAATGTAAGAATCGAGAAAGTCTGCTTCTTGCGGTTCTTGGTCAAAGCAACCAGGAAATTTGTAGCGGCGACATCGGGTGCCGAAACCTCTTCGTAGTAATTCAACTTCCGGTGAAGATATTCCGAAGGATCCTCCTGGAATAGCTCGATGTCTTCATCGGACTGGCACAGAATAGGAAAAATGAAATGGGCAACCAGGTTATCCATATGAGGCTTGAGGTGATCCCACATGGCCTTGGGTTTGACACACTCCTCCAGGAAAACCAGAGTGTAGGCGAGTGCCGGGTTGCTCAGCCATTGACCCTTGGACACCCACTTGTCGATCTCCTGTAAATATCCCTTGAGAATCTCGGGCGCGAAGTTGGCAATGAAATTCTTCGCATATTGAGTATAATCGGGAGTGCTCGACTTGGTCATCGTTGTGGGGTTTCCGTATCTGGATAACGGGATCAGGTAAGCGTCCCCTTGCTGACTTGTAACAAGCACATCACATACCTAATGAACAAACGGTTCAAGTTTGCATAAGACCACTTCTTGCATTTCCACCAGTGATTCAACTCTCTTTCTTCCTTGGATTCCATCATGGAATTTGCCGGAGGCTCCTTGGCGATGATGCGCAAAAAGAGCGTGCACCAATCCACCGTAGCTTGCTGCGTTTGGAGATACGGCGAGAGTTCGAACTAGCATCCCAAAAGTTAGCTTCATGATGCGACTTGTGTTGCACGTCGAGCCACTCACGTAGATAGCATGCTTGTACGACTTGACAACAATCCGAAGCATTTCCGCAGCTTCCAGACTTTCCTCATCGACCAACTTCAACCCGATGTTCAGAAGTTGAGGGAACGTGTGCTCAACAATCTTATCGAATTCCTCCCGCTTCTCTCCCGCTTTGAACCTGTACACGCGGCAGATTGCCAGCAAGCACTGCAGACCAGCGTAGACGGAGTTCGCATCGTTGGTACCCAACAACTGAAGGGTGATCTCGAGGAAACCCGGCCACTGCTCGGGGAAGTCATGCTGAAGGATCTTCTGGAGAAGGGGAACAAGCTGTGCTCGGACATTCGGAGGGGTGGACGCCAGTGCCGGGATAAGGCGTTCTCGAAAACTCGGTTTTTCCTCTTCCGGGATCGGTGCGCGCAAAGGACTTTCTTCAACAACAGACCAACCGCGGGTGATTCGGTTCTTCAGATAAACACCAGCTATTATTTGTAGACAAGCCGTTAGTGATGCTGAGCTTTAGCGCCCGGGTTCTCAGGTGAAAACCAGCGGTGGGCGCTCTTCAAGCAGCAGGTCCTCGAGGTAGTAGTACTTACCCGACAGTTGAACGGCATTATTTTGTTCCCCCTGCAGAATATCCAGAAGCGCATTTATGAAGCCCGGTTGTGTCTCGGCCTGAACAAGACTGAATAAGTACGAACCACCTTCAAGCCTGCGATTCTAAGCCACACATACATATTTCAAGTCCAGCTCAGCTTGGCGTCTGTTATCCGCATTGGCGTCGAGGGTAGACTGGATGCGGTCTCTCAAAGCTGCAACATCCATCTCGCACCAGTGACGGCCCCCTGTGATAATACTAGAAGTCGAAAAAAGAAGAATAGAGCCCGTTACGTAGAGCTGAGCCACGGGATGAAGAGGGGCGTTAGGAGAAGAGGAGGGGGAGGGAGGTAAAATAGCGGGGGGGGGAGGTAAAGATAGTAAGTGTGCAGATTGCAAAAGTGCTCTTTGGGTTTGTTGGGTTTGGTTTTCTCTCGTGGTTTTTCAATAAGCGGTGCCCGCCCCGCGCCTATGGCAGCTAATCAGAGGCCTCGCCGCCACGCGCGGTAAGAGAATTTTGCTCCTGAATATTGGGACAAAGATTGAAAAACTGTGAAAGAATAAAAAAAGTTTCCTTGGAGTGAAGTCTGGCCTTCCAAAAGTTCGGACTCCTTCTGTGCTGATTCGGTTTACTCGGCTTCTTCTACACTGGTTCTTTCCTTTACTCCTTTCATTGTGACTGAATCATTGGACCACAAGTTTTACATCAGAATAGTAGTTGGAAGATAGAAAGTAGCCCACCCAAGCATTCAAGCCCCTCCGTCACATTTCACATATACAGAGATGCGGCAAAGATAACATCTCTCTTGATCAACTCCTGTGCCTGTTGCATCTTGGCATAAAGGTTGGGATCTCCGACCAGCTTGGCCGCATTCTTCACCTCTCGACAGGTCTCATCTAGACGAGTAATAGTCCGCACAATGGTGCCTTCCATCACATCGGTGAGATCAGTGATACGATTGAATGACATACCCTTTGCCCATTCGTATACAACTTCTGACAGGCCAAACCGGGGCTGACTAGCAAAGTCGTTGCTGTCCTCACTAGTCTGAATGACTTGGTGTTGAATTTGAATGTCGTTGACCCTGTCTGAAATCTTGACAATGGCTTCCTTGCCCTTCTCGAGGCGCGGCGTCAATGTGGGGACATTCTCGGTCTTCTCCTGGAAGACAAATGCAGATAGCAGCGCGACAATTTCCTCGGGTTCGTATTCCGCCAGTACGTTCTCAAGAATCAATTCCGTCAGAACCAGTTCATCGGATGAGTGGATCTTGAGCATGTTATTAGCACGTGTTAACATGATAACAATCAACTATTTGGAGCAACCTACCTCACAGGCTACCTTGCCTTTGAGCTGCACCCGCGCTTGCTCATCTACGAAGCCTAGATCTTTCAGAACCTGAATGCGTTGCTCGTAGTCCGGAAGTAGCGCCAGGTTTTGATCAGACATGAGCTGTTTCAATTGCGAGATATTCTCCTTGACCTGCCACTCGTCATGTTGCATTTCGAACTGTCTGATGTCAGCATCATAATATTATTCTTTTAGAAAAAAGGAACACGAGGGGGGCCTAACGTGTTTCAAGAAGTCGGGACACTGCAGGCATCGACACGACTGAGCAATGGCAGCTTGTTTTTGCCGTTGTTCCAAAACGTCTCTGACCTGTAGCTCCTTGATTTTGGCCCAGTCCATCTCATCCCAAGCCGGTGTCGTCCATGAAGCACAAAACTTTGAGAGTTCCTTGTCCGCGAATTTCATTGCCTCTGGTGGTTCATGATGTTAGTAAAATATGTAACAGCAAAGAGGTCAAGTTCGTTCGAACCTTTTTTGATGTTAAGGTACCATATCGGGCCGCCCAGCTTGATCATGGTGTTCGTAATGCATTCAAGATCCGTCAATGGTATCTTGAAAGTTTTCAGCGTCATATCCGCGGCACGAATGGGCAAAGACTGGAAAAAAGGCCGGAATCTTGGAAGAAACGGAAGGATGTCGCTGGGATGACGCCTGCTTCCGATTCTTCCTAGCTCCAGGACCTGTATGGTGGGTGCAGCACCTCCTCCAATGCCCTCTCGAACAATGACACCTGCCGTACGAAATCCGTCCTACAAACTTGATCAGTCCGGCTCCCATGTTGGGATTGAATCACCTGCGTACCTTCCTGTATACCACCAGCCGCTTCGGCATGAAGAGGCGCTTCCCAACTGGCGAGGAAAGTAGTCCCACATGAAGTTCGCTAGTTAGCTTCTCATACTCAATAGCTGCATCATGACAAGCTGCAAGATCAATGTCACAGATGTCGCAGGGTTCGCGTTTGATTTTCGCTAAGCTGGCTTCGGACAGCTGAACCTGCTTTTCATGCTCCGGAAGAAGGGCTTGGGTAGCGTTCTCACTGAAGCTTCGCTTGATCATCTCTTCAATCTTCAAAGCTTCAACACGCAGAAGATTGAGTATCATGTTATACGTGAGCCTGAATTGCGATCTTAGTTTAGTCGGATCGCCCAGGATCATCCGTCGTAGAGCACCAGCTGGCGGTGCTTCATCTCTTCCAGGGTTGACAATTATCACATAACCGACAGTGTCAAGGCCTCGTCTTCCAGCACGTCCAGCCATCTGAGTATATTCTCCAGGGAGCAGATCCCGGAAACCTTTGCCGTCATGCTTGCGGAATCCAGAAAAGACCACTGTACGAGTGGGTAGATTGAGACCCATAGCAAATGTCTCCGTGGCAAATAATACTTTGACCAAGGACTTGGCAAACAAAATCTCAACAATCTCCTTCATGATCGGCAGGAGACCGCCGTGATGTACAGCAATGCCCCGGCTAAGCAAATCTCGAAGTTTGAGAATTTGTGGAAGCGTCCTGTCTTCTGGTTTGAGTCTTGTGAGGGACTTTTCAATAAACATGTGTATCAAGCTCTTTTCAGAGGCGGTGGAAAAGTCTTGAGTGGAGAGCGAGTCGGCATTTTGTTCACATCGCTTTTTTGAGAAGACAAAAATGCAGCCAGGTAGCAGGTTCTCCTTGCGAAGGTGCTGAACCAATTGTACCCAGATAGTCTTATCCTGTGCGGCTGTGGTTCTCCCACCGCCACGTCCCGTGCGAGCAATGTTTCCGGTGCCCCTGTTAGCAGGCTGTCCCCTACCACGAGGAGCACCTCCACGCTGCGCATTGCCGCGAGCACCACCCCTGCTGGGAGGTTGTCCGCGTCCTCTGGCCTGTGGCGCGCCACGGCTTGCTTGTGATTGGGCTTGGGCCTCGGCTGCCTTTTGGGCTTTGATTTTATCCCTTCCAGAAATGATCTCGTCGGCTTCCTTCCAACCATTTTCGAGGAAACGCTTGTTGGAGTTCACGACTTTGTACATTCCTTTCCCAGCCCAGAGGTAATGTTCAAGGGGAACTGGCCTTTTTGGGGTGGAAATAACATAGATATCTTTCTTCTTCGTGCGACCGACCCAGGAAGCGAATTCGTAGGTATTAGGAACGGTGGCAGACAGCAAGATCAGAGTAACATGCTCCGGGAGCATGATGATGACTTCTTCCCAGACGACACCTCTCTCGAGGTCATTGACATAATGGACTTCGTCGAAAATCACGAACTCGACGTCCCTGATGAGGTCTGCTCCGCGGTAAAGCATACTCCGTAGAATCTCGGTGGTCATGATAAGGCAGCTTGCTTCGGGATTTATCTGGACATCACCCGTTAAAATACCTACATCATCGAAAGTGGTTCTGAAATCTCGGAATTTCTGATTACTCAGAGCTTTGATGGGCGAAGTGTAGATTGCTTTCGTCATATGTTTGGAAGCCAAGGCAATAGCATATTCAGCCACAACAGTCTTACCAGCCGATGTGTGTGCGGCAACAAAGACAGAGTCGCCGTTCTCCAGATGGTATACAGCCTCCTTTTGGAAGGTGTCCAGCTCAAACGGCCACTCGCGAGCCATATCTGGCACGAGCTCGCGGAAATTAGGAATGTCTTTGTTGACATCAACGACATGAGCCCACTCCCTACCGCTCTTCCTTTGCTGGACACCTGCGAGAAGTGGAGCGTGGGGTTCCAATGCTGGGAACTCGACTGGGAGCAATGAGTCAATATCTTCTTCATCACTCAGTTCTGCTTCCTCATCGATCTTGACACCTCCAGCATCTGAAGCCGTTTCATCCTGCTCGATGCGAAGCTCGGCCTCTTCCTGCTGCAAAGCATGCTCCACTTCTTCATCGCCCTTGGCGGCTTCTTTAGACTTGGCTTCATCGAATCTCAACCCACGAGAAAATCCAGGGGCAACTTCCAATAAACCGCCTTCGGTACCAAAATTGATAATTCGGTCAAGTCCAGACTGCTTGCCACCGGACCTAGAGTACTCCGAAACTTGAGGATCCGACTCCATCTCAGCGATCGCTTCGACGCCTTCAAGCCCGCCTGGAGCAAAGGGGAAAAAGCCCGCTGCACCTCTGACGAAGTCCGCACGGCCGGCTGGTCGACGAAGAAGAGACGTCGAGTTCTTTGCATTCGCACTAGCGGCAGGAATAGTGACTTCATGATAGCCAGTAACACGACCTTCAAGTCCATCACGATCGAATCGAACAACGGTACGTGTTTGAGTTCCCGCAATGTCAAAAAAGTCTGTGTAGTCCGTGGACACATCCCATCGCCTGCATAGTGTTAGTAAGGGGCGATATGCATCATGAATGATAGGCCCAAGAAACTGAGAAGCGCGGGGTGGATGGCGACATGGTTAAGCGTACCTCTGAAGACGGTTCAGCCATTCTGAACCAAAACGAGCTGATGGGTTGAGAAACTCCTGTTCTAGGTCATTCTTGAGATCAGCAGCAGTTTGGCGATCCCGCTGTCGCGGTTTGGCCTCCCGGTAGATGCCATTTTCCTCGTCGGTCACGCGGGCATCGAAAGCCGATCCACTTAGTTCTTTTGAGCTCAGACTCAGTTGAGCCAGAGCATTAGATAGGCTTGTTGCCATGGCGAATGTAGTTGAAGTTGAAAGTCTAGATCAAGGCTGCTTCGGCACCGTGAATGACACCAGGCGCCGAAGAGTGGCTATGGGATGAAGCTAGTGGGCCAGTATCTGAGGCAACAAACCACAGGTCAACTAATCGTGCGGCCTGAGAGACACCAGCTAGCCAAGCGAGCCTTCACAGGAGCAGGTTCAGTAAACGTGGGTTTTCTAATATGAGATGAAAGTCTTTAATGAAACCATTCATCATTCGCTGGCGGGCGTCGGGTGGTGGCAGCGGCAGGAACTTGGAGTTTGGAGTTTGGACAAACCCAACCGGCTCGAGTCTGACGTCGTGTGGAGACTAGGCCCCTTCCGCCCACTGCTGAGCTTCCCCATCGAAACTTTTGTCCAGTTCGACACCGGGTGCGCAAACAAAGAAGACGAAATACTGTACAATAGCAATATTTCCCCTGGCAGCCTCCTCGGACCTTTGTACCATTCAAGAACCCCAAACCACCTATTCTGCAAACAACCTCACCGTCCTTGCTAAGCTCGAGTGGGTATAAATTTACACACCATGTTCCATTCAACCTGAATTCCTTTCCAGACGCAGAATTGATATCTTCCTTTATACCTAAATACTTGCCATGATTTGCTGATCAAAACGCCAGATGCAGATGCAGTACACTACGTAAGCTTGATGATACAGGGTGGATGCTCCCAAAGCCAGTACGTGACTGCACGGGATAGAAAGCACGAAAGAAAGGAAGGCATCGAAGACAAAAGGCGAAGATACACCATTGCCAATATCAAACCCCGACGTGAAAGGTATCACTGAGTCATCCTCGTACCCATCATGATGCGGGTTACCGGATTGCGGCATTTCGATTTCCAAAGGTACCAGGGAGAAAGCGCACCCTTTCATAGCATGAAATCAGGCACAGTTGGTCTCCCACGCGGTGAAATAGTTGATCTGCGATCGCGAGCCCTGTCGTGACTCAAAGGGACATATCCTCGTTGTTTACCTGTAATTGACATTGGGGAATGTCTTTCGATCGGCCATGTTGACCAGAAATTCAAAGATACCATCCACAGTTGCAACATATCTGCCCGAGTCAGCCAGATCAAACCTTCCACGGAGCTCGACACCTACAGTGTTCTGCCATCTGCACCCCAGCCGATCCCAGCCGTACCGCCGGGTTCTTGATCCCGATGCCTGAGACTAATGCTTCGTTCTGGCAGACCGTTCAGAACATTACGTACCCAACGAGGATGGCGGTTTTGTTGAGGCGCCACAAGCTGATCAAAATATCGCCTTCCTTGTTGGTTGCTTCGACTGCGTGTTTCATTCAAGTTGAGTTGCTGCCGTCGGAGTCGCTCTACAGCAACACTTGCTCTAAAGCCGGTCGTTGAAAGACGAGATGTATCATGACGGGCTTCAGCTACGCCGTCCTGTTGCTCAAGCCTGCTACGGCCCGAATTAGCGCGGCCATGGTCTCGGTATCGAGATAATATTTCCTCAGTAGATGAATAGTCAAAATGGGCGGAAGGGCGGGTTAAAATCCCGGAAGGCCGATTGGCGGAACCTATATCGCTACCAGAACTATCAGGATCGCGTGAGCTTGTGCCTGCGGGGTGCGAAGGCTCCCCAGATATAGCCGAATAGAGCTCGGACGGCGACGCAGTCCAGCTAAGTGTAATACTGGGCTGCGGATCAATGTTCGACGGACCCGTTTCTAGTGGTCGGCTACTAGTTTCAGTGTGATTGTACGTTGGTATATTCGTAGTCGGGCGCATTGCACCTTGTCTGCGCTCATTTGCCTCTGCGTGGAGGGAATTTTCTTCCTGTAACAGATCGCCAAGCGCCTCGCCAGGTCGCAGAGGGGAGGTAGGACGAGAAGCTCGATTGGCACCATCTGTGGAACCTTGAACCTGTTGACGAGGTCCGGTGGGAGGATGAGGGTAAGCTCTGGCTCGCCGTTCGGGGCGACTTTCACCAGACCTGGACGTCCATCGTGCTGTGTTCAGATGCTCTACGATCAGCCTTTCTCTTTCAGTGAGGTTCTGCAAAAAATTCTCACTCAGAAGCGGGTTTCCAAAATCTTCCCCAGCTTGGTCGTTTAATATCCCTTCGACTGGATCCAATACCTCTCGCTGCGTTCCATCGATTTCGAGATCGGAATCAGAATCATCGATAATCGGTTCTGTGAGAACCTCCTCAGTTCCAGGCTCATTCATGTCCAATTGGATAATCTGACGACGAATGAAGGCCTGGCGTACATCCGCTATCCCCGCCCGGCCCTTATCTTCAAGCCATACCAGAAGATCCCAGGGCTCCGGAGCGAATGCCATGCAGCGCACAGCGCCACCGTTGCAGCATGCTCTCGATGAATTGAATTGGGAAATGATCGTACCCTGTCCGTAGGGTTCATTTATGACATCATGTATTGTTCTCACATCGAAGATGGTGATCACCCCAGACTGGGAACCGATAGCGCATAAACGGCTGAACTGGGAGAACGCAATAGTGAAGCAGCAGCGATCATCAAGTCGCGTTCCAATATCCATTTCTACGCAGCGAATCAATTCCCAAATCCACCCACTGAGCTTGTCGCCAGTGTCTGTTGTGACAACGGATTCGAGGTCGCGGCTAATCTCGTAGAAATACACACGATGCTCATCGCCGCAAGCCGCGAGAAGACTCGAATCAGGCGAGATGATCGCATAATTCATGCAAGCCGGGTGATGGAGGACTTTGAGAACCTTCGACCTGGTCAGAGAGTATACTGTAACAGTTTTGTCGTTGTTACTATCGGAGCATCAGCACATCGGCAAGCAAACTGTTATTAAGTAAGTACAATTTACCTGAGAATTGCCACATCTTCATATGATAGGTCTTTTTCACCGCCAGGAAAACGATGAATTGTCACTGAGTTCACAATGCTGCCTCCGAACGTTTGCAGCTGCACGTCGGGTACTTGCCTCCTGCTAGTATCTCTGACTGACCTCACCTCATCACCACGGACCCTAGGTGACAATATCCTTGCTGAGGCTTCAAAACCGATTGGAAGGGCGCTATCAACGTCGGTAGGCTGGGCAGCCGGTGCACTGCCGTCGATATCTGGGCTGCAATCAGGTAGCCTGATGAAGGCACATTCACCATTGTCTGATCCCCCAACGGCGACCCAGCCGTGACCTGCAGCTAGGCATTTTGGATCGAAGGGAATAACAGCGATTGTCTCCCGCTTCTGTGTTGAGATATGAATGGAATAGACGAACTTGTGGGCGACGACGTAAATCCGATCTGGGTCGGCGGTGCTTATATAGTTGCGGAGTTGTTGGTGGCTATACGGCTATCAGTTTCAACTCAGCCTCTTTGACTAGGGGCCAGAAGCACCAACAAGTTTGGAATCTTGAAGGGGAAGAAGCGGCGCTTCGTTGGGAGGACTAGAGACTCGGTTGGATAAAACCTTCCCATGCATCTAGATATTAGTCACACGTGTGCTAGTACTTTTGAAAAAGGGGAGGAGAATAAGTAACTGACGAAAGCAAATCCGTTGTCATGATGAAGATGAAATCGACCCTCAGGGTGGCATGGTCAGATGTCCAGCTGTACCAGGAGGAACACCGCTGTTGCGGGATTGGCGGACAACGCAGAGGTGATAGGCGGAGGGTGTGGTGAAAAGTGACGGCGGAAAAATGAACGGTTAGTAGATCTGAGCAAGGCTGGCGACCGAGACTAGTGTTATTGGTGCGATGTAAAGCGGGATTCTGAGCTTAGGAGATTAGAATCTGGGGCTCAACTAAGTTAAGGGATGGAGAATCACCACTACAACTACCTCCTACCACACTCTACACTCCCTTCACCTGCGGCGGTTCACTTCACACGCCATCTCACCTGAGAACGAGATCGGAGGGTGATGGCGGGTGCGGACGGATGACGTAAGACTTATCCGCTCTTAGTCCGGGGAACTTGAGCGGCGAATGCGGTCAAGTCTTGCTCGATTGCAGCCTCGAACCCGTCTCGACGCACCCGGGGTTGGATCGCTCAGCTCGTCTGCTGAAGAAGCAGTCTGACAAAATATTTAAGTAAAATTTCACCAAATCAAGCCTTATGCACGCGGCAGCCCGCATCCCGCATTTAACTTCCTGAGCTTTACCAACCCTCTCGCGTGATCATATTGCTCCTCAGAACAATCACCTCGGGTGAGAGCATCGGTTCCGTATATTAGTAAAGTAAAACTCGACTATAGACAGGCAGTACATCGATCGTTAATTCGTATCCTGACCATAGCTGGGTATGGAGGTAGTTACGAATCCTGATGGCACAACTCTAACTTAGTAGTGTTGGTGGAAATGTCTGACTGGTACTAAAAGACGAAGACCTTTACCAGATCCAAGAGGTAGGACATTTGACTTGAAAGGACTGATAACATTTTATAGCCGCGAGCAAATTCAAAGTCCTGATCTCAGCATAGGTGTTCCGGGCGTGGCGCCAGGATAAGCCTCACTTACTTGGCTGCAAGGCCAACATTTGAAGCAAAAAGTGCAATATCACTGCCAGTGGCATGGATAAGGCTTGGTCTTAGTGGGATGGAAGAGGTGTCTACACAGTAATATCTTATGGGAAAGATGGCGACTCTCATGTCACATGTCACATGAAGCAAACAGTACATAGTGACCTCCTCGTAGGCCTGGGCTATTGCCTGACATGTCGTGCCGTGACTCATTTGGCTAAGTAAGTACTGTACATACATGGAAGCCGATTGAAAATATACAGTAGTCCAAGCACGCGTACATTCTTTTATACGAACAGAGTCACAGACAGAGGATAACAGAGACGACCTATACACAAACTTAATTAGAGGAAGGAGCGCACATTCCCAGAAACCAGATCGAAGGCCATCCCAGGTTTGTGCAAACGGCAGATATTGACTCTTCACCATGCAGACTCTGACTCTGATTAGTGGTGGCCGCTCATCGGAGCTTTCAGCTGGGGAAACGGGTACTGCCGGCCAGTGGTACTTGCACCTCAAATTCTCAATGCCGGGCTGGTTCTTGCTACTAGTAGGTAAGTATCTTGTTCCGTAAGACTTAGCTCGATCAACTGAAAATCAGTAGATGATGCCAATAGCATTCATATACACATACAAGAGCCGACAGGTTTCTACCCATGTATATGAAGGCAAGCTTTCGCCACATACGAATAATGAACGTTCTTCTAGCTTCTCGAAGTCGAGTCACAGTCCCGACCCTCAGCCAGAGCGGTCAGAAGCAAAGAAGAGATCCTATTGGGTGGTTTGCAGCAATGCCGTGATTCTACCAAGTTCGACGACGGGCCGAAGCTCTCCGGGACGATTTTTACGACACCTGCCGTCTCCCTTCTTTTACTTTCTTCTCCCCGGAATCAGTGCAGAAAAACTTGTCAACTTCTTCCTACCTCTCTTCCCTTCTCATCCTATCCTACCTATACCCTTTATACCTCTCTATCCATACTCCTCTCCCCTCGATTGAATCGACCGGAGTGCTTCTATACTTCCATTTTCTTTAATACCTGTATTATCCCTTCCTTTTAATCACATTCACAATGCTGTCCTCTCGTATCTCCCGCGCGGTAGGTCCTTCATTCTCCATTCTGTATAAATCAAGATGTGCGCGACTGACATGGTTCATTCTTCACAGCTCCCGCGCACTGCTTTCACTCGTGCTCCCGCCTTCAGAGTTCCTGGTGCTTCCATTCGGAGATGGAACTCCACAGAGGGTGGTGAGGAGAAGGTGAAGGGCCAGGTCATCGGTATTGACTTGGGTATGTTGACAGAATCAGCCATTTTCTCATGGATGCAAAGCTCACGGATGATCAGGTACCACCAACTCCGCCGTCGCTGTTATGGAGGGCAAGACCCCTAAGATCATTGAGAACGCTGAAGGTATGTGAAGCATCTTCTCCCCTGGCTGCCGTCAGCTACATTCTCAAATTACTGTCCAAAATTCACATTTACTTGGAAGCAAATGATGTCTAACTCTGCAATAACACAGGTGCCAGAACCACTCCTTCCGTTGTCGCTTTTGCCCAGGATGGCGAGCGCTTGGTCGGTATCGCCGCCAAGCGTCAGGCCGTTGTTAACCCTGAGAACACTCTCTTCGCCACCAAGCGTCTCATCGGTCGCAAGTTTACCGATGCTGAAGTCCAGCGTGATATCAAGGAGGTCCCCTACAAGATCGTCCAACACACCAACGGTGATGCCTGGGTCCAGGCTCGCGACCAGAAGTACTCTCCTTCCCAGATTGGTGGTTTCGTCCTCAACAAGATGAAGGAGACTGCCGAGAACTACCTTAGCAAGCCCGTCAAGAACGCCGTCGTTACTGTTCCTGCCTACTTCAACGACTCCCAGCGTCAGGCCACCAAGGATGCTGGTCAGATTGCTGGTCTCAACGTTCTCCGTGTCGTCAACGAGCCCACTGCTGCTGCCCTTGCCTACGGTCTTGAGAAGGAGGCTGACCGTGTTGTCGCCGTCTACGATCTTGGTGGTGGTACCTTTGATATCTCCGTCTTGGAGATCCAGAAGGGTGTTTTCGAGGTTAAGTCCACCAACGGCGATACTCACCTCGGTGGTGAGGATTTCGATATCTCTCTTGTCCGTCACATCGTCCAGCAGTTCAAGAAGGACTCTGGTCTGGATCTGTCCGGCGATCGCATGGCTATCCAGCGTATCCGCGAGGCTGCTGAGAAGGCCAAGATTGAGCTGTCCTCTTCTCTCCAGACTGAGATCAACCTTCCTTTCATCACTGCTGATGCCAGCGGTGCCAAGCACATCAACCTCAAGATGACCCGCTCTCAGCTTGAGTCTCTGGTTGATCCTCTCATCAGCCGTACCGTCGAGCCCGTTCGCAAGGCCCTCAAGGATGCCAACCTCCAGTCCAGCGAGATCCAGGACATCATTCTCGTTGGTGGTATGACTCGTATGCCCAAGGTCACCGAGTCCGTCAAGTCGATGTTCGGCCGTGAGCCTGCCAAGTCTGTTAACCCTGATGAGGCTGTTGCCATTGGTGCTGCCATCCAGGGTGCCGTCCTTGCCGGTGAGGTCACTGATGTCCTCCTGCTGGATGTCACCCCTCTGTCTCTCGGTATTGAGACCCTCGGAGGTGTTTTCACTCGCCTGATCAACCGCAACACCACCATCCCTACCAAGAAGTCCCAGACCTTCTCCACTGCCGCTGATTTCCAGACTGCTGTCGAGATTAAGGTCTTCCAGGGTGAGCGTGAGCTCGTCAAGGACAACAAGCTCCTTGGTAACTTCCAGCTTGTTGGTATCCCTCCTGCCCACCGTGGTGTTCCTCAGATCGAGGTCACCTTCGATATTGACGCCGACTCTATTGTCCACGTCGCTGCCAAGGACAAGTCCACTGGCAAGGACCAGTCTATCACTATTGCCTCTGGCTCCGGTCTCTCTGACTCTGAGATTCAGTCCATGGTTGAAGATGCTGAGAAGTACGGTGCTCAGGACAAGGAGCGCAAGGCTGCTATTGAGGCTGCCAACCGCGCCGACAGCGTCGTGAACGACACTGAGAAGGCCCTCAAGGAGTTCGAGGACCGCCTCGACAAGGCCGAGGCCGAGCAGATCCGTGAGAAGATCGCTTCTCTCCGCGAGTTCATCGCCCAGAACCAGTCTGGTGAGGGCACTGCTACTGCCGAGGAGTTCAAGCAGAAGACCGATGAGCTCCAGAACGCCAGCCTGACCCTCTTCGACAAGATGCACAAGGCCCAGTCTGAGCAGCAGCAGCAGCAGCAGCAGTCTGAGGGCGAGAACAAGGCCTAAGTGTATCACTCAAACTTCCCCTGTCTTGACATGGGATATTTATTATCTCATTCTCAGTATTCCCTAGAGGTTTTCCTCTTCACTTTTTTCATGCATGATATGTACACATACCGATAGCTTTGATTGATTTCTTTGTTCGGTGTATAGGTGTTTTGCTTTCCTTTTTTCCTTTCCACCCCCCCTATGTACTTTGTTGTTCTCTTATCCCCCTTTCCTAAACTCATGTTCGCAATTTCTGGGACGGATCAGCGTTTGTTTCTGACGGAGGGTAATCCGTTGGGTCGGATGCATGGAGTGTCTACATCTTTGTAACTTAATGACATCACGGCTGGGGGACCACTAAAAAAGTATGTGGTATGGGAACATGTGACAATAGAAGAAGAAATTCTCCTCTCGATTCAAAATATTGTGCAATGTGCATGCCTTCCAGATCTATATCAACTGGGAACTTTCTTCTGCATGGCAGACCTGCTGGAATCGATCAGAATCCGAATTGTGGGCCGAATGGGCGCGTGTCCAAGGACTTCAAGAAGTACCTAATCAGTCCGACCCATGCTAACTCTCTTCAGCACTACTGTCACTGGTACTAGTCTCTTCTCAAGTTCTCAACCAGCAAAAAATGGAGGCTACGTAGTGCGTATTACAATCTCCTACTAGGAAGCCCAGTAAATATGGTAGACTACCGAGTTGCTACCTAGCTCACACCCACAGTCGTACCGCACCGGCTCCAACATCCATTTGAGGAGGGTCCGGCCCGTTTTCATAATTGGCTCCGTAAGTTAGCACTGAGACACTTTGAACGCCTTACACCAAAAAACGTTGAAGCCAGTCTTACCTGTCTCTGAGTCAAAACCTGACCCGGCAATGGGAATAGTGGTCTGGGTCGTATGAAAGGTCGACCGACATTTCTGAGTCTGAGGCCCCGTCCACATTGATCCCCGAATGAACGAGAACGCAAACACAAACCAAGGAATCATAGAATTCTGTTACATTTTTCTCCATTTTCTCCCATCGTCGAATGTGCTCACTAGTCTAGAGACCATGTGCTAAGGACCGCCAAAGGAGAAGATGGGGGTGGGGGGGGTACGGCGCCAGCAACAGAGCGCCCTAGGCATCCATACTCTAATGAGATGGGCGATGCCCGCAAATCGAATTCATGCGCTGCATGAAAGAAACGTAGATGTGCTACGAATAATGCTCGTTAATTGGGGCATTCTCGACTTTTCTTCTTGTTAAAGGAGAAGTAAGGTAGACTGCAGAATCCAACAATAAGTGCGTCGTCCATGGGGAAGACAAAACAAAGCACGGATCTATTAATTACTGTTGTCCTTGGCGGACGGCGTGATTCTCCAGTCGCAGCGCTTATTCCACTGTTGCAGCCTCACATATCGAAAGGTGTTGATGGTTGTAGACGAATTAACATTACTGTGGACAATTCGCGGAGGTGGAGTTGCATCCGCGCTGTTATGCAGTAGAACAGGGCTGGAAGAGAAGTAGTAGTAGTGGAGGAGGAGGAGGAGGAGGTGGTGGTGGTAAGATAGTATGTGGCAATCCTTGCATGCAGACGATTATTCATTGTTTAGAATGAAATCAGGCAACGATGAAGACTGGAGTACTTCCTGGGCTCCAATGTAGCGAGAGGTGTCCGGGGTATTGAATGAGTCTATGAGAGACTGCCACGAATCTACTAATAGAGGGAACATGGTTATGTGGGCTCTTGTTGACATTGGCTAGTATAGTATAGCCTAGTACTCCGTACAAGGTTTTGAATGCGCTGGAATGTTGGGATAGGAGGAGGGGCAAAGGGAAGTGGTGGGCAAGAGAGATCCGCTCTCACAGACTTCCATCAATCAAGGATAGACGAGAAGGGAGAGGGGGGGGAGCAGAATCATTGCTCCATACTAGTGGAGCGGGATATGCAGGATTGACAGTGTCTTTTGGACTTATCGATCTAGATGATTTAATATAGTTCAATGGTCTATTCCGGCAGGCCAGAACACCATCCATCTCTGGACATGGACGGGAGGCATTAACTGCTTGAGTATGGGGTAAGGGGACATGACATATATGGTTGGCTGTTAGAAGTACACAACCATCATCTTCCCCTATCAGCTTGCGCGATGGTCTCCGACAAGCACACCACACACCTTGGGTAGATGACCAAAGATGTTAAATGGTCGATGTATGTTGGTTGATGGGTGGGGGACGGGATCCGGTAAACTTGTGGTGGACAGTACTTCTGTCCTTATCGGCAGCACACAGCTGTAAGCCGCAGCCAATCTCCACTGGGAGACTTGCAGCTGTAGTGCTGCAGAGAGGACAAATCAATGCTGTACACAACTGCAGTCGATACATTGCATGGCTGAAGGGTTGGCAAAGTCGACTCGATTTTGGGCCGGAGTTCATACATCATGGATGTTTGAACAAGATAAATGATTTGCTGAGGCGATCTACTAAAGAGTAGAGTCTCAGTGTGAGACCGCGATACAAGTTTTGAACCTTTTTCTTTGTTTTATTCAGCTCGGACCCTGACTGACTGACTACTACGGAGGACTTAACGTAAACTAACTACTTCGCTTCATGAAGACAGAAGCCTGTTACTAACATCAAACTTGGTCTTATCCGACTGTTACCGACCCAGAAAAGTCTGGATCGTCTGTTGCGCCGCCCCGTTCGTTCTACCCTGGCTCCGGCTTCATCGACCAAGAGGGCGCTCCTCACGTCCAGCCTAATTTCAGAGGCCACTTGGAGCAAGTCTATTTTCTTAGATTGAGGTCTACACGTCTGGCTGCAAATTTTCTCCTTCATCATTTGTCGATCACTCTGCTCATGTACCTGTTCCAGGAATAATCCAGTCGAGGTTTGGGTCATTCCCCACTTAGTGCTCTCATTATTACATACGGAGTACTCTTCTCTGTACAATCGTAGTACATCATCCACTTTTCTCCTTAAACAGTTGAGGAACAGGTACCGCCCACTTTTCCGTGGTCAGTCTGTCTTTTCTGTTTCTACCCTGCCGTCTTCTCTCACTGCTCAAGCCGTTTGATCCATCTGTCCATTCATTTCTCGAAACTCGGAACTGGTGGTGTTGGTGTTGATGATCGCTGTCGCGATCATCAGAGTGCCGCCAACTGCAATCCCATTTGGCCATGTGTCAGACACTAAACTTCCACGATATTTTACCTGTCTTCACTGGACTCACATTACAAGACGAATAGTAGATCATTTAGGCCTCATTGGCTGCCAGCCTCATGGCTAAAAATAAAAACCAAGGTAACACTACTGATCAGACTGAAAGAGGGTTTGGAACCGCTGGATGTACCGCATAATAACTGTTTTCATTAATATTACGGCACAGCTTCTTTCTACTCGCCGGATTCTTTTCAAAAGAGTTGGAAATGCCTTGGTGATTCATCGTCGATTTACCGAGGCGAAAAGCCCCCGGAGAAGGACCACATCAACCAAAAGAGTCGCAGCTCTTAGTCTTCTCTTACTGTGGGCGTACCTGATCATTTTTTGGTTCCAATTGTACGGAGTATGATCCCACCTTGTGTGGTTCCCGGGATTTCACCCGTGGTGCCCTAATTGATCTGGCACATATCATACCCCTGGTCTTCGCTCTTAATTCTCCTTTTCTGTTGCTTGTCTGCTCTACGCTAGGCGATCAAGGCATTTCATATCTCAGATTCAAGATTAGATTTGGGAGGGGAGGGGGCCCAGAAATGGATGATGAAATAAGAATATTTTACGGGATTACATTCATAGAATCCTGGACCGCATTGTGTTTGTCACTAGTGTGACAGTAGTGGGTTCCTTAGCTCGGAGGGGGGTCCCAGGCTAATACAACACATAATAAGTTTGGGGACTGAAGGATTTTGGCACCGAGTGGGAGGTGTAATCATTCTGACTACGGCGTTTTAGGGCAATTTTCCATGAAGTTCCAGTTTTCTTCCCGCTTCTTTTGTTCTTCTTCCAAAAGAGAAATTCAACGCCTGACAGCTCTAGTGTCTAAATTTCTTCTTAAAATCCTCCGAACCATGTTGCTTTCATGCCAATGGAATTTACAGTCGTGCGTTCTTGTCCTACTTAATTCGGAGAACTATGGCCAATATTGTCAATTATTACCAGATCTGACAACTGGAGCTCACTAGTGCTGTTGCAGGTCCCAGATTTCATCCATGGACTTGTTTGTTTCCAACTGACCGTAAAATCAAACTGGCTTTTGTTCACTGCTCTAGTCTAGTCACTTCTGACTACTCTTGACTAGTTTTATTAGCTACTAGCGTCTTGACTAGAGCTGTCCCAGCTGACTGGTTTAATTTGATTATTATTATTCTGGTGATTATTGTTAAGTTACTTTTGATTAATATTTCTCCAACTCTGGATCCTCTCTATTCTTGCGCTTGTTTTCTTTTCGATGTTGTTGTCTGAGCTTGAACTTTCGTTCAAACTCCATCTCTACTAAGGACCCTTACAATTCTCAATCTATCGCCGATAATTCCTCGTTGTTGTTGTTCTTCTTCATTGACTTCCTCAATCCATCAGAGCCCTTACTTGGCCGTTACCACACTTGTCTCTCAACTCCAGTGGGTGACATCCCACCCACCCATTGAGGGATATTCACGGAAAATTCTCTGAAGGTAGGAAAGAAAGAAAAGAGAATTGCAGGGGAAAACGGGCAAGCTGCATCGCGCTAGCATTGTGTTTTTCCTTTCTGTTCTTGGATGGTACAGTAGTACATCTATCCTACTGCATCTTGAGTCTTGACAGTGCTTTGGTCATTGCTGCAAGTGTAAAAAAAGAGTAAGTACAGTCCCTTTCAGCCTTCACTCAATCAATGCTTCCTTTCTACACTACTACGCCTACCCCCAATAAGTTTTATTATATCATCCGCTGTGCGACTGGTATCTTACCTGTACTTGAACCCTGATCTCCTTTCCTTTACCCCCTCCTCCCTCCAGTCCCTCTCCTACACCTCCCTTCTACCACCCTTGTCTTACTCCCGGCTGGGTCACGCATGCTCCTTTAATGAGAGAACAACGAATACTTGATATATACACATCGAGTCGTGCCAACTCTCTTTGCGTTTCTCGAAGCGCATCTCTTTCGCGGCTGCAGCAAAACCCCCAGCAAACTTTCTCATGTGCATGCCGGCAACAAATAACTGCAAATCGCTAATCCTCCAATTGAGTATCCAGTCTCCCATCATGACAGTTGCAGCGCCCCCCGTGGCACCAGTGCACGAGAATGGCATTAACGGTGGTGTCGGTCATCATGTCAATCCTATGAGCCTCCCACGTTTTCATCCAATCGCAATGAATCCGAGCCAAGCAATTCCCCCGGAGCATTTGATGCACGGTCATCACCAATTTCGCCCTTTCCCACCACCTCCTCCTCCTCCCATGCAGGAACCGTCAGGCCCGCCAGCTCCTGTTCCGGTTTCAGGACCACCTGCCCATCATCCGCATATTGACCAAATTGAAGCACGCCTGAGGCAGCTAGAACATGAAGAAGCGGCTCGTATGGCGGCTCGTAGCCATCTTCTCGCCATGCGCAAGCGAGAGGACGAAGACTTTCGTAGGTTGACTGAAAATGCGGAAGCAGAAGAAGAGGTATGGTTAAAAGCAACAGCAGCAAAAAGTGAACTTGTCCCCTTTATTGTTTTTTTTTTTTTTTTTTTTTTTTTTTTTTGTTTTTTTTTTTTTTTTTTTTTTTTTTTTTTTTCCAAAAAACACTTCCATCTGACATGATATGCTTGTGCCTTCAAATTAGGAACTGCGTAGGCAACGAAAACGCTTGAAAAGAGAATCCATGGGCCTTGGATATAACGCTGGGATGGACTCTCCGCCCCTTCGACCCACGCCGCCTCGTCGTCTATCGGAGACCAATGCAGCCACTACTCTTGCATTTTTCAAGCAGCAAAGCCCCCCAGAGCCTCGTCCGATCCCCCCTCCTCCGACACAAGCACCCGCACCCCACGTTCCTCCACCTCCTCAGCACATTCACCATGACCCCACCGGTGCAACCTCGATCAGACGAAAGCAGAAATACACCATCAAAAATGTGGAAGCTTGGGGGGAGCGACACGGGCGCCCGGCAGCGCATGATCCCTCTGGCAGGGCTCTCTGGAAGCGTCCCTCAGACGGTAGCCTGGTCTATCTAACTTGCCCGGTATCCGGCTGCGGAAAGGCTGACTTTGTGACTCTCCATGGGTTCATGTGCCATTTGACGAAGAAACATAAAGACCGCAGTCTGGGCAGTCAATCCCGCGCATTAGAAGTATGCGGATTCGTCTATGACCCCAACGCCCCTCTCCCCCCGGTGGCAAATGTCAACCGCGCATCCACAGAAGAGAGCCGACTTGAATCAGGCCCCACAGATCATGAAGGATACCAGCAGGAGCTGGACTATTCCTCTGCGTCGGATGAAGAGGAAAGCCACGAGATCCCAGTGAAAACGGAATCCGCAGATAGGACATTGCCTGCACCGCCATTAATGACGATGCCCTCCGTTCCCGAGCTTCAAGCCCGCCTGAACGGCTCGACGAAACAATCCATCTCATCTATCATCGACCGTATTTCGGAAGATGAACACCGCGAGCGGCTGGATCATACGAACCCACCGCGCCCCATGGAAATTCCAGTGCAGACCTCACCGGACCACAAACCCAACTTCAATGACGAGGCAGATTTCCCTCATCCACGTGAGCATGAAAAAGAAAATACTGACCCGAAAGCAACGGCCGAGACAACACAGTAATAGCAATCTTATAATATACTAATCTTATCAATTGCATTGCGATAACTCGGATGACGCAAGATATTCGCATCACTTGCCTTGCATAGTTCTGAGCATGTTTCTAGTGGATTGTTTTGTCTCAGTTGTCTCATGAGAGAGGGGTCTTTGCGTCAATACCCTCCTTTGTATATGTGGGTGGCCGTTTGCACGTTGTTTCTACTTAATGTAATAATGTCTTACCTCATATGGCTGGCCCGAAGGTCTCGAGTTATCCTTGCCTTGTTGTCTACCGTATTTTTATCGCTTGCATGTAATGGATGTTCATGACTAGCTTCGAATGATGTTATCAAACCTTCTGAATTGAAGGGTGGGCAATTCGTGTTATAATTGCTGTATTCATGTGCTCGGGCATGCTCGTATCATGTCGAGGTCCTCACGCGTAGGCATGATTGACCCGGTTTATCCTTTCAACTATTTTCATGCCGCGTCACTCATGCTTTGACACATATACATCCTCTCTTCGACTGGGGGTCTTTGTGAGATTAGCCATCAACCTATACGGTACGCAGGATATGCCAATGCACCAGCTACCCACAAGCAGTCTCCCCATGACCCACCTCATTCACCTCAGAAGCAGCAAATGCACCAAATACCCGGTACCGGACTTCAACTGCGGCCCGAGCACCTCATCGCTGACTCTCCAGACGCGAAACACACGCAGCGTCTCCTGCAGCCAAGCCTCAAACACCTCAGGCGACCGCTGCTGCTGCGCGATGAGACAGATAGTCGGCCTTCTGCGTCTCCGCCCATCATGCCCATCCGCAGCATAAACCGGCCTCAGCCGACAGATGTCCGCGCACGTGCGCACAAACGGCGCCACCAGCGCCTCGTTGTAGATGCAGTCACACGACACGAGGAGATCGAACCCTCGATCTGCCTCCTCTTCCTCCTCGTCGTCGTCGTTGCCGTCCAGAGGGGCAGCTTCGAGGCCCACGCTGGCTTTGAGTGACCCCGCGACGTCGAGTTCCCAGTCCAGGGACGTGAAGGTGATATTCGGGGAGGATGTTGTTGTTGTTGTTGGCGGCTGCTGCTGCTGCTGTTTGGGTTTGCGCTTCGGTTGTTGTGATTGTTGTTGGCGTTTAGAGGATTTGGCGGAGGTAGATGGATGGTAGTTGGTCTCGATGTTCTGACGGAAGAGCCGGTACACATAGTCTTGGTCCGTGGCGATGTAGTGATGGACTCTTGGCGCGAGGGTGAGGGCATTCAGTCCTGAGATGCCGCAGCCAAGCTCGACAATGGTGGAAGAGGCGGAGAGGAGGGATTGGGTCCAGAGGGGATTGGTCGGCGAGGAGAGCCATTCGGAGAACAGCGGAGTGATTTTCCAAAGGACTGTTTTCCCAGCGTGTCAGAGATAAGTGGTGTGTAGTAAGCTAGCGGGGATGGTGAGAGAGGGGAGAGGACGAACCCGCGCCTGTTGTGCCGCCCGCGCGAGACGAGGAGAGTAACGTGGGAGACTGATGGATGGAGTAGTCTTGGTTCTGGATGGTGAGGTCAACGGTAGTAGCGCGCGAGTCGACGAAGCCTAGATTGGACGAAGGAATGTCTTGTGCGAAGAGGTAGAACGCTTCTGTAGAATGAAGGAGGTGGGATTAATCACTAAGGTTCTAACGGAGCTGCCGCTGAGGGGTATGATGAGGGTTGGGATTGGCTATATGCAAGCAGATAGAAGAGTAGCCTGCAGTGCTTTGTCGTTCGTCTCCACAATGTAGGGAACTATACAAGTCGGTTTTTCTCGGTGTTGCGTATGGCATGCATGCTGTTCGATCTTTGAAGCAATGGAGTATTCGTGACATACCCTCTTCGGCGTCTTCTACCTCTTCTCCAAGTAATGAAAGAAAGCTAGTGATCTGTTCCATTGTTGCAAATCGTGTTGCTTGATAACAATTGTAGGTACAGAGATGTGGGCTATAGTATGAATTGAGCGGATGGCTAGAACATTCGGGGATCGGCGACACGACGGTCAGAGCAGAACGGTACGAATCTAGAGAAAGAGTCAAGTTAGCTTTACTTATTCATCCAACCATCGAGATGATAGATAGGGCATAGTACACTGTCAATTTGGTAATAATCAGCAGCCGATCCGCACAAGCGTATTTGGCTTACTCTAACAATTTCAGCAATTCCTCGGCATGTCCCGAAGGATGAAGTTTTCCAGACAAACAATTGGGGAACGATCCGGAGGGAGAGTGACATAAGCAACGCATAAAGCCCGCCAGCATAGAAACGCTCTATGTAAACGTGACCATTTCCACTGACATAGCCATTAGCCGACGGGCCGCGGACTAATGCAATTCCAGTTACATCCCCTGAAAGCTCTTTTGTCCTGCTGTATCGGTGATTGATGCTCTATTCTTCGACCCACGCGACAAATTCTTTGCCGACATGTGAAGAGAGTAGTTCTTACATACAGAGCGGCTTGCGATTCAACATAACCTCTTAAGGGGCGGAGCCGTTCTGTGGTCCCGAGGATAGCCCTGTCGGCAAAATTTGCTCTACGGGTTTCCTGTCAGATCTTTAATGACGATGGGGGCGTCATTGTACTCCGTACTAGAAGGTCATAACACAAGCTGCTATAAGCGGATGACTATCGGTTGTATCTTGGAACGCTGCCATTCTCCCTTGAGGTGTCTGGACCGCGGCCATCCTGTATTCCTGCCATTCTACAACACAGTAAATATACAGTAACTACATGTACCTCGTATCTACAGTTCTGTAGCACCTCGTGCGCTATACGACCCATGCTTGGAGCTTCTGACCTCTCTTCCCTCCGTGGCGTTGAATGATTTGCCCAAGCATACTAGGTAGACGAATTCTTGCAGCAAGAAAATCAAGAAGAAAACTGGAACGACCATGGGTTGCTTTCAGTGTACTCTGTATATCCAAAGGTACCGGATATTCTACGGTAGGCAGTCTGTAATTCTCACCTCCAATCGCTCTGCCGAGTTCCGTCATACCCAACCAAGACCTGCGAATAAGATTCGGGGAAAGAGAGGGGGGGAATCACCGCCTTGACCAATTTCCCGCCCAGCCACAACAGACTGACTTCATTATTCTGCACTGTCCGGACTGAGTAAGACCTCAAATACGTGACCAGTAACTGGAGGTAGCTTCAACCTGCCTGTCTCTCTCTCTCTCCTTCTCTTTTCCCTTTCCCCATCTCCAGTTCTTGTCTCGTTTTCCCCTCCCCGCCTTCCCAGTCAGTTTCCCTCTATCTCTTACTCGATCTTCTCATCTGCCTCCCCTTCATTCCTCTTAAATCGGCAAGTTACCAGTTCTGAAGCTTTCGCGGAGTGGAACTTGTTTACCGTAAGTCGATCTTTGACTTTGTGCTATCCGTCCGCCTTCCTCTGGTTCCCACTCTCCCAGGGCGTTTGCCTCCCGATGATCACTCTTTCAACTAGAACCCAAATTCCACCTCGAGGCTGACTAGGAGCTCTTCCTCTTCCTCTGCTGTCCACAGATCCTGATCTTAGTCCGATCCGCCGAGCGCTGAGTCCTCCTTCGCCATGACGAACTTGAAGGAGCTGCGCATTCAACCGCGCATGTACAAGAAGCCGCCATTCTCGGTGGAAGTCCCGGGGGTTGAACCCGTCGAGGGAGAGACCATCCCTCGTCGTCTGCCGGTCGCGAAAGACGGCCTTCTCGAATACCCGGCTGAAGATGCCAGCACCACCTATGAGATCTTCCGTCGCTCTGCAAAATTGTACGGAAATTCGAAGGCTGTCGGTTCACGTCGCCTGGTCAAGACCCATGTGGAAAAGAAGAAGGTGAAGAAAATCGTGGACGGTGTTGAGAAGGAGGTCGACAAGGAGTGGACCTACTTCGAAATGAGCGGTTATAGCTTCCTTAGCTTCATCGAGTACGAGAAGCTGGCGCTTGAGCTCGGTTGCGGTTTGCGCAAGCTCGGCATTGAGAAGCCGGAGAAGATCCACCTTTATGGCGCAACAAGGTACGCGTGTAACTTCTGGTGCTTGATGAATTCATACGTATAAAGAAGGCTAACGGTGGCGGTTTCACTAGTGCACATTGGCTGGCCATGTCACACGGTTCGTGCGCATAAGTGTCTAGTTGTTGATCGACCACGTTACTGATTGGATTGTCTTCTGTTTACAGGTGCTGCATCCCAGTCGCTGACGGTTGTTACTGCATATGACACTCTGGGTGAGGAAGGGCTGAAGCACTCGTTGGTCCAAACATCCAGTCTCGCCATCTTTTGCGACCCTGGCCTCATTCTCTCTGTGGCCCACGTGCTGAAGGATGTGAAGTCCATCAAGCATGTCATCTACAACACCGACCAGGAAGTCAAGAAGGATGACTTGGACAAGCTGAAGTCCGAGTTCGATTATCTGAACGTTATTAGCATTGAGGAACTTCGCAAGCTGGGCGAGGAGAACCCTGTGGATCCGGTACCTCCTAGTCGCGAGGACCTGTGCTGTATCATGTACACTTCTGGTTCGACCGGCCCTCCGAAGGGTGTCTCCTTGACTCAGGCTAACGTCGTCTCCGCATGTGAGTTTCGGATCTAACCCATGTTTCGTGCACGTTGGCATCAAAACTGACTATAGGATAGGTGCGGGTATTGATGCGATCGTCGGACCCTACATCGGACCCTCCGATTCGCTTTTGACATATCTTCCCCAGGCTCACATTCTCGAGTTCATGTTCGAGAACCTTTGCCTCTTCTGGGGTGGTACCATGGGCTACGGAAATCCTCGCACTCTCTCGGATACCTCTATGCGTAACTGCAAGGGAGATATCCGGGAGCTGAAACCTACAATTCTGGTCGGTGTGCCGGCGGTTTGGGAGTCGGTCAAGAAGGGTGTTTTAAACAACTTGAACAAGAATAACTTTTTGGTCAGGGGTCTGTTCTGGGGAGCTATGTCTGCCAAGAACTTCCTTATGACTGCTGGTTTCCCCGGGGTAGACGCGGGTGCTGGAATCCTCGATGCTGTCGTTTTCCGCAAGCTCAAAGAGGCAACCGGTGGCCGACTGCGCATCATGATGAATGGCGGTGGACCAGTCTCGAAGGATACGCAGAAGTTCTTGTCCATGGCTATTGCTCCCATGATCAGCGGCTATGGATTGACGGAAACATCGGCAATGGGTGCTTTGAACGATCCTTTGGCCTGGAACCCGGATGCTCTGGGCGAGATCCCGGGCTCGATCGAAATGAAACTCGTGGATTTCCCAGACGCCGGATACTTTGCCAAGAACAACCCTCCCCAGGGTGAAATCTACATTCGTGGGCCCAGTGTCAGCAGCTGCTACTGGGAGAACGAGCAAGAGACGAAAGAAGCATTCACCGAAGATAGGTGGTTCAAGACTGGCGACATTGGCGAGTTCGACAAGTACGGACACATCAAGATTATTGACCGCAAGAAGAACTTGGTCAAAACCCTTAACGGAGAGTATATTGCCCTGGAGAAACTCGAGTCCGTCTATCGTTCGTCCCCTGTGGTCGGCAACATCTGTGTCTACGCCGCGCAGGACCAAGACAAGCCGATCGCCATCATCGTTCCTCTCGAGCCAGCCCTAAAGAAGATTGCCAAGGAAAACGGCATCGAGGGCGAGAACTTGGAGACTTTGGCACACAACGAGAAGTTGAAGTCTATTGTCCTCAAGCAGCTCCAGGCTGCTGGCAGAGCAGGCGGTCTCAAAGGCATCGAAATCATCAACGGCGTCGTACTGTCCGATGAGGAGTGGACTCCTCAGAACGTAAGTCGAAGCATATACCAAGTAATTCTGCACGCCATGCGGCAAACAACTAACTTTTTCTTATCCGGACAGGGCTACATGACTGCTGCTCAGAAACTGCAGCGTAAGAAGATCCTCAACCGCTTCCAGGCCGATATCGACCGTGCATACGGCAAGAAATAGAGAGACTATATGAGCTATCTCTTCTGTATCCCTTTCTTATGTGTTTTCACCCATTTCCTTGTGTACTTCTTTAATCGGATATCCGCGTTTGATGTCGTGATGTCGCACCATCACTCGTCCATTGCATGTTGTCTATCTGGCTGCTTAATTGAATGATTTTTTATCTGTCATCTTGGATGTGATATGTGTATACACCACATTATTTTGCTGCTCTCAGGCCTTCGGCGCGTCACATGCTCTTTTCAGCAAACCTCTTGAGGTTTTGTCTTTAGTTTTCGGCTGTTTTGAGGGGATCGGAGAAGTAGGCGAGGTTACTGAATAGAATAAACAGCCCGGCCATCTCTCCTGTGGCTGCTCTCTATGGACTGACCCAACGACTCGATATTAACGTTGAGATCTGATCACGACTGCTACAGCAATATATGATGCTGAACATTAGTGCGTGCCGCAGTTCTACTAAATGGGCAGGAATCCCCAAGGGGAGCCCACACACCGTTTTAATCCAGTATTCCTCCTTGAATTTAGTAGCAGGACAACGCCGTGCCAGGCACCCTAATCCCCAAATCCCATAACACGCAGCGAAGTCTCCGAACTAGAAGTATAATCAGCATGTCTGGCTGACTGCCTCACGACCAGTTTTAAAGACAATATTGGGTGTCAGTGTGTTCTCCGTGAACGTCAAGTTACTATTTAGTACATACAGTAGTAGCCCATCACAACGCTAGCCCACATCTGCACTAGCGCCCTTCCCGCCCCATTTTCCCCAGGAGAGGCCAAGAAGCCCGACCCATCATCGGCCTCGATTCACAATTCTTCAACAATTAATTACTGCTGCTCACATATTTACTCCTATTCAAGCAGGTAGACCATTGTCTGCGGTGTCCCCGATTCCAATCACGGGAACCGATCACTTTCTCCGCTATTGAGCTATTGTCGGCTAGCTAGGTGTTTCCACCGTGCCAGTAATCTTTTCCAAAACACTATAACTCTGGTTGGATTTTGCTAGAATGTCGTTCTGGAGGTACATTTTCCTTGCTTCATTTTCCACCCCCCCCCCTTTACTATCCTGCCCTCTTCCTCCCTTCGGTTTGTATTGAGTGGGTGGAGTGCTTTGTTTGTTCTTACGATATAGATACTAACGACTGCGTGTAATCGACATCATCTCTAGTTCGTACAAAAGTCTCTCCCCCAAGACGCGAGCCCTCTTCGGAGTCGGCGCCATGACATGGGCGGCTATTGGTTTGTGGGCGACGCCGCAGGTGGAAGGCGCCATGGGCTTGACGCCGACGCCGGAGGAGCAGCAGGAATTGGATCGGAAACTGGCCGTTCGGGTGACGAGGGTTGAGAGAGATGGGAACTGAAAAAATGCGCTTGATATCTTTTAATTCCCCACCTACCTACTCGATACAGACACCACGGTAGAGAGAGCGGGAGAGAGAGAGAGAGAGAGGGAGGGTTCTCTATCAGCCGATCATTGTGGGTTGTCTGGGTTGGGCCCCACGACGGTTGATAAGTTGGGGAAGGGGAGCCTGGAGGTTATGTTTCCGTACGGCTGGCGCTAAGGCTACACTTCTATGATCAACCGAGGGGCGATATGGGTTTCAAACGGACGCTGTTCTGCTCATGTCGGTTTCTGATGGGACCCGAAGCTCTGTGTGCTCGTTATCGGGACTTGACCTGATCTGGCGAGAGGCGACTGGCCACTTGTCACATGAGCGTGCAAGTCTTGCAGCAGGCGGAGTTTCGAAGCTGAAGGATGCAAGGAATGAGACATAGTGGCGACCAGACGCGAATTGAGGTTAAGATGAAGAAGCTAGGAGGGAGGCGGGCAGATAGTCGGCATGTCACTGCAGGGTATGGGGTAAAGGTGGTCCTCGGTAGGCATTCGCTCCTCGTCGCGTGTCTGGCCTTGTCGAAAGTTTGTTGATGGGACACAACATCCGCGCAAGCCGTTTCGTGAAACAGAAGTCTTGACGCATGCAGTGTTGGGATGAGGTTCGGAGAGAACAAAAAGTGTGTTGATTTGGATGATTGACAATCTTGTTGTGGTTCATCTTCTTGGCCAAATAGGAATAGGTGTGAGAGTTAAAACTGCACTTGATAAGTCGAATAAAATGAAGCCTTAATGCACAAATACCATACGCAGCAAAATGGTCCATGATGCAGTCACCAAGTGAACGAAGTGCGCATCCAGGGTCTGATCCCAGAAGGTTTGGGACTTGCCCGCCTCGCCAACACCACAACGAGACTATTTAATTGAGGCCAATGTTGATGCAGAAACCAGCGTATACACACAAGGGGTGTGCATGGTGGGTTTTTTTCCCCTTCCTTTCAGGAATGTCAACCGGCCGTGGCCCATGGTCTCGGATTCGACACCCCTAGGCCGAAATCAGACCGGATCAACGGACATACTGGCCACAAGGGATCTCTGCTTCAGATGTTTCCTGGGATCTTGTTGCATGCAGTTGGCCGAGAGCCCCCTATTTTCCACATGATCCGCCCTAGACGATCCATGGGATGAGGTATTGTCGGTATTGTCGCTTCTCCGTAATAGACGGGTAGTTCTAAAGTGGCAGTAGCCGCCACACTGACCGTTGGTCAGAATTGTGCAAGACGATAGGTTTCATACCTTGCTCTGGAATCGAGATGATGCGGTGAAATCGACGAAGGATTGAACCCGACAGTCACACCACGCGCCGGATAAGTGTCGTGACTTAGAGCAAAGCGGCGCTCATGTCGGGCGCTGTTCCTCTCCAGCAAGTAATCTTTGTCTTTACCGTTGTTCACCAATGGTCCTCGTCTCGGTGGCTCGCAAGGCCCGGAGCTGATCGTTATTACCTCAGGACTTTTTCCTTTCTTCCTCCCTGCTTCCTTGTACGACGTGCATGGTGGGCTATTCTAGGGAAGCTTCATTGCGTCGAGATTGTCTGGCTCCGGTAGCCACGGCATCCCCACTTGCCACCGTTGAAAATCGATAAGCCACTGGAAGAGACAATCGAATCGGAATAATGTGAACTCTTATGATGTTCCGAGCCATAAAGGCTAGATCAGCTGCATGTGGTCCTAAAAAGGACTACTGAGTCGTGGGTGCTGAAGCTAACTTAGATGAGGGACCGGACTCAAGCATATGTGGTTGGGAACCAGATTGACGAGAGGAGAACAGGATATCGAAATCTGCCTTCCTAGACCTTTCTCCACAATTCTTAGCAGGAATGAAACAGAATTCATCTCTTATTCTGATCCACATGTGAAACCACCATTCAGAGACATAAACTATTCGGGAAGTGGATGAAGCTCAAGCCGCCATGTCCGCATCAGCAGACCGCCTACTGTAACTCCAGTACAGCCAGCCCAAGGGATACTCAAAAATAATGAGATCGTCTGGAACGGCACCGGAACGTGCCGAGAGCGGCGGTGGAGGCAGCAGCCAGCCAGCAAGCACCCCATAGAAAGCAGTATAGTCCAAGTATCGGTACCGGTATCTGACATCCATTCAGCGTGGGAGCTGCATCGTACCGTGCTAGGCTTGAGAGGAGCGCTAAGCCTTGAAGGTCAAGGCGGGACGGAGGGGGGGTAGGAGCAAAGCGCTTGGAAGATGCGGGCTTCCTAACGTGATTAAAATCAGCGGTCTAATGTATGTCCGGTCGATCATGGAACGCACTGGTGGATGATCATCGCGTTAGTCGCATGTTCCTTTTTTGACGTTGCTCCAGTCTTGTCATTTGCAGCCGTGGATAGTGAAGCATCCTGGACTGTGCAGATCGATCGGTTAATTGAGAGCCGAAAGACGGGACTGGGCTGGACAGAACTCCAAAGGTGATGGACCAGGCTGGGAAAAGCAAGAAAGGAAATTGTTGCAAGTCAAAGCCACATTTAGCGAGCCAAACAGATTGAGGACGAAGATGAAGAAGTGCTATCCGTTATAGTACGTTAGGAAGGATAATTCACCCCACTTCACTAACTTCTCCCAACAACAACAACAACAACAACAACAGCAGCAGCAGCCACAGCCACAAGAACAACAAAAGAAAGAAGATGCAGACGAACAAAGAAAAGACGAAAAAGAAAATGCTGGTGGAGAAATAGAACCCAGAGGCGGAAGAGGAGGTTAGAGAATCCTGAGCTCCGGACAGTAAGCAGTAACTGACCTACCGGTAGGTGGCCGGCCGTCAAACTTGGCAGGTGCCATCTATTGGACTGTATGTACACAAAGGACACAACTGTATAGTAAGGTGGTGGTGTATATTGTATATTGTAGATTCACTCAATGCTACAACATTTGCTGTATGATAAGAATAATACACATCAAGGGGAAAAATTAAAAGCTTGCTGACTTCGATCTTCCTCATCCTCATTATCGGGGGCTGACAGAGTTCGTCTAACTCTGCCCCCTCACGATCCCTTCTCTTGCCTCCGATGTTCCTATTGCTGTTGTTTCTCTCCTTTCTTGTTTTTTTTTTTTCACTCTCTCCCAGTCGTCCAATCCCATCTACACCACCAGGTCCACGGGCTCATCGATAGACGTTGGGAAAGAGGAGAGAGGCAAGTGGATGGAACTCAGTCCAGCCCTTCTCGACCGAGATGCAGACCCTTCCCCGCCTCCTATCACAAACGGATGCTAAACCAGAGATGTCCACTTTGCCATTGAACCCCGAATGCCTCGCCCAGAGGTGATCTTGTCCATTTGCTTCTTTGAGTATGGATCAATTCTCGTGTTTTTTTTCTTTGTGGTTTGCTTTCTCTCTCTCTCTCTCTCTCTCTCTTTATTTATTTAATTTTTTTTTAAAACCCCTCTGGGTCTGGGCAATCTAGCCTCCTACTCCCTGCCCCTCTTCATCCCACCCATGTCGGTTTGACATGCATTATTAGGTTGGCCTGACAGCGGCGGCAACTCTCCAATGAGTCTCAAATGGGCAACATCGGAGAGATTCTGACCCCGGTCAGAGCTAAATGTTAGGCTACGAAGGTTACACATTCCCTGTTTCTAAGGTTTCCCTTGCAGTTGCAGTGCTCATTATCGGGTTCTTATCGTGGGGTGGATTTTGGTCTCCCTGGTTTGATTACCCTCGCCACCCATCCGGCCAAAATGCTGGCTTACTACTCCTTGCGGATGATCCGTAATGGGACTCATAAGATACAGATACCTCATTCAATGAAGAAAGAGGAGAAGAGACATAAAAAGACTAAGTTAGAGGCGAAGCGTGAGCAAAGGTACTCATCAAAATTTCGTAGAAAGGAACTCAGAACCGCATACAGACGTCAGCATTTGTACCGGTAAGTACAATTTCGCTTGCTGCCGCTATATGAAGTAAATCAATAACCTTAAGCTATCAGTCTATATCGAACACATAGAAGACTCCGGGTAGGCCACCTCGCAAGCATCCGAAAATCTTTTCCTTTTTTACCAAAATAAATAAGTGACAATGGTTCACACAGAATAAAAGAGAAGTAGAAAAGAAAAGAAAAAAAAAAGGCAAGGGCTGGGCAGCGAGTGAAGAAGGAGAGAAACTGGTTTACTTAATTTTGATCCTGCCTAGGCTATGATGAGAGGGCAAAGAGATCCCTAAGGCAGACTGAATGATCAAGCAACCAATAAACGGAAGTTGCGGGTGTGAGAGGAGAAATGTTAATGGAGGTCCAAGAGGCAAAAGGGATCCACCAGACAGCAGGCCAAGTTTCATAAGCTCGGAGGAGAGTAGCATCAAGGGAGTGGTAGGGTCAAGCCAAACAAGCCGGTGATTAAGCGCACAGACTCTGAGAATTTGGGAAGCGACCATACGAACTGCCATCGCTGCCGCGAGTCGAGTATATGGGATCATACCCACTGCTTGTAGAAAGGTGGAAGAGATTTGGGGCTATGCGTGATGAGTGTTTCATATAATGCGGCGAATCATGCTGGTCGTTCGACACGAACGAGACCATCGGGTCATAGGTCTCCGTATATCCGTTAGCAGATTCATCGCTGTTCTTAGTGATAGAGTCATAATCAAAGGACGGCAAATGGTGACGATACTGGCTGCTGGGCTTTCGATTATTCAGGACATTGAAACCAGGGTCTTGGTAAGAATCCATACTGGAGGTACTTTTCATCGAATCCATGGGATCCATCGTGTCCGTGATGAGCCCCAGGTCAAACGCTGATGACGAAGATGACGATATATGCGGGCTCTCACTGAGCGGTGACTGGTCGGCCGCTGTCATTTGATGGTAGTCTGGTCTAGCGTAATGCGGACCGCTACGGTGTGAAGAGTCGTACGGCATCAAGGTCAAGTGAGACCGTGCAGCCTGTCCAATGCCCGGGGGTAGGACAGCCCCTCCGGTGCCGTCGCCCGAGCCACCACTTCCTCCGTCTGGACCCATGCTCGTTGAGCTATCCCGTCGGCCATCTTTGTAATGACCTGGAGAGCGACCGCGGACGACCATTGGATGTGAAAGCCGTCGAGCAATCTTGTACCATTGAGTCTCAGTTCCGCCCACCGGATGCGATACCTGTGCATATAGCTCTACCACCAGATTGTAATATTGCTGTTGAGCCCGTCGCTTGCCGTTGTTTGCCGTTGCTTTCTGAAACTGAATGCGTTCAAAAGTGTGTTGGGTTGGGGGCTGTGACGGCTGTGGGGCCCCAGTGTACGTGGAGGCATACTCCATGGGTATTCCGGCCGATTGTGATGTCAGTGAGTAGCCGTGGGGACTGCTGCTGGATGCCCCAGCATGGCTTAAGGCTAGCGGAGAAGTTTGGCATGGCTGAAGCACGATCTTGCCTGGTTTTCTTTCCGACTGTTTGTCTCGCTTCGGAGTGTGCTGTACCAGCTCTCGCGGCTCCCCGCATTGTGCGTTGACTATTGCCGAGATAGACATGGAGAATGACAGAATGCGCTCCGCCGTTGATTGCTCCGAGAACTTCAAGTAGAGCGGGCCGTGCGGCATCGGGCACAAGGAAAATGAACATGAGACCGAAAAGTAGTTACGGCGATAGCAGGTCCATTTCTCGTCCACTTGGAAGAATCCTTTGTGGATCTTCGCCTGTATCTCAGGTCTAATCGATTGACTGCCAGAGATAATGGGGTGAATGACGTTCGTCTCATGAAATGGAGGCGCATCTGCCATCGGCTGCGCTAAACGTTGGACTGGATCCATTAGTAGGTTCGCCGACTGCCCGAAGAGCGAGCGTTCGACGGACCCATCGAGGACTCTTGGGGTTGTGGTATACGGAGGGAGCCTGCCCATTTCGGGCAAGGCAGACAGTGGTGGGAATGTTCCGCGGTGAAGTGCATAGCCTGAGTAACTATCAGATCTGCCTACTGAAACTGCGGTGGCTTGCGATGGCGACATGTTGGTCGGTGGCTGACTATATGGATCCCGGAATTTTCTTATCAATCAACTCATGTTGGCGATAACCTTCCATGCAAGTAGAAGGCAGACTTACAGCGCAGGAGGCATCCGATGTGACCTGAAATCTGACATCCGATCATAGGATAGCCCAGGAGAATGTGAGTAAATAGAATTAGATGCGGATGAGAAGGTCTCTAGTATCAGAAATCCCTCCTGTTAGCGGGGGTTCGGCCAGCTACAACAAAAAGAATAGCTAGAGTGGTTGGGAACAAACCAGAGCACGAGTCAGTGGGGCTCATAATCATGGTTGGCGACGTTGCGAAGCTGCGAACTCATTTAGTCATGTTGCTGTGTCTGCGAGGAGGTGTGGGAAAGTCTTGAGAGAATAGTGGCAATGAGGGCCAAAATAACATAGAAGAAAAGAAAGGCCAAGTATAACTCATTGGCTTCCAACGCATCATGATTGCAAGGCATGTATAAACGTATCAGAAGCGATGCGAAGAGTCCAGTGATGCGACCAGGGAGCAGCATCCCATGCACTATGCAAGAGACAAACTACCAAACCCAACTTTTGATGCAATAAGGAATAAGGATGACAGGCCGAAACGGAATATCAGAAGTTATTAGAAAATCTAAATGACCAAATATTCGGACAAGCATGCCGTGGTGGAAAGGAAAAGAAAACAGACAGAAAAAAAAAAAAAAAGATAACAAGGATTAATCCAAAGAGGCCGCAGAGGCAGAACAGAAACACAGAGGGTTGAACAGCTCGCTGCTCGGTAGTCGAGCTGTTTGGACAAGAAGGGAATGCTGTAACTAGTGCAGTGGCTGCAAGCGGGACAAGTGGAGAACGAGGATGGTCTGAATTGAAAGAGGATTGAACTTACGGTACATCCTGCAGTGCAGGCTGCTGTGTGTTGTATCGCAAACCGTTGGTAGCAGGTATTGAGACAGGCTGCGCGAGAGGATGGCCAACGGCGCCACCTCTCCGGCTATTTTCGTCTTCGTCCATTGAAAAAGATGTTGATCCAGAAAATGGTCGTTGCGCTCCAGCGTAGTCTCCGTCACTATTGAGGGGACCATCTAGTGGAAAGGTATTTTGCAAAAGAGTTGCTGATGATGAACCCATGATTAGTAGGGTAGCTTTTTGAGAATGGATGCCAACGGGGAGGTCAAGAGATAGAGGAAAGCATGATGAGGTAGAGAAGAGAAGGGGTCGAGAAACACCACAACCACATGGTTTTTTTTAAAAGAGTCAGAGAGCGCGCGCGATAGCGAGGGGAATTGCATAAAAGTGAGAGAAAAAAAGCGAGAATTAAAGAAAGGAAAAGAAAAAAAGAGAAAAATTGGGAAGGGGGGGGGGAAAGAAATGAAAAATGAATAATAGTAGTAATTGACGAAAAAGGTACAAGAAGATTTAGCTTCCGCCAGGCTAGCATGGGGGAAGAAGGGTTCAACTCCATACCCTGTCAGCCAAGGAAACAGTACAAGGAAATCGAGCATTCTGAAAATTGTGTAACCAAAATGGAAGCTTGAAGTGTAGGGGAAAAAAGAACGAAAGAGAGGATCTCAACGTCACTCCTACCCCCGGCGGATGTAGATCGGCTGTCAGAAGCATTCGCAACCGGGGCGAGGTCACGAGCCCACCTAGTCGGCCGCATCCTGAAATTGACGGGACTTTGGCCAGGGTAAGGATGGTCAAGGGAGTCGAATCAGGGCCAGAGAATGATAAGGACAGAACCACTTACAATGATTCATTTGGAAATAGATTCCCACAGAAAGCGGCAATACCTCAAAAGATAGACAAGCTCTCAAAGCTGAAAGAATAAGAAGAAGAAGAGGAAGAAGAAGAAGAGGAGGAGGAGGAGGAGGAGGAGGAGGAGGAGGAGGGGAAGTGGGTAAAAGAAGACGCAGCGAAGAACTGTAAGAGAGAAGAACAGGATTATAATGAGAAGACGAAGCCACTGCCAAAGATCGATGGATAAACTTTTGAGGATTGATCAAACCACGCCTGAGGACGGGTTCGTGCCTGGGGCGTCTTCGATTTGATTGTCAATCCAAACTGAGCAGCGGCAAAAAGACCCTGTCAAAACTAGGCTCAAATGACACTCTTCACAGGGGTATACTGCAGCCTTGTAAGCGTTGCTGACAACTAGTATTGTTAGTGAGGCCTCCCCAGGAGGCTTGCTACCACGCGGTTGGAAAGGGTCGTCGCTCTTACCCGGAAATATAGTCTGTCTTCAGTTTCCTGGCGTGGCAAGAGGGTGCTAACTCTGAGGCAATAGCACTGAAATCTATCAGTGAGACGGACCTTTTAACAGTCAACGATGACAGACAACGATAAATAATCAAAGGTATGAGTTAGAATCATGAAGCTGGCCTATCGCTCGGTTTCCCTGCAAAAGACAATATAGGCGATGAGGCCCAGAGAAAGCGGGAGAAGACCTGGGAAGTAAAACAATAGAGAGGGTAGAAAGACTATCGGCCGGCAGGGACGCTAAAAGCAATAATGGCAATAAACAACATGGACGGGAAGATGAAGAAGAAGAAAAATAAGAAGAAAGGACAACAGGAGAGCAACTTCATACATATGCCTCTGGAGACAAGTGACTAAGAAGACCTGAGGGTCGTGGGCAAGTTTTCTGATTGGTATTATGGGATTGACGTAGACAATGGACGGGATCAATACAGCCCTGTTGCTATTAATCCTGTTGCTGATGTCGAGCAACTCTCGACGAAAGCCTTCCAAGACAAAAACTCGCAGGTTTCATGCAGCCAGTGACATCTCCATGACTCATGTCAAGGCTATGAGAAGCATCACCAAGAATGGCACTGGCTCGGGTCCGAGAAAAAGTGTAGGTCCCAAGGCCGAACTTCAGAGCGAGAACTCGAGGTAGGAAAGCCAGAGACAGGGAGACTCCCGATGCAAGAACAGGAATCAAGAACATTGTGACTTACTGGAATGTGCGCATCGAGAGGCAGAAGAAGTATCTTGCATCAATTGATGCAGGCTTTCATTCTCAGCTGCAACCCTATGTATATGTAGATCGGTCGACCCAGAAAGTCGGTATTTCACGTCAGTAGTTTCGATTGTTGAAGCAGCAGGAAACTGCTTCTCGGGAGATGAAATAGAAGGCCCGACAAAAGACTCAGAGGTTCGAACTTTGCTGAGACCGTATCCCGGTGCCGACGGTTAAGGGAAAGGAGCAAGGCTGAGGCGACAATATTTGCGAGGGGCCTACTCGCTTGATATTGATTTTCTGAATGTTGGATAGAGATGCCTCGCTCACGGTCCCTCCTTTTGTTCACGGCAACCAAGACAACAAGAAGCGCACTTCAATCTCCGTTGTCTACTTAGGCTGGCCCCTTTACGGCATCCAATGGGCAACCCTGGTAGAAATGTGCGGCGGAAATGGTCTGCAGAAGATCGTTGTGCACAAGCCCTGAAGCTCCAGGTTTGCCCATTTAAGCTTGAGAACAAAATACCACCCTCGCCACGAGTTTGCTGTTGAGCTAGACCATGTCAGGGTCCAGAATCCTGCCTTGTTCCAACTTGGCCGTCGAATCGGTCTCGAATAAAGAAAGAGTGAATTACAATGGGTGGTGGTGCACTTAGCCTTTGAGTAGATGATTATGTATTCCTGAAGAGCGATGTGATCCATGTCGATCTTGCTCTTCTGGCTTGGGTCACTGTTGATACTACTTGTTGTCTGCCTGCTCTTGCGGAGCGCGTGCCTTCAGTCTTCGAATCAACACGTTTCCATCCACAAAATAATGTCGTTTCTTTTTCACTTGATGGACGAAATAGGAAAGAAACTAAACCCCTCAATCAGAAACAGAGCAGCGGCCTTCAAGGGAAAGATTGACGTCTCATCCAGACTATTTCCAAAAAAAAAAAAAAGAAAAAAAAAAAAAAAAAAGAAAAAAAAAAGAAAAGAGGGAGAAGTTTTGAAAAATCAAAGCTGGACCCTGTCAGAAACCGTTGGAAACACAGAGCATTGGTCAGATTCCATGTGACATCTCTCTGGCCCAAGGCCAGGCAGATTTAGCGCTGCAAACTCCGTGCGGAATGAACCCCAACTTCGGCACAGTTCGACTGGAAGCCTGATTGGTGAACTGTTCTATACTCCATACAGAACATTACTGATGAAGTCAGCTGTCCTAGTGTGTGAACACCCGACGAACGGCAGAGTGCAGCAAGACCAAATAAGCTGGTACTAGAACCGATGTGCGGCGATCATTGCCCCGGGAATTCGTGCAGACCCCAGCCCCATGATGGGGATTGTCGATGCTACTACTGAGCTTGGGCAGATGCAGATAGCCAATAGCTTTCCGGACCGTCGAAGAAAGGTCGATGTACTCCGTATGCCATGCCAGCTGGCCATAGCAAGTCAGGGTTGGTCTGCCAGAATAATTAGAAAAAAAGAAAGGATTGAAGTTAGCTGAAAAAAAACTCCGCCTCTTCATGGTTCTTTCCTCAGGATCTCGAGACACTCAAAGCATGAAAAAAACAGCGATTCTTGCATGAGTAAACGATCAGGCGATCGTCAGATTTCGATCCAACGGTCGATTTTGAGGACCATGATCCGTGATGCTTGTTCTCTCACCGACATCGCCGAAAGAGCCATTAATTTTAGATATGCAGCCGGTATAGACTGCAGTAGCATGGATAACACGCCTGTTATGATTTGATTGGATATTTTGACCGAATCGCATGTACCTCAACCTCAACAACCCCTTTCTAGTCCTACCAATTCTCGGTGGGAAGCGTACATGTGCTGCACACAGCATGTTTTTCCAGAAACGATCAGGTCCACCGCCAGGTAAGACAGCCTAGTCGAATTCTCTGTATCTGGAAAGGAATGATTTTTGCGCGGGAGTGGGGGGTAAATTTTCCCCCCCCCCCTCTGCATATTCTGTTCAATGGTTGCTTTTTCCTCCCCCCTCTATCTCCTTCTCTTTCATCCTAATGGGAGAAGTGGTCTGTGGCTGGATGATCGTCCGAACCTGCAGGAAGCTAGTTGGTTCAGATGTGATATGCACAGTGCTGAAATGAGCCGCCAAGAAGACATCATTGGAAGAATGTCCGAGTGAGATTTTCGCGTGAAAGCCAGTCAAGCCAGCCATTGAAGGACGGTGAATCCAGAATACAAAGTCAGTCCTTAATAGTAGAGGGGATGTCGTGCAGGATGTGCCCGCGGGATGCGGCGCGAATCCCATGGTAACCTTGAACAGGGGTGGGGTGAAGGGCGCAAGGCAAGCTTGGGACGCGAAAGGACGTTGCATCTCAAGCCAGGTTTGGGGGAGAGGCCCGTTGATTGGGATAATCCTCTGCGGGGTGGATCCATAATCAAAGGAGATGATCTGATTTCACACAAGTGCCAGAATAAGATCACTGCTTCCAGAGTAGAACTACGGAGTAGAGAATTCATCAAGATGGACTTGGGTGATTGTAAGGATGCATTTTCCACCTCCTGCTTTACCATTAGTTAACTTCTACAGAAGCAAGATGAGCCTTTGGAGACACTAAGCCAAAAGCGGAAAAATTACAGAAGGTAAGTTAAGTTACTCCGTACTTTCCAAATGGCACTGCACGTGCATGGAGTTGCCCAAAGGGGATTAGCACCATGCCACTGGCATGGTGCTTGTATTCAGTACCTTCTGCTCTACCACCATTGTTGTTATCAAGTTCAACCACCCGATTCCAAGTCGGTCTCCACTACAATTCGGTGCCAATACAGTGCCATATTCTCCAAGTCTCAATCAAGGTAAAGCAGGAAGGAAACCGACTCTCTCGGTTCCTTTGACAAGGGGAACAAAAAGGCCCGAATGCCGACAAGGCCCCGAGGATAGCCTTCGAGTGCTAGTCAGTGGACTGGACTGGGCTGTGTACACAGTCTACCTAAACAACAAACCTTAAAACTTTGCGCCTGTTCCAGCTACTTGGCCAAGACTTCATCGGGCTGACTAGGCAGTTTCTAGGACATCTCTGCGCGAATCAGAGAGCCCACACGGAAACGGGTCATTGTTACTCTGACTGATAGTTATACATTGCATCTTCGATTTCTCCCCGATTCGACTCGAGCCCAGTCCCTTTTCTTGGAAGAAGATGCAGCCCCCGTTCATTCATGATGGTGCCTACGTTAAGGTTCAAACAAGGCTTTATCGAAGACCGAGTTCTCTAACCCAAGTGGGACTGGATTGGACCTGTCTCTTCAGTCGCATCGCTACCAAATTGCGCTACTGGCGCCCCTCGACCGATGCTCAGCTTCGGTCCTTCACATTTAGAACGCGATCTATCCTTTTCGCCGGTTGACTTTACCCGTCCCAGTGGCTGATACCCTTTCCTGATGCAGGCTCCTGTGCAACTGCAGAATAATTACAGTACCTTTTCTGGTCCATGCTCCCGCAAGGAAGCCTGTCCTGACATGTTTTGGGCTGCAGACGGCCGATATTATGGTTTGGACTGACAACAAAGCCCCCGCTAGACGACCTTCTTTGTTGATCCAGCAGCTGCACTTGAGGCGAGTCCAGAACATTCGGCTTTAATTTCCGGGATCCTTGATAGACTTCTCCATTGGATGGATCCTCGACAGGATCCTGGCTCTAATACATGAGAAGTTATGCGGATTACGATCATCACTTTGCATATTAGCCTTCCCATCGGATCATTCTTACCGGACAGCCGGTTCTGGCAGCAATAGCCTTCCGAGACTATCCGGTTCTATAGCTCATGCAAGCTGTAGCAGCTTTTCTTCAGCGACTAAGCTAATATGCAATTGAGCTTCATTATTAGACCGAGTATGCCGTGACGGATGCACAGGTACTACTACAGCGCGTGTTCTAGGTAGGAGCATCATACTTGACGGGAGCGTCGGGTCCGAGGGTATGCCGGTACCTCCCAGTTTACTTGTGAATGGCTTGGTTCTTCGCAGTATTGAAAAGCCAAAACAAAGCGACTTCAAAATACTGGGGTGTCCTTGAGTTGATCCCACTGATCTCTGAACTATCGCTAGTTATAGGACAAAGAAGTTCATCATTGGCAGGTCTTGAATGTCGCACATCCAGGTTCAATGTTTGTAGACGAACCCCTTCCACGGATTCATGTTAGTGGTGTTTCACTCTCCACCTTATCCTCGAGGCCTCCTTGAATTGAACGGCCCCTCTTACAGTCAATCATGATGCGGCTGATACCTTGTCAAGGTAAATCAGCTTTGCTACAAGAGAGCGAACACGGTGCTGATATTCCACATTCTCTTTCCTCGTGGCCGCCCTCGTTGGTTGGGTTGCTGTCAAATCTGGCTCCTTTGTGCAACTCGACGGGATTGGGGTCAGACTCAAAAGGCTGCCTGGAAATATTATTCTGGATCTCTTTCCGCTCGCAGAAAGGACTGTCTATCGAGGACGCCACGGACATCAAGTCCAACTGCCGGCCCGTATCTGAAAACCGCTGCAGAAGGCACCAGGTTTTGGCCAGGGAAATCGTCCTATCACGCCCATCCTCTCAATCCGACCGGACATTCAAACTGTATCGCATAGCCTACAACTCGCAGAGCAACCACGGATAGGGCTTGAGGATTGACGCCGATCAACGCCTTCGAGGCAGCTGCTCAAGGGAATACGAACGAAAAGAACCGAGATGGTATGATGCCTGCTGGCACCCAGCCACGGGGTCCGCTTCATTGAATGAGTCAAACTGGATAGGACCATCGTCATACTTGATTGGGTAAGGCGGGCGTGGGTGACGTTGAGGAAGGGTGGCGGGCAAGGCCCCCATTTGGCGAGATGGATATGCTGAATCCCGTGGGGGAGTCGGCTATTCCAGTGAATGGCCAGTGCCAGCTCAGTTGTCTCGCTTGGGTGACACAGGCAGAAGCTCGCAAGTTGGTTTTAGAGGGTGGGCATATCAAGGCTCGACGGAATTACTCGCAGGGCGATACACAAGACCATTGTCGACTGAACTATCCAACTCCGTGCCCATGCAATGTAACCAATGCTGGCAGGAGTCAGCACACCATCTACAATACCTTCCGAGCAGTAGCCATTGGTGCAATTGCGAAGGTAGATGCTATACGCCTCCAGTATGCTGACTTGGCGTCACGCCTCGGATCCAACAGCAGGCATTTGCTTATCTGGATGGCAGACGGACTAGGCGGAGGTCATGACGCGTTGATGTTGGTTCTTGTTCGTCTGATTATGCCTACATTCCTTGACGGAGGGGATCAACCAATGTAGAGGTAAGTTCCCTAGCTTGCCACCGAGCAGTGACTTCCTCCGAGGGCTTCTAAAAAGACATCACTAATGTTAGGTACTGGGCAGGGACTTACTGGAACAGTAGCGTGTGTGAGGCGCGGGGAGAAAATACGTCAATCTCAGGATCTTCCGTCCTGTCGCTTCTTCCTCTCTGCCATCCGAGGTACCCACGGGCCGTCCTCTCAGCCTGGTGGACGCTTGTATAATGCAAGCATATCCTTGACAGGCCTACTTCAATAGTCCATTCGGTGCAGCCTCTCCACGCTCATCCGCCGCTTCCACCGTCTACGTGTGGCCTATGGCGAACCATCAGCCCCCGAGCGATGATCGGTCTGCACTCAGTTCCCTTCCAGACCTCCGCACAGGGACTAGGCCTTTTGGTCTCAGAGAGAAACAGCTGGCAACAATGCAAACTGACCCATATCGGACAAATTCTCTTGAACGACTGCTGCATAGCGGACCGGGGTGGCAGGCCGAGGAGAAGAGTCAATGCATCTACGTAGAAAAAGACTAATACTCCTGCCAGAAGCGAACACAATGCGGATATGGTAGGAGCTTAAGGGGGTGGGTGGGTATTTGCCCCTCTCCCCCCTCTGCCCAGCTTTTTGGACGGTTTACTCGTTACGTCCACATGATAATAAGGGCCACCTCGAACCAGACTTTCTATCATTTGAGGGTGTGTGCCTACAAGCCCACGCTAACTTTGTGCAAATGCAACGTGATCTCGTCCCAGGACCTAGTAAAAGAGCAACTTTTCTCTATGCACGCGAAACCCTCACAGCGAATCAGGCCAAGGAAAGAGGAGGTGTAATCAACCAACTAGAAGCGCAGGCGAAGAGACGCCAAACATGAGACCATCATCAAGCAAGCAAGCAAATTTGAAGCATGTAAGCAGACGAGCTAGGCAGCTCAGGCAGCCCAGGCAGCCAATCACAGGAGATCCTCCAACTCGAGCCCACGACATAAGGTATGTACGTAGGAACCAGCGATATGAAGAACCGTGCAGATACCCGGCAAGAGCAACACCCCCAAAACACTGCTTCTTTCTCTTTTATTGTATAAGACTCACCCAATGCACACACGCGCGCACACACATAGACGCAAGCTAGCGAAAAATGACACGTTGGGATATGTCCTTTTCAGTAATCATCATTATCGATCGGATCATACAATACAAAGAAACAAAGAGTAGTAGCTGAGGAATCCCCTTTTTAAATCATGAAAAAAAGGAACCCCGCTTGAGGGAAAGCGGCCAAGGTGTCGTGAACCAGGAAAATAAGATAGGAATGGGAAGTTTTTGAAGAGGAAGAAAAGGATGTGGAAGGGTTGTAAAATTTAGGAGAGGACGAAAAGAGGTAGAAGGAATCTAAGTAGCCCGCTTGGCGAATTCGACGCGCAGAATAAGGTGGCGGTAACCGACTGGCGAAAGAGAGAGAAAGAAGAGATGTTAGTTTACTTGGAGCTTGTGGGTTGAGGGGCGAAAAAGGGGAGAAAAGCTTACAGCCATCCATCTTCTCGCAGGCACGGGCAGCATCGCTGCGGTCCGCGAAGCTGATGAAAGCGAAACCCTTGGCCCTCTGGGTCTCGCGATCTCTGGCCAAAAAGACTCTGGTGACACGACCGAAGCGTTCGAACAGATCCCGCAACTCGCCTTCCTCTGCCAACTCGCTGACCTGTTGCGGGTGTTAGTTTATTGCGTATCATGATGAGCGGGGGTTTGGATGTGAGATGGGGAGGGACAGCATTCTCTGCGTCAGAGAATGAGGGATCCAGATATTGATCGAGAAGGGTGTAAGTGAATGGTAGGCGAGTGTGGTGTATGCGCCATGATTGCCCACACACATACCACACACACATACACAGAGACTTAACCCCACTTCTCAAGCCCAACAGGATACCGAAGGTAGTAGTGAAAAGGAACCCCAAAACAGAAGAAAACTTACGTTCGTAACTCTCAAAGTCGCCAGATCGTCCTTCTCGAACTTGCCAGCCATTCTCTCGCCGCCGCCCGCAGCACCCTTGCGCAGATGAGGAGGCACGTAGCTGCCCGAGGCAGCGCCCAGTCCGCCCGCGGCGGGGGCATCCTCGGCGCCGCCCTCCATACCGCCAGCACCGCCGGCGGGCTCGTCGACGGGGGCCATGGTGTCCTTGAAGGGACAGCGGGCAGTAAAGTGCTCGCCGCTGCAAATACGACACTTGACCTTCTTGTCCTTGAGCTGATCCTTCATGCTGCCCTTCTCGGGGTTCTTCTCCTCCTCGGCGGCCTGGATCTTCCAGTTGATGCTGGGACGGAAGGCGATGTTCTCACCGACGGAGGTGGTGTCGAAGGAGGGGCCGGGGGCGTGGCCCTTCTCGAGGCCGAACTTGGCCCAGCTGCGGCGCTCGGCGACCTGAGGGTTGACATGTTCGCGGACAACGGTGGTCTTGATGCGGCGGGTGACCTTAACTTTCTTGCCTTCGTCGTTGAAACGGTACGAGACTACGGTCTTGGTGCCATCTTTGTTCGTCGTGATCTGCTGTGCGGGGAGGGCGGAGGGGTCGTCAAACTCCTCGTCGTCGGCCCAGTCGGCGCGGCTGCAAAAAATGAGAATTCGTTAGTGTCAAGACCAGAGAATAGGTCGGAGAGAATAGGAGCAGTCCGTTGGGGGATTTTTTTTTTTTTTTCAGAAGAGACCAAAAGAAAATTTTCGGATAACTTACTTTCCTAGCTTGGACATTGTGTATGGGGTGTGTATGTTGGGGAGAGGATGAACACTTGGATGGCTGGTTTTCTGGATTTCACAATGGAAGGCGAATGAATCCGTTGTGGATTTGTTCGCGGCGCGGCAATTTACTCGTGGCGCAGGTGCTTGTGGCTGGTGGTAGGATATGATCACGTGATGAGCATTGTATGCTTATCGGAGTGACTCGAGCTCATTTCCTTCTTGGATCTCATGCCTTCATTCTGTCTGGGAGACAATCAACAAATGCGGCTAGTATTTATTATGCTCAAGAGAAAATGTCTAGGCCATATTGGCTTCTTCTTGATCTATCATCTTCCAGAACAGAAGGCAAGTAAGTCGAGTAGACCATGCAGCAACACTGCACCGCTTGGACAGAATCTTGATAATGACAAGCCAGTGTGGCTTACGATCTGCTGAATTTCGTGGCTCGATTGACCGTAGCTAGGCGGGACGATGTACTCAAACTATGTTTGTCGTAGGCGTGTTTTCTAAGGAGGTATGAATGCCAACTGAACAAGATGATAGTGATACTAATGGTCTGGCGTTGACGACATGCGAGACCGTCAATGCCAGCGGGTAACGATGATAGACAGCTGGCAGCATTCGGGGTATAAGGTTCATCGTGAGGCGAGTGCCATGATGGACATATCGCAAGGGGAGGCAGGATACGCAATGGTTATGTTCAGGGCGAGTTCTACAATCGACACGACCAGGCATTTTCATGATAATCTCACGTATATTGACTTCCCGGCTCGTCTGCACGGGAGTTATTAAAATCAACAATATTATCTATATACAAAAATACCAGCTGCCATGGCAGACATCGTCATCCTCCATGCGGAAACCACCATAGCCAAGTTAAGACTTGCTACCATGGCAGACATCGTCATCCCCGCATGAAGAACCACCACAGCCAGGCTGATTTTTCATACCAGACATGAAAAAAAAAAATACCTATCCCAAGAAAACCCGTTCCCAAAGTATTGTATATTGTTATGAAAGTTGCACGCATTTACCGACCAAACTTTTTCAGCTCGATGGGGCGGAGGATGGCATGCACAACAAACGAGAACAAGAGGGCCAATTCAAACCCGATATCGCCGTCATGCGAGCGCTTTGCAATGGGTCCGACGAACCATGTCTCGCTCATACCAGTGACCATACCGACGACACCAAAAGCGAAGGAGACGCATGCAGCGAAGCCGTAAGGGAGCTTCTCAGGCGTGTCGTAGTGCTCGGGGCGGTATCCCCCGAAACCACGACGGACAATGAAGTGATCTGCGATGGCGATACCGGAATAGATGGCCAACCAATAGGCAATGAAATCCATCAGGTTCTCGAGAACTTCTTCAAAGTGAGAGTATCCAGGAATAGCAACGGCCACGGAAACACACGAGGCCAGGAACACCCAAATGAAACGAGGAACTCTTTGAGTCTGATGACTCAGAACCTGAAGAGTGAGGGAGACAGAATAGATGTTGGGGCAGTTGTTCGCGATGATCGAAAGAGAGAGGATGACCAAGCAGAACTTGCCGAATCCACCGAGCGGCTCCACAATAGCCCAGATGATACCACCATTTCCGGATGCGGTGTACCCGGCCATGTATTTGTTGTCGCCGTTGTTGACCATGGCAGCGGTGCCAACAGCAATACCCAGGAACTGAGTAAAGAGAAGGGGAGGAATCAGACCGGCCCAGCAAGCCAGGAAGATCTTGCGGCGGCTGCGATCCGAGGGTTGGTAAACAGTATAGTCAGCAGCATAGCTAGTCCAGCCCGTAGCAAAACCATAGATGGTGGCACCATAAGACAGGACGGAGCCAATCTCGGCACCTCCAGTTCCCATGGGAATGTTCCAGAAATCGCCCGAGTGGGCAAACATGCCGAAGACGATCATGAAGACGATGAAGGTGGGAATCCAGCTGTAGTACTCGTACAAGTGAACAACCTTGTAGCCGGCGAAAGTGACGAGAAGTGTGCAAATGGCGATAATCAAGATGCCCGCGAAACCAGGGACGTTGCTGTTCACCGCGTTGAGCAATTGAGCACCAACGATCGAGTTGGCCGCAGACCAACCCAGGCAGGATAAGACATTCAGAAGAGCGACTACGAAGCGAGTTGGTTAGCATGAGTAGTTCGTAAGTCGATACGAGGATGCCTTACTGAATCTTGTCGGCCAGTAACCGAACCAGAATCTGGACAGGACCATCTGACGAAGACCGAAAGCGGGACCGAAGCAGGAGAACCAGCAGACAGTCAAGACACCAAGCAGGTTGAAGAAGAGACAGACGAGGATGGAGTCGACAAAGCCAAGCTCGAAGCTCTCAGGACCCAAGATGCCGATGGCGAAAGAACTAACCACCATGTTGGCTGCCAGCCACTGCGAGGGGTCAGTTTGGGAGGCGGTCTTGTGATAACCAGCGGAAAGCCGGCAAGACAAAAGCATAATGCAGTAAACTAGGTACACACCATGCTGCTGATGTTGAAGTACGAGGTATCCGTCCGTTCGTTCTCGGGGACACGCTCGACACCTCGTTGTTCAATGTTGAACTTTCCAGCCAGCCGCTGAAGCTTTGCATAGACCGAATTGCCGTACATGAAGCTTTCCCCAGGGACAGCGCCATCGCTGCTGTCATCCATAGGCGCCTTGGCCACCTGAGGGGCCTTTTCAAGGTCCGAATCGATTCCACCAAACATGATGTTCCGCGTATAATCTCAACGGGGTTGTAGGATTGTTGGATTTGAGTGATGGAGTACTAAAGACTCGAGATTGCAAGTAGTTGATCGATACAAGAGCTTTTCAAAAGCTCAAGTATTGAGTATAAACTCAAGGGGGGAGGGGGAGGGAGGAGAGAGGACGAAACGACGACCACATCTTTCCTTCTTTTTTCTTTCTTCCTCCGTTGGAAAGGCGGGATCGAAGTGTCTAATAAGTGATTTTTCTGGGAGACATGGCGAATAATTTCTTACCCACACCACACACTCGCTCACCAGTCCGAGACGAGTAAAGGCCCACCGGATCCAGATCGATGTAATGATCGCTTCCGAGTCGGAAAACCGCCGCGACCGCGTAACTCCAAGAAGGAAAAAAAAAGTTAGAGAAAAAAAAAAAAGAAAACCGTGGATACAGGTTCAGTGTCGCGTGTTTGCAAAGTCCAGCGTATAGAAACGGCGCTCCGGTTTCGAGAAGAGACCAGCAGTTGCCCCACGGGAGGAGATGGGGCTTGGTTGAGCCCTAGTGCGCACAAGCTTATGCTTTGCTCCCAATCATGCCGTGGAATGGACAGCCACCGTGGCGTTCATTGGCAGGCATTTGGACTTAAGCACCACATAGTTCCCAGAAATTTAACAGCCCTCGTGGCGGGATTGGCCCGCAAAACTCTGCTACAGATGGATGGGTCTAGTGGCGAATGTACATCCACTTCTTGATAAGACCTCGCCTGGTGATAGGCAAGGGGCCCACACTATCTGGGCTGTATTCCTGAGCGATTTGATAATGATAACAATTCGTTATGTATCGCTGTTAGTTGGTTGTTCGTCCATACAGGTCAGGTACCGTTTGGTCTAAAGGCATGATCGAGAACAGTTCTTCCTTTCCCCTCCAAAGTCCTTATCTGCCATGCTCTTTATGCATATCAGCCCCTCCTACTCTATCTTTCTCTGCTCCTACCCCAGAGAAGATTATTGTCTGCTTCATGATGATATCATGTCGCGTAGCAGTCGGCCATCGCCGATGAATCTTTTTGACGACTCTCGTGGATAGGCACTCTTGCTACTCCGCGATGAAGTGACGGTGCTCTGCAATACAATACGCCGGTCCTGCGCATGGCTTGTGCTAATTAGACTAATGCGATGTCCGTCATCAGGCTATGGCCGGGACTCCATGCGTTCGCGACATGGGTCTGGAGGAGTGGACAACCCCTCCCTGAGACTGTCCAGCATTCCCAGCTCTCCCATCCAGCTCATGGCCATGACGGCACAATCCTATCTCTTCCCCAGACCCTGCGTTTTCCCCACGCTTCCGGAAACCTACGTGCTTAAGCCTCTCTATCTGACAGGTCGCGGGGATCGCCGTCATCCATCGTTATCAAGGAGCAAAGCTTCAGACAAGCACTAGCACCAAGAGATACGTGTGACTTGGCGCATTCACCCCGGCTTGCTGACGCTTGCTTGATTGGAAGATGGCGGTTGATTTGGCAGCCGGCCACGCTTCTTGGTGATTGGACGCCTGTGACATGTGATAAGACGGACAAGTGCGAATTCACCTGTTCAGGACTTGTCCGGGGGTCGGCCATTGCCTGATAACCAGTGTTAGCGCAAGGGCTATTAGATTGCTGCCAACTCAGCTTCAGGACATCGATTACACAACCAGGTTGATCTTTCTCGACATTGCCTCGATCTAGATCATGCCTCAAGATAAATACCCAACGATGGCAGTCTCGTATTAGTCGACTGGAGGTGACGAGGGAGGTCTTGATTGCATTGCGGACGCAAATACTCTACCATTACGGTGTATGTGAACATCGAATGGAAAGCTCGAGGCAGAGGGGCACATCTTTCGTTTGTCCATGTCGCATCAGTGACTCCGTCCCCTGCTCAGCGCCATCTAGCGTCTGGAGGCCTGCCCGTACTAGTACTCCGTATATGAACCCGAGACATTCCATTTATATTCGCGATCGCTCTTTTCCTCTTGTCCTCTTTCGTTCAAATTAGCCTCTGGTGTCTCTGCCATGCCGTGTAACTGTATGTCTGTCTACCTGTCAGCGACAATGCAATTCAGGTACCGCAATTTACCCGTAGGTACCGTCGAGAATCAACGGGTGGATCTCCATGAAGGTCGCACTCCACCAGCATCCGGTGCAAGGAAAAGTAAACCCCTCCTCCTCCCCACTCCCCTGCCTCCGTCCTCCCGACGTCCGTAATCCTCCTAGGGTTTTCGCCTTCGACTGTCTAGGCCAGAAGCCGATTAGCGTAATGATGACTCGAGGGTCGAAACTGTCGGCTTCTGTCATCTTCCGGCCCTCTGAGACGCCTGGCAATCCTGATGCTTCCCAGCATCATCCATTTGCCTCCGTGGTCTACCGAGTGATGATGGGGAAATTCCTCAGGGCCACCGTCATGAGTCGCGTCGATCATTGCATCGATTTAGTCTGGGAAATATGCAAATTGTGCACTGAACGCTTATCATCATAATACCACATGTGCAGGCCCAGTGCTCATACCGTCCTGGCAGCATTCGCTCACCAATTCACTAGAAGATAACATTTCTAGTAACCACTTTAGACGAGCTCTGAAGGGACGAAAGACGCGCCTTGCGGGAAATAACCATATGTCGCAGCCATAAGAAAAAAAAAAAAACAAAAGCCAAGCCCGCCCAACGCGACCGTGACTTCGGTAGCGGCGCCTCGTTTTATCATTGGTGGGAGTTTGGCTTGTAGCAGCAGGAAGCAAAAGTGCCAGCCGTACTCCTTACCAAGAGAGCTAAGAAATGCAATCCACAGTAGGATCAGGCACCAGAAAAGCACACTTTTTTTAAATTGTACTGTGTAGTAGTGCTTCCAGTCCAGGCAACTGGCTGGTACAGTACAAATCATGTCTCGAGCCTCATTTATACTCCAGAAAAGCAGAGGGATTAGTAGAAATCAATGAGGATATCATATATCCCAGCTACTGGTCCGTACATATTACCCACTATCAAGTAGTATCAGAAAAGTGAAGCAGAAAAAATACATCTGGACCCGCGTTGCGCGTGGGACCCATTCTAGTCCCCAACTTCTTACCAAGTACTTTTCCCGAGGGAAAAGTTGTATCTGTGGGTGCGCGTGACAGGCGCGGGTTAAACCACTTACTTGTACTAACTACTGTTTGTACTTAAGAGCTTCGGCCTCGGGTTACCGACCAAAACTCGCACCAACCCGGGATTAATGGGTTGCATGGCATCCGGTCCATCCTATCATTTCCAGTAGAATTGAGTCATTGTTTCGTCTGGATGGAGGATGTGGGAACCCTTATAGAGAAAAATTCCTTTGCTCTTGATCCCCTTGACCTTTCTGCACTATTAGTCCGCGGATACTTTGCCGAGCCGAGGAGGAACTAACACCTTCAAACCGTTGGCACTTTTCTGTACCTGAGATTTTGTGTAGATGTGATTGGGGCTGATTCGGTGGTTGGTGAAAGATTTTTCGATTGATAGTTATAGAATCTTTCATAGTGCTGCACGGAGTATCTACAGTCAACTTCTTCAATCCCTCTGACGCGCTCCGGTGGACGAAGTATTGGCAGATGCAGGGATTGTGTGTGGTGCATCGCCTAATTTGCAATCTCGTGGTAAGAGAAGAAATTTGGAATTTTGAAAGTTGAAGCAATTGGTTGCAAACGAGTAGGCACACCGCGTCGAACAAAAAGGGATATTACTACGGTTAGTGTTGGCTATTTAGTTGTAGCGGTTTCAATCGATAACCTCTACAGTCGTCCCTTGTCGCTCTTTCACCTATGTACAGTTAGTAGAGCAACACGGTGTGGCCAGCATTAGCCTGCATCTATCCCTGTAGCACTAGCTCATCGATGCGAGATATTATCTTCCATGACAACTAATAAGTATATGTAAGGGCCCTAGGATTGAGAGCACGCATATAGTTAGATCCCCGGCCGATGCCCGATCATGTCCGATCCAGCGAATCCCGAAACTGCTACGGAGTAGTACCCCAAGATAAAAATATATCATACTACTAACAGTCTCCGAGCCCTGTACAGACCCCTTCATACTTCAACAATTAAACAGTAGTATCTATCCTCTACCTACAAACTCAAATCACGCTCTCCGACACCGAGCGTATCAAGTAAATCGACACCAAATTCTCGTACCCCAAACCACGCTCAAACGATCCCGTCCGTCGTAGTTACAGATAGTAGATATAGCCCTCCTCCCGCCCAAGATCTCATCTCCGACAATCTAAATCCGAGAAACTTCCCCCAAAACGAGTCAATGTCTCCGACAAGATCGCCCGAGAGATCCTGGCTCTAAAGCTTAATACCGACACCCACCTTCGCCTGGTGTTACTGAGGTCGTGTATACCTACTATATGGAGTATAGTATCTAAAACTCCCATCGGAATCTACCCGAGACGCATGCCGCTTCCGCGAGCTTAGTACGTTGATTAGTGTATACCTAGTTTTCTTGCGCGAGAGTACCATCTCCTCCGTGCCTCCCCCCCTTTATTTGTTCGATTTGTCTCTCGAAATGACTCACGATGGTTACATCACCGGGTTGCAGTCCGTAGAGTAATGTGCACGGCAACACCGAGATCGGGACGCTTCGTACCCACCATCCCCTACTCCGCACGATAGTACGGAGTACTACTGCATGGACGGAGATTGAGCTATTTCTTCGATGATGCTTGTGGGAGGAATCGGAATAGCTTTCTTTTTCTCTTTATGGAGTAGACAAGATGGCGCTTGCAGAGGCTGGATCCAGCCTTCTTGAAGCTTTGTCCGTACGGCAGGGGTAGTGTTGCTGTGTGGTGGGAGGGAAGTTGAGAGAATGGCCTGACGTTTGTGCTGTATGGCCTGGGGTCTCTGTTGGGCCAGAACGTGTCCTAATTTGGGTATTCAAGGCCTCTAGTGAATCAGAATCAGAGGAGATTCTTGGCGTGTGTCTTGGTGGACGGAGACGGAGTCTCGATGACAGAGGCAGGATCTAGTAATTCGGATTGCCTTGTCCAAGCATGGCGTTTGCTGCAGTGACCTGTCGGCAGCGTCTCTGGCAATGAGATCGGCTGCTTGGCCTTCCTACTTCCAAGTTATGTTGCTCAGTGGTGCATCGCACGATTCAAGCCATCTGAAGCGGTACCAGCGTAGAGGACCCAAAAATCACGGTCTGCTGCTACAGACTCTGGCGAGCATTTTTGTGCTGATGCTAGAGCTACCACCAGAACGAGTATGCAGAGGTTTGACCTGCCGAAGAGCATTACTGGACCAGCCGATCAGGAGACTGCGTTTTCAAGAAGACGGCCCTTTCATCGTTGACTGTTTGGGCCCTTGATCTGAGACAATTGACAGCTGATCGATAATGGAAAAGTCCCAAGCCACCACGCATTATGCACCACAGGTGCAGCTCGAGCCCTGGAAAAAATTGGAAGTATAAGAGGTGATTGTTGTCCTGATTGATAAGTATGAAGCGCATTCCACCCGACCCCGTGTTGATATGCATATGCTCAAGTGTGTACCTGAATTCGTATTTTAGTATCAGGTTTCTGCTGGTTGTCAACCGGTTACGATGCGTCGCTAATCGTTGCGGACCGGTATGAGACTGCATGAGGAGCGCATGCACTCACCGACTCCAACTCCACTGGCACACCCCAGAACAATGCTCATCCTCGGGCACCGCTAGTACTGCCTTGGGTCCGCTAGTTTAGGAAGAACCCATGCAGTCTGCAGCAAGGGTTATTCGTTGGATCATAAACAAAGTGGCTTAAGTGCTTACCCCAGGGTCGCACAGGCGGGGTTTGCAGCCTCAAGTACCTCCATTCTTCAACCGCAAGCACCTCTCTCCCCTTTGCAACAACCGCCGCTCCACTCCGTGCCCCGTCTTTACAAAATGTCGAGTATAGGCCTCGTCGAAGGCGTTTCATCTCCCATAACCTCACATCGCCACCATCGTCATTGCCATCACCGCCTTAATCAGCAGATATCTACATAGAATCTACCTCCACCCACAATCCCCCATCCCCCGGCCCAGAGCTCGCAGCATGCACCTCTCTGGGCTGGCTACCACACCTACATCGGCGACGAATGCACCACCATCCATCACCTGCAGCGCCAGCACGGGCCCGTCCTCAGCGTGGGCCCCAAACGACGTCGACATCACCGACAGAGCCGCCATCGGGCCCATCTACATCCACCGCGGCGGCTTCCCCAAGACATCTGCGTACTCCAAAGTCGACATCGATTGCCTCTATTTGCGATGCGATGCGCAACAGGTATTGAGCAAGGGTGTGGATGACTTTGTAGATAGATTGAGGGTTGAAGCGCAGAGCAGCCACAGCCCGGTTAAGTGTGCTCGACCTCGCTCGCGCCATGGCTCGTGGCACGAGTACTGCGTATCTCTTTAATCACCGGTACGGCGCCATCGCGGAGGTGCAGACAGGCTCATCATCATCGGCGGTGTCCGCCTCGGCTTCTGTGGGCTTGTATGTCGGCGTTGGGGCTTTCTTCAACCTCAAGCGGTTTCTAATGGGTCCGAGCAACTGGGTGATGGCGTTTGTCGAGTGGTTGTCGACGATGACGACGACGACGATGACAAGTGTAAGAAAGTCCCACGAGCTGAGACCACACCCGAGCAGGCGCGGATCGAGGTCAAGGATATTTGCAGGCTTCGCCGGGACGGACTCGACCAGGATGAACATTGCATTCAGATTGTGGTATCTGGCTCGACAAACCCGAGACGTGAGTTTTGTTTTGTTCTTGACGATATGTGATCTGTGTGCGTATATGTGTGTGCGTGCGTGCGTGCGTCTTTTGCTTCTTTACCTTTACCTTCACCCAACACTAAACCTCCGTCATTTGATTCAGAAAGATTGCGTCCGTCTCCGCGACGCAGTCCAAACAACCATCAAGAACAACAACGACGACCCAATGACCTGCACATACCTCCGCCTGTCCTGGGCGAACCCGAACCGCCTGCCGAGGGCGTGCATTGTGCAGGCGTTGGCTATGGCGGAGGTCATTATGGCGGTCTCCAGGGTCGTTGAAGCGGATTTCTTGAAGGTGCTACGGTTGTGCAGGAGCGGATTGAGAATAAGGAGTGATTCAATTGTAGATTGAGGATGCTGATTTGGTTTGCACGGAGGTGATGTCTGGAGACTGGAACGGAATAATTGGTTCCGGGGTGTTGTCGGTGATGGTTACTACTTATTTACTGGTAGTTTATTTGTGGACTGAATATGTGTACAGTTCTTAGGGCCCGCTAATTTGGTCCGTTCCGGATACCTCGGGGGTCGAAGGTCTGCCGCAGGGTAGGGACCACTACCAGGCCTTGCAAGTGCAGTGGCCAGCCCCCTCGCAGAAACCCACGGACTCGAGGACTTAGAATCCAAGGCGTATCATAATAGAATCAGCCCAGACTGAATGTGTCCGCCCGAGAACGACATTCTAGACAAGCTTATATGATATTGTACGTTCCCTCCACAGTGGACAGAAGTAGCCTCACAGCAAATCTCATATAAACTATTATGGATAAATGGACTCGATGGCCCGACTGGGCCAAACAATGCTCAAGCTTCAGGTATAAAGAAAATTCCACGGCCAGACCAAGGAATGTAAGTGTATCATTGCATCGTCGTCTCAAAAACATCACAGCCGGAATAAGACAAGTCCGATTTGGAATCATATGCAACGTAGGTATCAAATAAGATATTTTACAGCTTGGCAAGCATCTTGTGGCCATTTTGCAGCAAAGCTGCAGCATCCGTCACAAGTTCATCAACAATGGCCTTGGCCGACTTCTTCTCGTTAACAACGGCAGCGACCTTACCCATGAGATAGGGGCGCGCGTTCTCGAGCACCGAGTCATCGACATCGTCGGGAAGGTTCTCCATGTCGTGCTCGACGGGAATGATGCCCTTGGAGGTCAGCTGCTTGATCTCATCTCGTCGGTTCTCCTCCCAGTTCTGGATGTATTCGTTATTGCGCACGCGCAGCGGCCGACCCTACAGCTTGTTAGCAACTTGTCACCTGCAACACATGTCTGCGACATAAACATACCGTGAAGATAATGGTGCGGACGTTGTCCTCGAAGCCAGCCGTGCGAACAGCCTCCTGGTGAGCAACAGGAGCACCGGCCTCCTCCGACAAAATGAAGCGAGTACCGATCCAGACTCCCGAAGCACCCAGCATGAGAGCAGCGGCTACCGAGTTGCCGTTGTACAGACCACCGGCAGCAACCACCTGCACGGGCTTGCCGGTCAAGGGGCTCTTTCGGCCCTGGCACAGTTTGGCGACAGTGGGGATGAGGATGGTAGTAGGGACATTGCCGGTGTGACCACCGCCTTCACCACCTTGAGCACAGATGATATCCGCGCCAGCGTCCAGAGCCTTCTGCACGTGCTTGGGGTGACCGATCATGTTCATGTACAGGATACCAGCCCCGTGCAGCTTCTCCACGACATGCTTGGGTGGAACACCAACAGCCGAAACGAAGAGCTTTGCGCCACTCTCAATGATGATATCAATCAGCTCGTTGAGCTTGCCCTTGGTGTAATCGTAGCTGATTCGAGTCCGATTAGTGATCCAGATCTCCATCCCGTGTCACGCGACCATATGGTCGCCGACTACTCACTTTGTCTTCCGAGCACTGCCACCAACCTGCGGGAGCAACAAGTCAACCCCAAAGGGTGCGTTCTGGTCCTTCAAGAAACTCTTGAGTTCGGCAATCTGTTCGCGAAGCATATCGGGGGTGTAGCCAATACCACCCAAGACACCCAGGCCACCAGCGTTGGTGACCGCAGCGGCCAGCTTAGGCCCGGCGGCTACGTTCATACCTGCCAGCAGGATGGGATGGTTGATCTTCAGGAGATCGGTGAGGGTGGTACGGATTTGCTCTGGTCAACGAAGCGATGCTCGTTAGCAAGGGAGGCTGGAGAAGTGGTGGGAGTACCACAGCGGTCACACATGTGAAAGTAGCGGCGGGTACTTACGAGGAGAAGCCATGATTATGAGGGTTGGGAAAGAAGGAGCTACAAAGTGGGTATCACTGAATCGATCAAGATAAGATGAAAGGCGGAAATGGAAGTGGAGGCTCAGAAGAAGGTATTTAAAGGGAGGCTTTTGACAACCCCGGTCATATAGAAACCAAGGGGGGGGGGGGGACGAAGTAGAGGAGAGGAGAGAGATGGGGAGGGAGAACCGAGGAGAGAGGGATTGTCTCTGGGTTGTGCCTCGGTCCAGCTGAGCAAACAACCGCTGGTTTGCCGACTCCGGATTCGTCAGGCCATTCTTCTTTGTGTTCGTCGCTGGTTTACCCCAGTCACTAGTACAGTAGGTTAAGTACAGTCTGAGTCTGTACGGCCAGCTTTATGTCAGCATCAGGCGCACAATACTGCCATGTGATTTGAGCGAAGCAATCCAGATGCAGCGAGTCTACTCCGTACACCGTACACACTATATACACTACAGTACTGAGTTGTATCTGTGCCCACTGTGGCACTGCCAAGAGGCAAAATGCGGGGAGGCGGAAATGCATCCATGATTTTATGCCTCAGGCTCACAAGGCTCTCACTGTCATCAGCTGACTTCTGGCGCCAAAACTCTCGCTCGCAGCTGGCGCTTGGACGCATGACGTATTTCGATTCCCCTCGCTGCTGCATCTCCAATTTGAGCGTCTGAAGTATGGCATATCGACCCTCTCCGACCTGGTATCGCAATGCTGCGACCCTGAACTCGGCTCTTTGGACTCGTGGTGCTTCGTGCCGGCTCAGTGCCGGCTCTCTTTGTGTGTCCCAGTCGTTAGGAAGGTCTTGTGCAGGTGTTTGTAGATCGAGTGCAGGCTCGACCCAGAGGCAGGTCCATTTGCCCTGAGCTCAAGTTGCCCCCGTGTTGCGAAATCTAACCTCAACCCCCCTCATAGAAGAATTTCTACATCTGGTATGGAGTCTTCAGACCCACCTCGCAGTCCAATGGCCCGTTGATGCTTGTTTCTAGACCTCTTTAGCGCCTACTGAACATTATTTTTTTTCTACATCGCAATCTTGGTAGCCCTATCTAACGCCTGATTAGGACATGTACAATCCCCTGGGGTGGGACGATCTCTTCTTGCATCAACAAGGCCGGGAAGAACCGGTCATGAAGGCGTAGCCTCAATTCCTTGCGTACGACGGGTTTCAACCAGTCGATCGGAACGCTTCAACGCCAGCATGGACTCCCGTCAGCCTCCGATGCATCGGGCGTTCATTGCCTTCGGGAGCAATGTCGGAGACCGAGTGGAGATGATCGAGGCTGCCTGTCGCGAGATGGAGCGAGCGAGTATCCGAATCAAAAGAACAAGCTCACTGTTCGAGACAGCCCCGATGTACGTGCTCGATCAGGATCCCTTCATCAACGGAGTGTGCGAGGTTGGTTACGCTCTTCCCCTGGCACAACCTGCATGCACGTTTCTTTTAACCCCGTATACAGGTAGAAACCAGCCTAAGCCCCTTGGAGCTACTCGACACCCTGCAATCCATCGAGATCGGTCTGGGCAGGAAGAAGCTCATCGACAAAGGGCCCCGGTCTATCGACCTGGACATTCTTCTATATGACCAGCAGATCGTCTCCCATGAACGTCTCAGCATCCCGCATCAATTGATGCTGGAGCGGGACTTTGTGCTTCGCCCATTGAGCCAGTAAGTGCTCCTCTAAGTCGGGCTTCATCAACACTCTAGCATGACGAGCTTGACGAACCCTCTTCACAATCAGAACGAAACCCACTAATCAAATACCACCTCACCCCCCCCAGGTTGATCCCCCATGAACGACCCCCCTTTCCCGGCCACTACACGACCTACCTCTCCCACCTCCAATCCCTCCCTCCACCCAGCCCCTTCCCCATCGCCACCACCCCCATCTCGCCCTTATTCCCCGCCATCCACTCCACGGCCGCTGACCGCCGCACACATATAATGGCGATACTCAACCTCACGCCCGACTCCTTCTCCGACGGGGGGAAACACTCGCCGCAGGACCTCGACGCGCTAACCACGACGGTGCGAGCGATGATCGCCTCCGGCGCAACAATCATCGACATCGGCGGCGAGAGCACTCGGCCGGGGTCCTCGCCCGTCGGCGAAGCAGAGGAGCTGCGGCGTGTGGTGCCGGCGATCCGGCACATCCGCACAGCGATCCCGGAGGCAGCCGGCGTGGCGCTGAGCATTGACACGTACCGGGCGCGGGTGGCCGAGGCGGCCATTGCGGCGGGGGCGGACATCATCAACGACGTCTCGGCCGGCCTACTGGACCCGGACATGCTGCCCACGGCCGCGCGCACCGGCGCCGCCATCATCCTCATGCACATGCGCGGCACGCCCGCCACCATGACCAAGTTAACCGACTACCCGGCGGGAGTCATCCAGGAGGTCGGGAGTGAGTTGCGCGCCCGCGTCGCCGCCGCCGAGGCCGCCGGTGTGCGCCGCTGGCGCATCATTCTCGACCCCGGGCTGGGATTCGCCAAGAACGAGCCCCACGATCTAGCCATCCTGCGCGACCTGCCCCAGCTGCGCACCGCCGTGGAGGGCCTCGAGTACTTCCCCTGGCTGATGGGGCCGAGTCGCAAGCGCTTCATCGGCCGCCTGACGGGCGTGACCAAGGCGAGTGAGCGCACCTGGGGCACGGCCGCCACCGTCACCGCTAGTATCGCCGGTGGCGCGGATATCGTGCGGGTCCATGATGTGAAGGAGATGTGGCAGGTCGGGAGGGTGGCCGATGCCATCTATAGGGGTGCCGTATAGGCAGAGGGCTGAAAAGTTTGCGTTTTTGTGATTGAGAAAATAGACCGAGAATACACCTAGTAAGACTATATGCTGGGTACGGTATGTTTTTGTGATGGCGAAGTCAATTGCTATGCGTTTACATCCAGAGGAGGTTTCCCGGTAATGGTGAACGCGACTACTTATATGCAACGGATATACAAGAATACAAAGAAAGTCTCAAAGCGTACGAAAACCGTTGCTGACGGTGATTCTGAAAATGGGAACAAGGCAAACAGTTGATGAGGTAATTCCGGTCCCGTCTAAACCGCATCGATGGACGACGGGGGTCTAGTGATCTGCGGGACACTGCGCGTTTGGTTAGAGTGGACCGGGCACTTGTCTGTCTAGAACAATACGAATCAGGGGAATAGAAAGATCATGAGGATGGAAACGCCACATGTGAAGGAGATCGTAGATGAATGGCTAGCAGAAAGGTCAAGATGAGGTGCAAGAACCGGGGAATTGAGTGCGTTGCGTGGAATACGACAAAGGGTCACGTTTAGCTGTTGAGGTAGCTGCGTATAGCACCTGTAATTGGACTGTTACTATGATGTTTTGTAGAAAGAAAGTGGAGTGGAAGAAAGACTTACCCTGCAGCTTAATGGCACCGTCTCCAACCAGCTGCGTCAAATTCTCAAGATCATCACCTGCGGTGATACCAAACCGGCGCACGAAATCCTTCGCTGCGTTTTCGATGTCTCCGTATGTGTCGCTCTCGGCGGGTAGATCGTCCTCAGGACGGCCAAAGTAGGAGTTGCTGGAGATAGCGGTAGCGCCATCAAATTGACGCAGACGCTCCTTAGCCTCGGCTTGGGCGTTGGGGTCAAAGCGATCCCGTCCGAAAAACTCATCAGACGAGATACCCTTCTGAGCGCCAAACCTAGACTTGGCTTGCTTCAATTCCTCATCTAGGAGACTATTAGCATTCGCAAGCGCATGTGAGCAAAGCAGATGAACGAACCGTCGGCTGCAGATCTAGTAGCCACGGCACCAAAGCCCAACTTCTTCGGAGCAGGAGGCTTCGGAGCGCCAACGGTCTGCCCGAACCCTAGTCGTCCAATTCCCATTCCAAGGCGCTCGACATCGCCGGAGCTGCGTTCCTGAGATGTCCGCGAAGGGTTGATGGGAGTAGGAGAAGCAATGGGCGCGGCTGCGGTAGTGGCCTTAGTCTTGGCCTCGGCTTCAGCCCGTTCAGCTTCAGGATCATAGCCCAGTTTCTCGATGCGCTCGGCTTCTTCCTTGGCCTTTCTCTCCGCCTCATCGAAATCGATAATGTCCGCGCCGCTGACGATCTTCTTGGCCCCAAGCTTGGGGGCCTTTTTGGCACCCAACACACTACCCTTCTTGGCAGTCGAGGTCGAGGAAGTCTTGCGAACAGTAGCACTGGCCCGAATAGCGGCCGGGGCGGGAGAGGCAGCAGCGCTATCTTTGTCGGAAGCGGAAAGCGGGGATTTGGAGCGCGAGCCATTGGCACCCGAGTTGAGGAAGGGCGACGCGGTGCGACTCACAACCGGAGGGGTACCCGTGCGGGAAGGAGGGTTGCTTGGCCGCTTGATGGATGGCTTGTCCCAGGAGGAGAAGAAATCATCGTCACCATCTCCGGCAGGGGTGCTCGAGCCATTGGACGAGGTACCGACGGGGATATCTGTGATCACCACCTCTTCGGGGTACCTGATGGGAGAACGTACTATTAGCTTCTATGCTATGGCAGATATGACCAAGTGTGAATGCGTGTGCGAAACTCACTGCTGCGCATCCTGAGCGGCCCGTCTCTTCAACTCCTCTTTATACTTCACGGCGGCGTTACATGTGTACTTGACCTTCGCGTCCTTGCTAGCCAAAGCGGCAGACCCTCCGTGTGATTGGAAGTACTTGGTGGCAGACTCATTTCCGCCGACTTTCATCATGCGGAGCTGCTCCCACTGCCATTCTGTGCGCCAGTTGTTAGCAATGGAACAGATTTGTTGCCCAGAAGTTGCGTACGGTCGAGGTTGGTGGAGCGAACAAAGGAGATGTGGACACCCAGGTTCCGGTGGTTAGCCGAGCAGTCCAGGCACAGGTAGATACCGAAAGGCACCGAGGACCATGTTGGGTTCTTGGAGCCACAATCGAAGCAGATCTGAGCGGATCGAGTCAGTACTGGGGGCGGTCGCTAGGCGGGGAGGGGTACGGCATGGCGCACCTTGTTTGCGGGTTTGAGCTTTAATTTCTCAAAGATCTTTTGAGACTCTGCCTTGGAGGCAGACATGATGGCCGGTGTGGAATAGAAGGAATGGACTTGTGCGAGGAGAGTATAGCCGAGTAATAGGGGGAGGAGACCAACGGTGAGAGGGGGAAGGGAGAGGTCGGTCGGGGATGAGGGAGAACGACTGGATCCAAAATGCAGCCCGGGAGGAGCGAACGTGGTCGGATTGGGACTCAGTACCACCGCTGCCGTATTTTTCACTTTAGCTGGTGGCACTTCTGCCACACCTTGTTTGGTGTGGCAAATATTGGAACACCACTCCAAACAAACATGGTCGAGTGTGGAAAAGTCACCGACTCAATGAGTGTCTATTACATCAAATGTCTGGCCTCATCTTTAATTAGACAAAGGGGGAGAGCTCCTCAATGTTGTCTCCTTCACTCCATCTCCTGGAAGCAGTACACCGGCTCTAACCTGCTCGGTGTATTGCAAATACGAGTCCGGTGTATGCATTGGCAACGGCTGAAACCAGTGCCAAGTAGCACGTGACATGCCTTTGAGCCCGCCTTCTCTTCCCTCTTTCCGCCCCCCCCACACCCTCCGATTCGGGGTTCCATGGCTTGCGTTTCTGCCGGCGGGAAAAGAAGATTCGCAGACAGACCTCGACATTTGCTCTTGTCTACCCATGTTTACGAATCCTTACCAAAAACAGGGTCCCTTTATTCCATGAGGCCTTTACTGGTACTCAGAGCAATTTACCACAATGCTTTCCCATCTCCGACCTAAAGCTGCCCTCTTCCGGGCCTCCACCACGACCGCCGCTCATCTCCTGCGCCCAGCACTTCCCCGCACGACAGCTCTCGTGCGGTTCTATGCGACCTCAGGCCCCGGACCGAACCCGACCCCCAAGCGACGAAACGTGACAGTCCTCTCCGACGACGGTCGGTACGGATGGGGGGAGCTGAGCGGACGGGAAAAGGTCGCGCGCGCGACGCAGCAGTCGGTCAATTTCCTCGTGGTTGTCGCTGGCGCCGTGTTAACGGTGAGTTAGAGACGCTACCCTAGACGACGCCGCGTCCTGCTCTAGACAAGAACTAATGATCCGCACAGGGCGGAGTGTTCTATCTGCTCTATACTGAGGTCTTCTCCCCCAACAGCAAGACCTGGCAATTCGAGAAAGCAGTCGAGCGCATCAAGGACGACCCGCGGTGTACGGACCTCCTCGGTGACCGTCGAGAGATCAAAGCCTATGGGGAGAACACCTGGAGCAGATGGGCTCGGAACCGACCCATCGCGTAAGGCCACACCCGCCAACATTACCTGTGAGGCATGAGGAAGAAGTTTGGTTGCTGACTGTGCGTTGTGTAGGACATCTGTTTTCCAGGATCGCATGGGCCGGGAACATTTGAAGATGAACTTCCATGTACGTTGTCTTATTTCCTGCATACTATGGAGGGTGGGATATGGACCGGGGTTGCTGACTGATTGGTGCAGGTTGAGGGCCCGCTTAATACTGGTACCGTGTTCGTGCACATGATGAAGCCGTTGGATCAGTATGAATGGGAGTACCAGCTACTTGCCCTAGAGGTTAAAGGTGAGCTCGATCCTGAACCATCTTGGATGTTCAGAATAGGTGGACTGACTGCGATTCATAGGTCATTCTCGAGTCGTGCTAGAGCAAGCTCGTGAAAAGCCTGGAGTCGGCAAGGCGCTGAAAATCTTCGGCATTCAATGGCGATAAGTTGCCGTTTTGCCGCTGCAGTCTGGTGCTCATGGTTCGCGTTACGTGCAACTCTACCCTTTGAGCTTAGCCCCTGGATACTACGTGGACTCATATAGCATCGGGAGAGCCCGGGGCCAGTGAATTACTTGGAATGGTTAACCGGTAAATATTTCGCGGCTCGCTTTGCGGCTTCAGTACCATCGTGACTGTAAGCTATATCGATATACCCCGTTGAGCCAGGAAGAAAGGAAGCTCTTCTTGCTCATATCCCATCTGAACACAACCACACCTCATGCATATTAACCACAATCGCTGGTTTCACTAGTCAGAGCATACACAGTCCTATCTGCTATAACAGACCAATTGACCAAGAATAAGAACTCATGTCTCATTTCATACCAGCAATCTATTTACAAAATCATTCATAACATGTCATCTCCCAGCAATTATACTATCCGGGGTCCCTCAAGGATAGTCTTAGCCTCCTCTGTCCGCCACCAACTCTTGCCCTCCTCACCGGGAAATGCGAATGCATCCATGCTCTCGGGCTTCATCTCCACACTGTATCCAGGCTCCAGGGGAGTAACATAGTATCCATCCTTCACACTGGAGGGGTGCACGAAGTGCTCGTGCAGGTGGTCCACGTACTCCAAGACGCTCTTCTTACCACTGACCACGACGTAGTCGATGGTGCTCAGGTGCTGGGTGTACTCGGGCAGACCGACACCACCTGAGTGGGGCACAATGGGGACGCCGAACTTGCGGGCCAGCAGCAAGATGGCCAGGACCTCGTTCACACCGCCGACACGGCAGGCATCGGCCTGGAGGACGGTCAGCGCTCCCGCCTGCAGGAGCTGCTTGAACATGACGCGGTTCTGGCACATCTCGCCGGTGGCGACACCGATGGTGCCGTGCGGGGTGTTCTCGAGGGCCTTCTTGATGGCGGCGTGGCCGAGGATGTCGTCGGGGGAGGTGGGCTCTTCAATGAACCAGGGCTTGAACTCGGCGAGCTGCTGCATCCACTCGATAGCCTCGGGGACGGACCAGACCTATTTTTTTGCGCCGAGTGATTAGTTGATGTCCCCAATAACATTCCCCACAAAAGGATGGGAGAGAGAGATGCCACAAAGGGCAAAGGCAAACATACCTGGTTAGCGTCCACCATCAGAATATTTCCCTTGTCATACCCGATGGCCTCACGGGCAATCGCTAACCGGCGGCGGTCCTCCTCGACATTCGCGCCGACCTTCAACTTGAAGTGCTTGTAGCCCTGGGCCACACTGTCCTTCAGCAGCGCCTTAAGCTTGTCCTCGGAGTAGCCCAACCAACCGGCACTGGTGGTGTAGGCCGGCACGGCTTGGCTCTGCTCGGCCTCCTTGATACGCTCCTGCTTGCCACCCTCGACCTCCTTGAGGAGAGCAATGGCCTCCTCGGGGGTGATGGCATCGGTGATGTAACGGAAGTCAATGCAGCGAACGAACTCCTCGGGGGTCATGTCCGCGACAATGCGCCACACGGGCTTCTGGAGGGTCTTGGCCCACAGATCCCAGAGGGCGTTGACCACCGCACCCAGTGCGAGGTGGATGACGCCCTTCTCGGGGCCGATCCAGCGCAATTGGCTGTCGGACACCAGGTACCGCCAGGTCTTGCCCCAGTCGGCAGTGAGCTCATCGAGGTCCTTGCCAACTACGAGGGGCGCGAGGAGCTCAATGGCGGCAGCGACAATCTCGTTACCGCGGCCAATTGTGAAGGTCTGTCATTGAGAATTAGTCTTGAGGTTGTCGTCTCGGGGGTAGGGTGTGCAGCTTGTCTTACCATTCCATGTCCAGCATACTCGGAGTCAGTGTAGATGATACAGTAGGCGGCAGAGTAATCACCGGCAGCATTCATAGCATCGGAGCCGGTCTTGTCGAGGGAGGTCTAACATGATCGCACTGTTGATCAGCATGTTGCGAGGGGACAGAGGAAGTAAATAGAGGGGTAGACATGTTCGTAGAGGGGCTGCGGCCATACCGGAAACCTCACGTCCCGCGTGGTGAAACTGGTGATCTTGACCATCTTGTCTGATTGAGCCGAAGGAGGGTCAATTGGAAATAGTCCAGGTCTGTGAATTGCGAAAAACAGAAACCCCTCGGAGGGGCATGGAGGGATTATTATATAGCGGGGGAGGGGACCTGGCCTTTCCCCCATTTCCCCTCCACGTCGTGTGGGGAACCCCGCCCCGATTGGCGGAGGAATTGTGGCTGGCCGTGGGATGCATTTCTCCGCCACTCACAGCTCGTCTTGCATTAATCAACTTCAATCCAGGCCCGGAAGTGAGTGATTTTTTCTAGCAGAACCCGCGTGACAGTTGGGGAGTCTTATTTTTGCGTGGGGGGATGATGCGCTACGAGGGAATACAAATCTGCTGGAAATTGATATACTCATACGCAGGTCAGGATAGATGCGGGAATGCAATGCAAGGCAGCGCGGTTGTACGCAAGAAGTAATTGTTGCACGGATACCTACAGTGCCATCCAGTGCATTTTAGTTTCCCCAGTTGATGACGATACTGGATCTCAAGAAAACAATAAGCCCTCTTATCTAACCAGAAAGGCCTCTCTTCTCGCTCTCTGAGAAGAAGATAATCATCCGCCAGAGCTTCCGAACCAATACCTCTGCCTCTTCGTCGAGAGCCTAGTAGCATTGAGTTAGACGCGCGTATAACCACAAACACGGAAGAAGAATCCGTACTCACCTCTTCCAGCTGTTCTACCAGCTCCTGGGGTGGTCCATGCTTGCGAACATGTTCTTCGACCACTTCCACCAACATCTGCTCCTGCACACCCAGGTATTCCACAATCTTTTTCTCCACAAAAGGTTTGAGCTGCTCGGTGACCACACTCTCGTCCACAAATTCCCACTTGACGTCCCAGTTCCAGAGTCCCTCCTTGTCCGTAGGAATCTCTGCAGCCAATTGTCGGGCAGCTTGTGCGCGCTCTTCGTCCGACAGACCAGCTGCTTCGGCAGCACTGTCGAACTTGATGGGGATAAGAGGCCGTCTGGCAGTGGCCTGTGGCTCCTCTTCGTCTTCCAGGAGGCCTTCGACCTCGGCAATAGTGCGGCGGGAGGTGGCGGCCTGAGCCTTCTGCGCGGCTGCACCGAGGGAAAGCTTGAAGCGCTGGGGCTCGCGGGGAGCCTGGTTGCGTGTCTCCAGCTCCTCGGCCTGCCGAGCGAGGAAATCGTCTGCCATGCCGCGGGCCTGCTCGCGTTGCTGCACGGACCGGGCCCGCTCTCGTTCTTCGGCCGCCCGATCCGCCTCGTCCATGCTGACCTCACGAGCTCGGAATGCCGCTCGGCTACGGAGCCATGCGCCCCGATCGGCATAATATTCCTCAACCTTACGGTTGGCCTCAGCATCGTCGTTCCATTCCCGATACCGTTTGTCCATCTCATCGCGCACCTCCTGAGCTTTAGCTGCTTCTTCCTTGTCTCGCTTCTTCTCACGCTCCAAAGCAGCAGTTCGGCTGCGCTCACGGTTCAACCAGCGACGCTCTTGGTCAAGAAACTGCTTCTCGCGCTCCGCCTCCTTCTTCTCTTGGCGACGGCGCTCCAACTCCTCATCGCTAGCGTCTGACTCTTCATCTTCCCGGTCAATGTACATGGTGGCAGCCCCGTTAATGTTGCCCCCGTTGACAAACGAAACCCCCTTTTGGTAGTCCTTAGGGACTTGCACACCAAAAGCCTTCGGTCCAGAAGGTACACCCCGGTCACGAGGGCCCAAAGGCACTCCGTTAGCGCCAGCGGCAGGCCCACTGGGGGCAGAGAGAGGAGGTGAAGCTAGTCGGTTGATGCGCGATCCAGAGTTGCGGGCTCGCTCCATAGACTCAATCTCTTCCTCCCGCTTCAACCGCTCAATATCCCGGCGATTGCTACGCTCACGGAAGGCAGCGATCTCCTTGGCGACCGTTTCCCTCATCTCAGGCGGGATGTCAGAAAGCTCGTCCTCGACCGTGATAGGGATGGTGACAACTTCCGCCGAAGTTCCATCATTCTGCCCCTCGGAGTCCTTCATAGCAGTGTCGCCCTCACGGTCAATGGCCGATGCATCATCTTTCTGTGCAGGTGCAGCGGGATGACACAGTTCCGACAAGACAGCTGCGAGGGCGCTCCGTGCAGCATTTATCCGCGCCTCACGCTCAGCTGGGTCCTGTTCTCCCCGGCCCGACTCATATTGCTCCAGATACTTCAGTGAGCTCTCATCAACCACAACCTAGACATGTACCAAGTCAATACGATTCAGCTTCTGCTGTAGCAGGAATCATACCAGTAGAGTGCTCTTTTCAACCTCGCGTTCTTCCTTGTCATCTCCCTCCGACGGTGACTGTCTCTTCACAGGCACTTGCACATCCTTTAGCACTTCCACTGCCGTGCTAAGACTCTCAGGGTCTTCGTACTCTGCAAAACCGAACTTGCACGGCTTCTCGTCTGCATCTGTAGCGCGGATCCAGCGCCGAAGATTTCCTGCCGAACGCAGAATCCTCTCCACGCCCTCGTCGCCAGCCACGCCTTCTGTAATTCCACCCACGAAGATGGTCCGGACAATCTCCTCCCGGGTAGGAGGTTGTAGTTGCATCATCGCATCGCGAACATTCTGGCGCTGGAACTCCAGACTGGAAGATCCCAGACCAGCCCGTCGGCCGGGAGCGTCACCGCCGCGCTCCTTGCTGGTATCTGGTGTAGCTGATTTCGACGGGCCCGATGTTCCGAGACGAATAACTGGGGCGGAGAAATTGATATTGGGCATATTGGGCGGAGGCTGAAAATTGGCTGGGAAGCCAGCCGGTCGACCGGGCTGCTGGGCATTGGCTTGCTGCATTCCAGGCGGCGGGGTTGTTCCGGGTGCGACCATACCAGGGGGGGGAGCTGGTGAAGTCAATATTAGTTCGCAACGGGGATTTGAAGATTGAATGATGGCCTTACCCATGCCGGGTGGTGCGCCGGGGTAACTCCCAAAATCAGGTGGGCGGCCATAGAGACCAGGGGCTTAACAATGTCAGTATACGCGTAGAGAAATTTGACGGAAACAGCAACTCAGCAAGCTTGAGTTGATGGACATACGCTGATAAGGATTATACATTGCGGCGAGTTCGCAGCCTCCGTTGCGATAGCTGCAGAAGATTTGTAGCGCGACACGTAACTGGAAGCAACACGTGAGGAAATTTGAACCCTCGAAGACAGGCTCTATCGAGTGTACGTAAGATTTAGGAAACGGCCGTAGCAGAGCGCGAGCCCAAAGTTAAATGATTGAATGAGAAAGAGAGAGTGCGATGTGGTTGGAGAAGCTGGAGAACTTGCGGCGGAAGATCCAGCCTCAAACAGAAGAGTGGCCTGTGCGCGGCACATGTTGCGAGCCTGACAAGTAAGGCATCAAAGTCAACACCTAAGGTGTCAATCCGCACATGCAAACGCATTGATCGTCGCTGCGCAGGTAAGGTATCCAGGATTTACTTTGTACTATGATACGCCTTCAAAAGCAATATCCACCATCTAGCATCCTCCTATATTTCTTCAATGTCGAATGAAATTGGAATACAAACAGGGTATGCACTAAACTGAACTCTTGCAGGTCAGGCCAAGATGAACTAGTTTAACCAGCCTATTATGGTTGCATCACATCAATTCCTCAGATTAAGAGTGGTTAGTGATATTTGAGCGCCTGACAGATCCATTGGCGCTTGGGGAATGGCCGTGGCTGAACAATGGTAGGGCAGCATCTTCGAACAATTGAGACTGGGAGAGGAAACATTTCCCGGGATAACGCCGGCAATTGAGAAGTCTTGAGAATACGAATCGAAGCTTCAACCTGAGCTTGGAAGGACTGCCAGTCGCCTCGATCACTGCGGAGTAAACACCTTTAATCGGACAACATTCCTCCGGCAGTGCCCTGGGGAGCAATTGGCGTAGGAGGTTCGTGTCCAGACGCCAACCGGTCACTCCTTCGAGATTAGAATCCGAGACCATCGGGGAGGCATCATAAGTTCTAGAAGAACGGCGGATGACAAACATGGCCGTCCCTGTCCAGCTTGACTGGGTGCGGATAACCATTCATCGACAGCAATGGAATCATCGGATAAATTGGGAGCGTTACAGCCGTACGGAGTAAAAAGTGAGACTGGGAGGGGAAGTTTCCTGCTTGACCGGGATTGATTGCCCCACGGCAGCCCCTCTCTGGACGGAGGGCAACACGCCGGTTGACGACATTGTCATCTGTCCGCGCTTCCCGCTGTCTGTCTTTCTTCCTCTCTCTTCTTCCATTCCTTCAGCTTCAGTCCTTCTTCTCTTTACATTCTTTCTCCCTTATCACACCCCTCGCTATCTTTACTAGTAATAAGGTATGCACCAGCTCTTGAACTTCCGTACCCTAGCGAGCTAGCTCTTCTCCCGTTCTATACTCTACATATCACCGCTTCGAGCCCCGCACTCACTGACGTCCACCTTGGCAGTAGCTCTCATCACCATGCCTAGCTTTTCTCAAGCCACCGAGCTTTCCGCCTGGAAGGAGCTCCAGGAGCACCACAACACCGTGGGCCGCAACATCGTCTTGAAGGAATGCTTCCAGAAGGACCCCCAGCGCTTCGAGAAGTTCAGCCGCACCTTCAACAACACCGTCGACAACACCGAGATTCTCTTCGATTTCTCCAAGAACTTCCTTACTGAAGAGACCCTGGCTCTCTTGGTTAAGTTGGCCAAGGAAGCCAACATTGAGGAGCTGCGTGATGCTATGTTCAAGGGTGAGCACATCAACTTCACCGAGGACCGCGCTGTCTACCATGCGGCCCTGCGCAATGTCTCCAACGAGCCTATGCAGGTGGACGGCAAGAGCGTTGTCGAGGACACCAATGCTGTGCTTGAGCACATGAAGGAATTCTCCGAGCAGGTTCGCAGTGGTGAGTGGAAGGGTTACACTGGCAAGAAGATCGACACCATCATCAACATCGGTATTGGTGGTTCGGACCTGTAAGTGACATCTGTTGTTTTCGAAACATCGTGTCAGACACAGTGCTAACTGCAATATGCAGCGGTCCCGTCATGGTCACTGAGGCCTTGAAGCCCTACGGAGCCCCTGGCATGAAGCTGCACTTCGTCTCTAATATTGACGGTACCCACATTGCTGAGGCCCTCAAGGACTCTGACCCCGAAACCACTCTTTTCCTGATTGCCTCCAAGACCTTCACGACCGCTGAGACCACCACCAACGCCAACACTGCGAAGAAATGGTTCCTTGAGACTGCCAAGGAGGATGCTCACATTGCCAAGCACTTCGTTGCTCTCTCCACCAACGAGGCTGAAGTCACCAAGTTCGGTATTGACAAGAAGAACATGTTCGGCTTCGAGTCGTGGGTGGGTGGCCGCTACTCCGTCTGGAGTGCCATTGGTCTGTCCGTTGCCCTCTACATCGGTTTCGACAACTTCCACCAATTCTTGGCTGGCGCCCACGCCATGGACAAGCACTTCCGCGAAACTCCCTTGGAGCAGAACATCCCCGCCATTGGTGGTCTTTTGAGTGTGTGGTACAGTGACTTTTTCGGTGCCCAGACTCACCTGGTTGCTCCCTTCGACCAGTACCTGCACCGCTTCCCGGCCTACCTTCAGCAGCTTTCCATGGAGAGTAACGGTAAGGCTATCACCCGCACGGGTGAGTACGTCAAGTACACCACTGGCCCTATCCTGTTCGGTGAGCCAGCCACCAACGCCCAGCACAGCTTCTTCCAGCTGCTGCACCAGGGTACTAAGCTCATTCCCTCGGACTTCATCATGGCTGCCGAGTCGCACAACCCCGTCGAGGGTGGTAAGCACCAGCGCATGCTTGCGTCCAACTTCCTTGCGCAGTCCGAGGCTCTGATGGTCGGTAAGACTCCTGAGGAGGTCAAGACCGAGGGTGCTCCTGATAACTTGGTGCCTCACAAGACTTTCTTGGGCAACCGCCCCACCACCTCGATCCTGGCCCAGAAGATCACCCCCTCCACTTTGGGTGCTCTGATCACCTACTACGAGCACGTCACCTTCACCGAGGGTGCCATCTGGAACATCAACTCCTTCGACCAGTGGGGTGTCGAGTTGGGCAAGGTTCTTGCCAAGAAGATCCAGCAAGAGTTGGAGACTGATGGCGCCGGTGCTGGCCACGATGCCTCGACCAGCGGCCTGCTCCTTGCTTTCAAGAAGAAGGCCAACCTGGCATAAGGGACTGTCTTGGCTGCTTTTGAATATGCTTGGAGGGCAAAAACAGATTGTACATGTTCACGAGGCCATGAGTGACATTTTTAATATAATACCTTTCCATCTTAATGATTTCTGTGTGCGAGGCCACCCAGTGTATGAGCATCAGATTGTAGATTAAGGGCTGTAATATGTGACGGGTGCTGTAGATGTGGAAATTGCAGGGTGAGATAGTCCCATCTTATTTACAAAAAGTAATAGATGTAGTAACTGTGTGTGATGGTTGTGGTGGATGGCAGCGATTTAACCAAGTTTTAGTCTGTTCCACTGCGGCGGCGGCGACGGCGGCCCCCATAACCACAACCAAAGACTAAGGACCACGCTGTTTATCTTTCTGTTCTTCTCCGTCCTCGCTCCCATCGCTAGCAGCGAGCCCAGAGGCCTCGTTGGCGCGCGCGCGAAGAATAGCTAACACCAATAATGCCTCTTCAATCCAGGGGCAGCAATGTCCATTCTCTTTGGCAATATGGCCTCTTGTTCTCCGTCTATCTTCAGACATCCGCGGCGGGGGGCAGCGATTCTCCGTCCACCAGCAGAAACGGCTACAGTTTTGGACAAGCCATCCCAGTGACCTGTCTGAATCGGACAATGTGAGTTGATTTCCGGTGACACCCACTCCATCGACATAAAAGAACCAAGCGTACTGATTAACGTCACGTCCTAGTGACTCCGGAGAACATGTAAACCTCCACCACAACCACCACCACCACCACCACCATCTAAAACCCCGCCGCAACCATACACAAGTTTACTAACCCTTCTTAATCTTCTTCATCCCTCCAGATAACCGACAACCAAGGAAACCTGCAATACATCCCCTTCCCGATCTGCAATGAGACCTCACTCCCACTCGCCCTGCACTATGGCGTCTCCGAGACCGTCAACTGCACCATCGCCGCTCTCCCGGATGAGCTCTACCACCTCCTCGAATACTATGTCCACTCGGACGTCCCCATGACCTGCCGCGTGCCCACCGCCCCATTGGCCCAGCATCTCCTCAGTATGCCCAGCTCCGAGGGGGACAGCGAGGCGCCCGCGGCCGAGCCACTCAACGAGATCGATACCGACGGGCCCTCCTACACGCCCCTCACCTTCGCGCTCCAGGGCACCCTCCAGCGGAGCCACCTGCATATCTGGACGGATATGAACCTCCTGGCCCACAATATCGCGGCGGGAGGGGTGGCAGCCCAGAAGAAGCAGAAAAAGAAGGCAGCGGCAGCAGCGGGCTACGTTGTCGCGGGCACCGCGTACTCGGTCCCGGAGTTCGATGTGATCGTCCAGAAGCAGATGCGGAAGAAGCATACCAGCGACGAGGAGCAGGCGGCGCAGGCGGCCGTGGCGGAGGCGGCCAAGGATCCCTGGACCGCTGGTCACGGGACGAAGGTCATCCGCGGGGAGCCGTTGACTTTCTCGTTTCACGTCACTTGGGTTGAGGGAGGCAGGGGCATTGGGTGGCCTTCCTCCGGGCGGGCGTCATTGGCTGGCCAGGGGACGCGAGGGGATGATGGCGCGGGTGCGGGCTTCTTCTCGCGGCTGGTGTTCTTTGTGATGGCTGCTGGGGTTGGAGCTATCGTTGCGCTGTACTGGGAGAGGAATGGGGGCTCGCTGGGGATGAGGCGACGGAGGGGTGAGGGGATTCTCGGGGTGAGCTCGTCGTCGTCGCGGGGGAAGCTGGGCGGGGGGTCTGTGGGGATTACGTACGGAAATGGGGGTAAGATGAACGGATATGGTGGTTATTCCTCGGCTGGTGTCGGCAATGGAGCTGCTGGAGCTGGCTATGGGTATGGAGGGTATAACGGTAGTGGGAAGAGGGATTAAGTTGTTTGGGTGTTATGTTATGACTGTAATTGGAAAGTCTTCACTGTACATGGTTTCCTATGCATGCTGATGGTGATATAGACATGACAATCATATGGCATGGTCTGGACATAGATCAAGGATTGACAGAGTAGACATGATTTTTGATAACTGTATTGTTGACACGAAATGCATTCCAAGAAAATAAAACAACCGGGGGAAAAAAAAAAAGCATGCGAAACAGTTTCCGAATTTAGTGTACATGGCAATCAATTCTGCCCCCTATGAGATCTTCAATGCCATAAAAAACCTTGCTTCACCCACAAAACTCATCCACGAGATGGATGGAAACTCACTCACATCCGGTTCTTCTCCCCGCCCCTCAACGCATCCCGTTATATACACCCCCACAATCAACACCACCCTTTCACTAGCCCAATCTGCGCGACAGACCGAAAGCAGCAAACAAAGGAGCAAGGGGAGACAATCTACCACCCTTGCGCTCTCATTCTCTGCACCCGTTTAAGAGTATCCTTGAACGAGAACTTGAACAGTTTCCTCCACCGAGCCCGCCGGTCCATCTTGCGCTGCAAACCTTTCCGGGTGTGGAACTTCTGGGCTCGAGACATGTTCAGCAGCTGTTCTTTCTTGAGGCGGGTGTCCAGGTAGCGCAATGACGCCGCCAGATCGAAGCCCTTGTCGGGCTGAACAAGGACTTGTCGACCAATCTCCGGGCCCAGCTTTAGTTCAACCTGCTGCTCGGGACGCGCGGTCCGCACCGGCTCGCCGGCCTCGAGCTTCCTGGTAACATTGCGGCCGCCGAGGTTGAGCTGCTTGAAGATCTCGTCGAAGCCGGTCTCGGCAGGGGCGGGGCGACGGGGCACTGGGGTCCGGGTCGGGGTGGTGGTGGTGGTGTTGGTGGTGTTGGTGGTGGTAGAAGCATCAGCGGCGGCGTCTCGTGGTCCCTTGTTCCCTCCTAACTTCAGGCGATAGAAGTGTGGTGTAGGGGCGTTTGGTGCGGAGGCGGACGACGAGGCGGGCGATGGGGTAGACGACGAAGGGATGGAAGAAGGCTCGTTTGTGGAGGAGGGGTTTGGCGGAGATGAAGATGAGGAGGAAGAGGACGACGCCGACGAATCCGACGAGTTATAGCGGATCGCTGGAAATGACTGTCTGGCGAATTGCTTCGTATACAGGAGGGAAGTCGTCGACGGCCGGGCAGTCGAACGCAGGCACCGGGCCAGGGCACGCATCTCCATGGCTGATCGTGGTAGTCGTGTTACTGACACGAATTGGTCGAAAAGCAAGATAAGACTCGGGTTCAAGACGGCGCCCAATTGAGAGGAAGATGTTAGCAAAAGGCACGACCGCGGAGAGAGAGAGAGGGTGTTCGACCTACATCGGCCGTCCGTTGGAAATTCCCGCTCGGAAATCTTCATGTCACGTGAGCAGCGGCATACTTCCAGCAATTCACTACAGTCGACAGATGTTCTAGAAGGCTACTTCTCTTCATATATTCCGATTCTTGTCGTACACGGTAGCAGCGCGGTCTACACAGGGCTAACTCGCCGGCTTGATCCTTTCAAAATTTCTCGAAGTACACTGCAGCGTCCACGAAACTCTCGCAAAATGTCTTCCATCACCATCGCATCGCTTCCCCGCATGAGCCGCGATGCTCTTTCGGCCCTTCTCCTCTCTGCCACTTCTCCCAGCAAACTGGCCATCATCGATGTGCGTGACTCCGGTAAGCTTTCTGCACCCAAGCAAGCTTCCTTAAATGCGTCCGACCGACTGACATGACTCGAACTAGACCACGTCGGCGGTCACATCTACTCCTCCACCTGGGTCCCCAGTTCCACGCTGGATGTGCGGATGCCAGAGCTCGTTCGCACCCTGCAAGACAAGGAGCAGGTTGTGTTCCACTGTGCACTCAGCCAGCAGCGGGGTCCCTCTGCTGCGCTTCGCTATGCCCGGGAGAGGGAGCGCATGCTTGGCGCGGAGGAGAGCCACAAGCAGAAGGTCTATGTCTTAGAAGGAGGCTTTGTGCAGTGGCAGGAGAAGTATGGAAAGGACACCCGGCTGACTCAAGCCTACGTGGAGGATATCTGGCGGGAGTACTAAAAGGTGTTGTTCGGTTGTGTGGTGGGGCCTTTCGACAGAAGACGATGATGCTTTTATATACCCATGTGACTTGATTGATTTGGTTCGGTTTCGTGCAGAGCGAGGTTCAGAATATAGAGATAAAGCGACGAAGAGCAGTCACGCATATTGGGACGAAAATGTCCTACAAGATCCACAAAATCTGAAACTGAAATCTCCAGGTATTTAGACAATAAGTAATATACATTTTTCTTTCGAATCTACTCTAGAATGGCTCAGGCCATAATGTTTCCTCCGAAACCAACTGGACGGCGCTTACCATTATTCTCCGGGACGATAGCCATGACCTTGTAAATCTTGCCCATGCCACCGCCGCCCTTCTCAACCAGCCTCTTCCAGCCAGTCTCCAACGTCTTGCGCTTCTCCTCATCTTTCACACCCTTGAGCAGTTGTTGCATCCGCTCCACAATTCCCATCGCATGCAGGAAGTCGCCCTGCTCCACCGGACCATGAACCTCGACCCCCTCGCTGGCTTCGATGGCCGCCTCAGCCAACGCAGTGAAATCCACATCAGCACTAACATCGACCTGTCCCGGAGCGGAGAGCGCCGGCACGGTCCGATGGTGCTGAATCCCGCGCAGCGAGTTGATGGGCACTGTAGCAAGAGTCCCGTAATCCATAATCAGCGCCGCACCAGAGGGCACGCGCTTCGCCGCAGCCGGCATTGCACCGTCCGTAGCAACAGTGGCGTCCTTCTTCTTCGTAGCTGTGCGAGGCGGTTCCGAGGCGCCGCCAATCCGCCTGGCAAAGTCAGAGGCATAGATTCGACTCTCGGGACTGACCTCGATTGTGGACCCCGGCTGGGATTTAAGCGCGCGATACCGCTCTGAGATCTCGGGAATGACGAGGGAAGATGGTGTAGACGCCTTGGCCAACGTCAGCTTGAATTCCGGTTCCCCCTCGATGTTTTCCTCGACGGCCTTGGGATTGAGCGTCACCAAGAGCTCTCGCCATTGCGGTTGGTTCGCAGCTTTAAGTGGTTTCCGGAGCTTTGCGGGGCCCGTGGGCGTCATGACTTCGTCTTTGGGCGCGTTCTCCGGGGACGGGGGCACGGACTCGAAGGCGTGGATCGGTAATGCGTCGAAAAATTCGTGTGCGAATATGAAGGGTGTTTTGCTCTCTTCTGCGATTGCCACAAAGCAAATCGAGTTAGACCCGCGCAAAACCGCGTATCAGGGTAATATGTATCCTCACCGTGCGGCAGCAACCGGATATCCTCCACCCAAATCACCGGCACGTCAAAGTACTTGCACACACTCCGGTGGCCAATGTCCGTTTCTTCCATCACAGCATCCTCGCCACAGAGCAGCCGCTTCTGGACCTCTCTCAATGTCGAACTCGCCTCGACCAGGTATATCGCCTCGATGCTCGATGCGAAGCTCTTGAAGTTGCGGAATGTCTGTGATATCACCACGAATCATCAGCCACGCCGGATGTGCAATGAAGGGAAAGAGGACTCACCCTCAACATATCATCCATCAATGTCCCCTTCCCCGGCCCAACCTCCATAAGCTGCACCCCGCTTCTCTTCCGCCCCTGTGCAATCCATTCCGTGATCGTCCAGATACCCACCAACTCGCCAAACACTTGCGAGATTTCCGGCGAGGTTACAAAGTCGCCTTTCTTGCCGAAGACTTCGCCTTCGCCCGCGGGCCGGGTGGTGTAGTATCCCCCTTCCGGAGAGGTGAGGACTTGGCGCATAAAGGCTGCGATGGGAATGGGGCCTGTGACCTAAATCTCCAACCGGTGTATTAGTCCATGACGTCTAAAGTGCAGGCTTGGTGCGGGCTGGATGCAAGCTGGGGAGGAAGATGCTGATATCAGCAAAATACTACCTTCATGGCATTAGCCAAGGTCTGCGCAAGTGGGGTCGACCACTGGCGATTGTTGTCGAATGTGGATTGACATCTTCGTGGGCAGAGAAGGGAAGTATGCGTCGGGGTTGCGCGTTTTCTGAGCGCTCGGAGGTGCGTCAAGGTACGTCCGGTTGCTTGTCGCATCCTTGCGCGCCGTCCTACACTATGGGTGGGTCGGAAGGGGCAACGATTGTGAAAGTAGGGTAGTTTGCTCTACCAGAAGGCCTCAAGGCGGAGTTCACTCGAGGGCAATGCTTCGATAGTCCTACGTCGCCGAGATGGAGATAACGCTTTTCTACATCTTCTCCGCAAAACTTCCGCTGCACGTGATTCTATCTGGCCTTATCGATTAGCAACCATTCCAATCGGCGTTGATGGCCATGGATCTGATCTGCATCCACCGAGATTTAGTTTACATGTCTCTGTTCTATCCAAGAGCTTCTACTCAAAATGTCCCGACGCATACATTGTCCCAGTACCAACTCGATCCACAAAAAAAAGGTCGGGTGAACGCCAAAGTAGGTTTAGCGATGATGACGCCGGCCCTGGGGCTGTAGGTTCTGCTGCGGCGCGTCCACCATCATCTGATCACTGTAAAGACCTGTCTCTTGCGTATCCTGATACGACGGCCCGCCATGTCGAGGCCCGCTTCGGTGACCTCTGTTGTTCCATCTGCGGTTGTTGCCACGCGGTCTGTGTGGCTCGACTGCTTGGTTCTGCTCGTTGAAGCCATAGTTTCCATCTTGAACCGTCGGATCATTGGACCGGTGTTGGCGGCGTTCCTGGTCTGCTTGCTCCCGAAGGTTGTTAAAAGGGTCCTTCTGGTTCTTGGAGTTGGGCGCACCGTGATCGGTACCGAAGCCGAGTGGTTTCAGGCGCATCGAGATGATTCGGCCATCAGCCTAGACAACCGTTAGTTCTATACTGAAAATTGGGCGTGATAATAACTGACTCTCTGGTTATGGAAGTTGGCAATTGCACTGTCTGCACCCTGCCTCTCTGCAAAGGTAATTTCTGCCGACACCGCTGGGTGTTGCGTTATCACCAAACAGCTGAGGATTTGCCCTGCTACGGGCTCTAGAGCCGCCTGGATGTCGGCCGCAGTGGTCCCCGGTGCGAAGTTGCTGCCGATGACAACCGAAGGCCCTGAACCAGCCCCCTTGATGGTCATTCCCACTTTGTTGCCTCGTACTGTCGCTTGTCCACTGTCCGGAAGGAGTGCTGAGAGTAGGCGCTGCTCATCGGGACGACGCTGTTTCGCGGCAGGTCGGTCGGTCTGACGCGCCTTCGGGCGGGCTTGGTGAACGACGGGCTTGGAAACGAGCCTAGGGTTCGAGGGTGCAGTGGTTGAGCGCTGGTAGTTATGGATGAGACGTCAATTGTCTAGCCAAGCAGGTTTACGCAACAAGATGGTGTTAAATTTTACCTTGGCGACTCCAATGCGACTGGCGAGGCTGCCGGGCTTTGCATCCTGTGACTTCTTTGCGCCCCTCGCGGCGCCCCCATTAGTTTGTCGGTTCTTACCGAGAAGCTGATTTGCAAGGTCTTCATTCTGCTTTCTTCTGCGATCTTAGGGTGGGGTCAGCCCCGATGTCTAATTGAATACCATCATCTGGTTTGGGCCGAAGGAAAGCTTACCAGCTTGGATAATCGCATTGAAGTCGGCGGCTTCCTTTCGAGCGGCCATCACGAAAGAAGGTATTTGGGGCGGTTGCGGTCCGACCGATGAGTAGAGCGGTTGAAAATTATGATGACTCTGAAGAAGAGTCAAAGTGGAGGCAGAAGAGGCGACAGCCCGAAAAAAAAAGGGTCGATGGGAGTTGTAGTTAAGGTTAAGCAGAGTCCAAAGCGCGGAGGAAAGCATTGATGACTGAGTGCTCGGATTGGCAGATGGAGCTCCGGCGTTGGATCCGCTTCCCGGCACTTCTTCTATTCGAGTCACGAACCATACACTCCGTACTCTACCTCCAATTCAACGCTTTCTTACGTCCCAGCAATAGATCGGGTGTTTAGTCACTTGCCTAGCCCAGAATTGTCTTCTCTGCGAGATGATACTTAGCGATATGGCCATTGGCCAACTAAGTACGAGATGATCGGGTAGCTGCAACACTCGTTTGTGCAACCATTGTTCATCTGTCACTGATGGCTACTACTAGTAGGAAGGAACGTACTTTCCATCCAGACACCTGCCTCTGTCCGACATTGCAAATGCGCCTGTCGGACAGCGTGGCGGTTTTGGTATGGCTTTCTTCGACCTGCCTGGTCGTCGCCTTTCACTGCGTCGCCTAGTGAGCATGTCCTTCCAAGCGGCTCGCGCACTCCGTCTTGACTATTGACAATTCGCATTTGGCTATCTGTCGCTGCTCACTCAGTTACCCTCAGATGAAGTATCTCCAAAATGCGTTCCTCTTCTGATACAGATTCATCAAGGGGAACAATGGATGTATCACACCCGGCAAGTGGGATCAACAGACATCACCCAAGGTCATTGTTCTCTATCACTCTCTGCTATCCCATAAGCCGCAGAAGCAGGTATGTCTTCGCTTGAAAATACGAAATCGAAGTATTAATCCCTTAGGTCTGCCATTCAAAGGCTTACCACTCCTTCGCCGGCATGCGAGGAGAGCATCCACTATCCAGTGTTCAATCCGCGCGACCCGCGTCACAACCCTGACGTTGCGCCCTGTCGGTGGCTGGACGATGATTATGACTCGTCCCAGGGAGCAGCTTCGCCAAGGTCAATTCGATGGATGCAGGATCTTCCTAGAAGATCTCTTCGAAGAGCTCATAAAGGTTTACTTGCGCTAAGGTCGGGAATACGCCGGCGACCCATTGGCCCCCAACCTGTTGAATTGGATGAGTTTCCTAGCAATTGGTCGGCGGACTCAGCGAGAGACTCCTTGGACCAACAGGCGCTGTTCTACTCATCAACGGTGTCTGAGGCTAGTACTGCAGAGGATATCAACTTTGGAGCCGACCTGCAACGTATCAGCTGCAAATACCCTTCCGAACCGAATGCCGACATTAGCAAGTATTTGCAGACCCTACCGCTTCCTTTCGCTTTTGAAGAAGAGACTTGCTCCCCAAATGGCTTCACTGTACGTCACAGCCGCTCCGAGGCGGTCCTCGCTGCCTTCACACCCGAGACTCACCCAACAAAAGCGCCGAATGGACTTCCCGTGATGCTGCAAAGAGAAGCATTTCAGGGAAATCATCATCCAGCAGAAGTGCTAAATGAGTTGGATCAGGCCCCAGCGAGTCATGGACCACGCACGGTCGCCGCTACCGCGTCATTTCGACCCAATAATCCTAATGAACTCAAACCAAGCGACAGCCTTGTGGAACTTAAGGACCAGGGTCTTGCTTCAGTGGAATCTCCTTCGATGAACAGCGCTCTTGGCTCGAATCAGAATTTGCAGCCTGTTACTCGTACGTACCCGGAAATGTGCACTGCCTCAAGCTCCGCTCCCAGCAACTCGCGCAAGTCGAAAGCGCTTCGGATGTCGATCAATCAGATTAGCAATTACAAGCCAGCCATGACTCGCGCGAGCAAGGCCAATCGCGTGTCTGAAACACCTCAGATCATAGACACCGAGTTGGCCATGGAATCTTTGAAGTTGTGTGACCGATTGGAACGCAGCGACAGCCAAGCCTCAGATATGGATCGACAGGGGTCCCAGAGCGAATCGCCGTTCCATAGCTTCAACCAATCCGAAAAAGCACCCATTGTGGCTAATAAGCCTTGCGAGAACGAGATCGATTCTCAGAGATCGTCACCCTCTGGAAATCAAGTGTCGCGATCTATCGTGGCGGTTAGCCGCTCGGCGGATCCTGACAAGGCGACACACGTAGTAGATCATGAGGCTGTTACCGCCAGCACCGCCGACGAGGCTGAAGAAACCAGACTCATCCCCTTTGTAGAAGATGACACGGCGGGACTCACTCAAAATGAAGAGCGGTTTGCGCCTGAGATGAGTCAGATATTAGATGATCAATGGTGCACCGTTGAAACCGACGACTTGGCGTCACTTCTTGCTCTTAGAGATGAGTACTTCCTTGTTGATAAGTCAACTGATGTCCGCCCCGACCGGGGTAACAATGCGATCAAGTCAGAGCGAAGCTTCACTGGTGATGGATGTTTATATAGTGGGCCTGGACTTGATCGCCATTCGTCAACTAGAACTCAAGGCATTCCCGAAATCGTGGGCCCGAGTTCAGCTATACAAGTTCAGGTTCCGCGCGCATCTCGCGCCGAGCGCGAGGCCAGTGACTCCACTGACGAGTATAACTCTGACTATCCTGCGAGGTTTTACTTCCAATCAAGATAACCTTACTCCGGTGTCAGCTCTACATTGGTGGATGAGAAGATTTGACTATATTCTTACGTGCATCCATGAGACGCATGGCCTCTCATGACCTAGGAAGCGAATCTTCCAATACGGTCCTTGCCACCTGCCCCATGACCTTATTACTTAGGAAAAATTGTATGTCTATGGGTCACCGCTCGGAAGCCTCCAAATAAAGGCGCTATAATTTGTCCAAGCATTATCAACATGTCACATCCACGAGGTGTACGTCTATTTATAGTCCAAATCCAATCGTAAAAGTACATCCATCACCCTTGGGAGAGTCGGTATCCTATCCCAGGCGCAGGGTAAACCCGGCACCAGCCTCCGCACCATCCCCCGCCGCCGGCGCACCGCCAAACACGCTCGCGAAGTCCAACTTTGGGGCCTCTTGGCCGCGCTTGGGCGCCTCGGGGGTTTCACGCCGCCTCCGCTTCTCCTGGCCCGCCTTGGACGGGAAGGTCGGGAACATCTCCTTGGGTTTGGGCCGCGGATCTTCGCGAAAGTACGGATGGGCCAGGCATTGTTTGGCCGAGGGGCGCGAGGTGGGGTTCAGCGCCAGAAGGGATGAGAGCAGCCGCAGCCCTTCATTGGTAAGGTAGGGGAACTTGCCGCGAGGGAGAAGCGGCGGGGTGGCTGGAGTTGTTGCAGGGGAAGAAGATGGTGGGAGTCGCAGGGATTTGGCATTAGGGAGGGAGCGAAAATCCGGCCAAGTTTGGCTGGTTGGGGGACCGGTTAGGGCGAAGATCTGTCAAAGGCCGTTGAAATTGTTAGTTAGCGGTATGTCCAGCATGTATTTGGGAGAGAGAACCACAACAAGGACCTAAAGGTAGGGCAACAATGATGGAAACATCGCCGGGAGAATCAAACTCAGGTTATTCATACCTTCGACACCTGATCAACCTCATTCTTCCCCTGGAGCAGAGGCTCCTTTCCTAGCAACTCCCCAAAAATACACCCAATACTCCACATATCGATCTCCGGCCCGTACTTATCGGCACCCAGCAGCAGCTCCGGAGAGCGGTACCAGAGCGTGACGACCAGCTGCGTCAGTTTCGGAGGCGGCGGGTCGCCAAAGTACCGGGCCATGCCGAAGTCGGCGATCTTGATCTCACCGCGGTTGTTGAGGAGAAGGTTCGAGGTCTTGAGGTCGCGGTGCATGATCCACTGCCCGTGCAGGAAGTCGAGCCCGGAGATGATCTGGAGCAGCAGGGTTTTGGTTTCGGAGGGGAGGAAGGGTTCGCGCATGTCGTCGAGGAGGGTTTTCAGGTCGTGTTCGAGAAAGGGCATTACTAGGTAGACTCTTTTGCAATGCGGCTTGTGTTAGATGTATGGGGGATATGGAAGTGTGTTTTGAGCTGCGCGGGTCTGGGCTGGGTTGGGGCGCGTTTCCTGCGGAGGGTTTCGACGTACTCATCCATCTTCGTTCCCATGACTACTTCCCGGAGTTCAATGATATTCTGATGTCGCGATTCGAATAGCGTTTGGATTTCTCGGAGCCCCGTCACGGGAAACCCCTCGGGGGAGTTGGGCTCCAGCTTGAGTTTCTTGAGCGCGACGATCTCCCCCGTCGTGATGTTCCTGGCGCGGCTGACGAAGCCGTAACTGCCTTCTTCGATGTGGTTGAGGCGCTCGAAGTTGTCGACATGGCGACACGGGCCCCATTCGGAGGTGGGGAGTGCGAGCAAATGGTTGTTCTCTTCGGGGCGGTCGGGATTGGGTTTGGATGGTTGTGGTTGATGCGAGGGGGAATGGTCGTTGGAAAGACGGCGACGCTTGGAAGGTGGTGGTGCATCTGTGTAATTCGAAGTGGACTGTTGATGTTGTTGCTGCTGTTGCTGCTGTTGCTGCTGTTGCTCTTCTAGCTGTCGTTGTTTCTCGGCTTTGGCGCGGCGTTTCTCCTCCTTTTCGCGCTTGCGTTGGGCGAGGATGGCTTCGGTCTCTGGGTCATCCTCGTTGGCCCAGCGGGATTTGGAGGACATGATGGGTGGTGATGTTATTGGAGGGGCGACATGGACATTGAATGGGGATTATTGGGGTGGGAGGACAAGCCGAGGGAGCTCAGCTCGGCTACGAACTGTAGTTACTGACTCGGGAGGACTGCTATCACAAACTGGTACAGCAGGGCGCCAGAATCATGATTGGCCGGATGACGCTATGCGATGACGGGGCGGGACCGAGACGGCACTAAGCCCGGTATGGAGGTTGATTTCAAAGCGCCTCCCCGCCTCGGCCCGCATTCAAGAAGAGAGGGTGAGAAAGAGGGAGAAAGAGGGGTACCTTATTTGATGATTCTGTGGAATTTGTTGCTGGTATACGAATTTTTCTGATTTCGGGCCATGACTATTGAACCTTTCCAGGTGGGTGCTACTGCCCTTTACACATCAGACGCCATATTTCTAACCTACCCTTTTAGACCACCTTCGCGGTCCCAATGACCTGCGAGGGTTGCGTTAAAGATGTCTCTGCGTCGCTCAAGAAACTGGACGGTATGAGCCAGCCCTGGTGCTATTAGTCCCGCAGCTCTCTGACCGGTGCTTGTATAGGGATTAGCAAGGTCGAGGCCAGCCTGAAGGACCAACTGGTCTTCATCGAGGGCACCGCGCCGCCCAGCTCCATCGTCACGACCATCCAAGCTACGGGTCGTGACGCGATCCTCCGAGGCAGCGGTACCTCCAACAGTACGTGCAATCTACAAATCTACGAGCTTGCCTTTTGGGGTCAGACCATGCTGACAGGCGGGGGTGTGATTGCCCTTTTCCGTGCAGGTTCCGCGGTCTGCATCCTCGAAACACATTCCACGACTGTCTCGAACAAGATCCGCGGGCTGGCGCGCATGGTTCAGGTGTCATCCAACATGACGCTGGTGGATTTGACGATCAATGGGCTCGCGCCGGGCAAGTACGTGGCGACCGTGCGCGAAGCGGGCGATATCTCGCAGGGAGCGGCGTCGACGGGAGGTATCTGGGAGGCCGTCAAGGCCAAAGTTCTGGGCTCGCCGACGGAGTCGGCCAAGGAACCACGTGGAGTGTTTGGGTCGGTCGAGGTGGACGCAAAGGGTCGGGGCAATGTGTTTTTAGATCGACCGGTCGCGATCTGGGAGATGATTGGGCGCAGTATGGTGGTGTCAAAGAGTGCCGAGGGGCCCTTTGACCGGGAAGACTCGAACACATTGGTCGGGGTGATTGCTCGTAGCGCGGGGGTGTGGGATAACGACAAGATGGTGTGTTCCTGCTCCGGCAAGAATGTCTGGCAAGAGCGGCAGGAGCAGGTCTCCCAAGGCATGGTATAGAGGGATCTGATAATGATGGAAGGTATGGAGGGAGTATCTGGATGTTGTGATTTGACTACATCCAAGAGGGGGACATAAGCCGTTCTATGTATAGCACAGAAGGAGGGGTCGTCAGTATTACTACTACCAGTTCTACCAATATACGAGCCACATGAATGAATGATGACTTTGGAAGTTTTTTTGGAGGCAGGAAAAGACACAACAACCCCAGACTCACCTGACTGGCAGCCATGCAGGAGCCGCTGCACGACACACCGACTAGTCGTGGGTAGGGAGGAAGTGCATGGGTAAGGGACCAAAGATAGATACATAGCTCACTAAAGTGAGAGTAGTATAACGGTCCGACAGGGAGCGAGGAAGGGCGACAGGGAGCGCCATGAGGCCCGTATTTGTTGGAGTGGGTCGATCGAGGAGGGAAGTTGAAGGCAGGAATGGTTCATTCGTTTAAATGCAAGCGCCGTGGCGGGGGAAGTTTCCCACCGCACCCCAGAGTATCATCGGGAGATCTTGTGTGTGTGTGTGTGTGTGTGTGTGTGTGTGTGTGTGTGTGTGTGTACTCTGTATTGTCCTCTTTCTCTCTCTACCCCCTCTTCTACACCACATTCTACAATCTACAGAGATAGTCTCTGATTCTGTTCTCATGTCTGGTGGCAATCACAGTTATGGAATGATACTAATTAACAAACAGCTGTGACAATTCTGCAGCCCCGCATGGCAGCAGCAGGTCGGATACTAATCATCTCCTGATACTAATCCACATCACTATGAATCCAATCAGTCGGGCTGGCATGCGATGTGATGAAAAGTGTTCCCCCCTGCAGCATCCAATGCTGGGATGTGACCAGGATCAGACCTTCTCCCGCCTATTTTTATTCTTTTCCCCCTCTTTCTTCCCTGTCCATCTTCTCTTCCCCCCCTTCCCTATTGCTGACTTGCTGAGTAGTTCCTGGTTGATGGAACTGCATTGCATCCCTTCCTTACTCCCACCTTCACTCTGCACAGTTTGCACGCTAAACCCGTACTTGCCTTGATCTTCTTTCCTTCCCTTTCCATTCTGCATCGGTATACCTGTTGAATCGCTTCTAATTCTTTTCGTATCATCAACGCCGACTATTACCTCCCCGCCGCCCCCCCTCCCCTTCCTTTCTCCCCGAATGAGAGAGCTGTTATCTCTACAGCTGTACCTCAACTGAACGTGTTTGTCGTCGTCCAATTCCATCACCGCCGAAAAGAAACTTTGGTCTTCCCAACCTTCTTCTCCCCCTACCGTATTCCGCCCAGCCTGTCCGGTGTCTTCCTTGCCTTCGTCTTGGCTGGGAGTTGTCGGACGGTCATCACTAGCGGCTGGGTCGCCGCCTCCGTGATCTAATTATATATCCGATCTATCTATCATCGGTCCATCTATCCATTTTCTCGTCCACTAGAGACCCATTGCGCATAGTCTATCTCTCGCTCCTGGTCTGCGCTCAGTCTCCTCGGTTACGGTTCCACCGTGTGATTCCAACCCTGTTCTCGGCGTGGTCAAGGGCACTGTCGTCAGCGTGCTGGACCGGTCAATCACAAGTCGGAGACATATATACTACGACGTGGGGTTCTCGACCGGGCAGCACGCACTGTCTGCAGTGGAATTTGGCTCAGTACCAGGGCGACTGCGGCACCTGACTTTGCTTTCGGTCGGTGCAACAGGCTCCAGTCAGACATGTCCATCAAGCAGGTAGGTTAGATTCTATTCCACTGCGAAGGTGTCTTGAGCGGTGCTCACCTCGCTTAGGAGATCGAGACCTGGGTGCAAGCCCTGGATCACTACGATAACCAAGAATACGATGAAGCTCTTCAGGTCTTCAGTGCCATCGCCGAAACCTCCAAGATTCTTTTCAACTGTGGAGTCATTTACGCCACCCTGGGAGAGCATGATAAAGCAGTAAGAGTGTTCCTCGCCCCACGTCTCGCCCTCAGACTGACGGCAATTCAGGTTGAGTGCTACCAGCGAGCAATCGGGCTAGACCAATACCTGGCCATCGCATATTTTCAAGAGGGTGTATCAAACTTCCTGCTCGGGGATTTCGAGGAAGCATTGGCCAACTTCAACGACACCCTATTGTACCTTCGAGGTAATACTTCCATTGACTACGAGCAGCTGGGGCTCAAATTCCGCCTTTACTCCTGTGAAGTGCTGTTCAACCGCGGTCTGTGCTATATCTACCTGCAGCAGATGGGGCCGGGCCTCCAGGATCTCGACTACGCTGCCAAGGAAAAGGTAACGCCAGACCACGATGTTATCAATGATGCAATCAAGGAACGAGCACAGGTAGGTATTTGTCTGTCAAGGGCAAGAGCTGGGTTTCTAACGTACCACCAGGGCTATACGGTCTTCTCGATTCCCGTAGGGGTGGTCTACCGGCCCAATGAGGCCAAGGTCAAGAACCTGAAGTCCAAAGACTACCTGGGTAAGGCCCGGCTGATTGCCGCGACAGGCGAGCGCAACGGCGTTCCGTCCGGCCCGCTGAACCTGGAGATCCCCCGGGCCCAGTCGGTGCTGGATCATCGTCATCCGGAGCACCTCCCGTTCGCCACCTCGCATCTGGTGCACAAGAACCTGCCCAGCCGGAGCCGTCAGCACTCTGAACCGCCTCTGAACCGTAATCTCTTCCCTCCTACTCCCCCGCCGGACGCAGACAAGGCGAGTACCAACAGCTCCACAGGAAGTCTCGGGACCCCCGGTCGACCGGGATCCGTTCGCGCCGCACCGCCTCCGCGGCTCGACCTGAACCAGGCCCCCGGGCGAGACACTGTCCTCAGTGAGAAGCCGCGGATCGGCACAACCCGGACGGCATCCGAGCCGCGCAGAACAGCAGCGGCATCGTCAGGACGAGCCGGCGCTCGCGACGAGCAGTCGTCGCGCGGACGAGAAATGCGCGGCCATCGCCGCGGGGTCAGTGACACCGGGTCTGCGTCGTCATCGGTGGGCGGCTGCTCGGAGGGGAACTACTCGGGCACGCGGTCCATGCCCATAGGGACGGGCTGGCACAGACAACGGGAACGGTACATCGACGAAGAGGAGGAGTATGTCAGTGGGTCCGGATCAGCGGAAGGCAACGACTTCGAGCTCGTAGACGGTGGACGCTCGCCGCAGCCCCAGTCCCGGCGAGGAACATCGCGCGCCCGGCGCCCCGAGGTGCGCAAGTTCCGCGTCAAGACGCATGCCCACGAGGACACGCGGTACATCATGATCGAACCGGTGATCGGCTTTGCCGACTTTGAGCGGCGCATTCGGGACAAGTTCGGGTTCCGGACGTTGTTGAAGATCCGCATGCAGGACGACGGCGACATGATTACCATGGTTGATCAAGAGGATTTGGACCTGCTGATGAGCTCTGCGCGCGAGATGGCGCAGCGGGAGGGCAGTGAGTTGGGAAAGATGGAGGTATGTTATATTCTTTTAGTTGTTGGTGTCTACACTAGAACTGGACTAACGCGCAAGCATAGATCTGGGTTGAGGAGCGAGGCGTGATATGATTTGACGACTGACTGCATTGGTTGGCTTTGGCGTAGCGATCTGGTATACCCTTGTGTATGGAGTTGCCTGGGATTCACGATGATGATGATGATGATGACGATGAAGTCTATAATGAGCTAGACAAAGCAAGCATAAGCAAGCATACGCACTTACGATGTATACGAAGTAATCCACCTATACTTTCCAGACCGCTTGATTGTCCCGCAGAAGCAAAACAGACAAGGATTACCGTATAATGGATCCGTATAGACTGTAGCCTCGAACATATGCAGTATTTACTCGAGCTACTAACTAACCTACAAGCAGGTCAGAGAAATTGATGCCCCCGCTCATCCTCCTGCAACTTCCTCAACTTCGTCAGCATCTCCTCCCTCTGCCATCCCTCCACCAACCCTCTCCGAATCAGGTCCTGCTCACTCTCCGGCGCCATCCCACTCGGGGCAGGGGGTCTACGATCCAAATTCGTCGGAAAGGGATACCCTTCACCGAGGGCCCGCACAAACGCCTCCCACTTTAGCCCCAGCTGCTGCTGCTGCTGCTGCTGCTCCCGCTGTTGCGCCCCTCCCTCCACCCTGTCTTCAGCATCGAACCTCCTCCGCACCTCATCCCAGCAAGCCGCCACAACCGGCACGACATCGACCCTCTCCATCGTCTTCCCGAGCGCACTCCCAATTTGCAACAAATTCGCCTTCCTCTCGAAATTCCCTTCTGGCGGGGTCTGATTCGCACCCGCAGCATGCATAACCGCCGGGTTGAAGAACACCGCATCACCTTTTCTTAGTGGCAAAGCGACATATCTCTCCTCGAAGAAAGCCACGAACTCCGGCCGCCGCCAAGCGAGATACCCGTCCTCAGCTCGCTGACTGAAAGGCAGGAAGCGAGTGGGCCCGGAGTCCGGGGGCATATCAGAGTGAGCGATGGCGCCCTGTAGCGTCAGGAAGGCGCTCGCGCGGTGGAGAGCTCTAGGGAAGGCGGCGCAGGCGGCGTCGGGCTGGAAGCCGAGATGGTAGTCGCGGTGCGGGGCCTGGGCGGCGCCGCCGGGCTTGACAATGTTGACCTGTGCGGTCAGGCGGTAGGCGGGGCCTAGCCAGGATTCGGCGGCGAGGCGGATGTAGGGGTTGGAGTAGTAGTCGACAAAGGAGGATGGGTCGGCGAAGGCGTGCTTGCTGAAGCTGTTCCAGATGCGGGCGTTGTGGCCGGCACGGGCGAAGTGGTCGCCCTTTTTCAAGGGGGACTGGGCGGATTCGTGGTGGATGATGTGGGTGAAGGCTGCAGTGGTGGCGTCGAGAGTTGCGAGGTCGTGCTGACGAGAGGTGTTGAAGATCTGTTGCAGGACGAAGATGCCGGGGCCCTCGGACAGGATGTGGTGCCATTCGTTCTGGACGGCGGTGGTCTGGGATGCATTGTCAAGCGACAGTGTGTCGGTGCTGTAGATGGGGATGTTCTGGGTGATGGTCGTGGCGTGCGGGTACAAACTGCTGTCGGTGCTTTGAGAGCAAAAGCGCTCGAACTCCGGCAAGGAGGGGGAGTCAAGGGGGATGAGGCGGTTGGGAACACCCATGATGGTGGTTGGTCTCTTCGCGTGGTCTGTTGTTAGGTAATGATGTGGCTGTACAGACTGGTGATGGTTGCACCAGCGAAAAGCATGAATGAAGCCCTTCTTATATGTATCTGAAGCGGAGTTCAGATCCCGAATTGTCTCCCAGTCAAAATCTCCTTCAACAGGTCGACGAATCCCGACCGTATGCACCCCGTATTGATTCCCACGTGAACAGCGGAAACCTAATCCCGAGGCAAATTCATGCGGAACCTGACATGTATCCTGGTAGGTTATGCATTCTTCTCCAGAGTGGATCCCTCCCCACCCAACGACTATCAAGTATTACAAATATACAAGAGAAATCCAGGCCCCAAGCAAGACCCCCAGTAAAAGGCCAGCTGCGCCACGGATTTGACATATGTCAACCATTGCAGAGGACAAACATTGTGGGCGGAGGACATCAAGACAAATGACCAGATGCTGTTACCTCCTTCGCCATGAGAATAACACGGTCCGAGGACACATGATGACAACAGAAAATTGGGGTGAGTCAGTAGAGATGAAGAAGACAGAATCCAAAGGTCGTGCCAATAAGGTTATATTCAAAAAGACTCCCGGCCTGCGCTCAATTCTATATGTCCCAAGTCTTCGCCCCAAGAGAACAGCCCGATTGATTGTGAAGAATAAGGGGAGTATCAGTTATGCATTCATCATGACCACCCCAACATCGGGGCCTAGTGAAGAGTCGGTCGTTGCCAGCTCGTCCGTCTTGTTCGACTCCCGCAGGATCAGCTGGCTCTCCGACAGCGTCTCCACTAGCGAGCTCGGTCGTCCAGCGACAGTAAACAGTATCTTGAGCAGAACGCTCTGCGTCTCACCGCCACCTTCCGTGGGAGCGGTCTGGTGCCTTGTGTGAGTCAGGAGGATGCGGACCAGCGACCGAATGTGTTGATCAGTGGACGCATCTTGAATGGCATCCAGTCCATGAATCACACACACCATCAAAGGCGGGGCATAGTAGAGGAGTATGTCAATCAAGGAGAGCACTTCCTTCCAAGAAGTCAATGTGCCATTCAGGGGCTTGAACCGTTCGGCGCTCAAGTTGCACCCCGAATGGCTAATGATTACCGGTGGCAAGTATTCAATCAACTGACGGATCAAGCTGTAGGCCAGCGCAATCAACTGTTGCTCGTAGGTCACTTCGTTTGTGCCGTTGGCGGGTCGGGTGCAGAAATGCGAGATGACCGGCAGGCGGGCTTTTCTTGCGAGGCTGGCATAACACGTCGAAATAAGAAGGACGGGGCTGGGGAAAGCCGTGGTGGGCGACCCTCCTACGGCCAGCACTTGGGAATATGTATCGGTCGCCCACTGCTGTAACGAAGTCATCACGTTCTCCTCTGCGATCACCTCCACATCAGGGTCAAGCTCAGGCGTTTGGTCGTCGGCATCGAAGAAATTCTCTAGATGACTGGATGCAAGTTGCAGCTCCGCCCGCGTGTACTTGTGCTTTTGACTCCTCTCGCTCGCGGCAAATCTGTCCATGTCTTGCAAGGTGATTTCGTCAGCATTCCAAGCCGCTTGATTTTTCGCGTATACCTTTGTTGCCCTACCTATGTCCCTAGACGCTGTTGTTGTTAGGCAAGCGATACCAGTGTTTTGCTGGCTCACCGGGCGGATCTGATGGCCCACAGTGTCAAGCAACCGCGCCAGTAGCGCATCTCTGTCTCTCAAGAGTCGGCCGCGCTTGACCGCATCCTGCGCAATCTCCCAGACCAGGCGGCGGATGAAAGCGTTCTCCGCCTTGTTGCGTCGCTCCCTGCGCTGCAGGCCGAATTGGTCCAACCGGGCTTGTTCGAACAGACCCAACTCTCTGTCACAGGTTGTGTCGCTGGAGTCTTCTGTCTCATTGTCGTCCTCATCAATATCCATGAGATCAGCAATCCCACCCGCTATTTCCCTGGCGCTCTGCCGCAGGTGGCCCACAAGGTCGCGAAATGTGTGATAAACATTGTGATGGTGACTTTTCAGTGATCGGCATTTATATTGGCGCACAAACCAGTCCATGAACTCGCCGAGGAAGAAGAAGAAAAGCGCATAGAAATGTGCGATTGCGTTGATGGTGTCCTTTGAGCAGGATGTTAAGTCCGTCGTGATGGACAGGCACGAGGACCGATTGATCATAACCAGTGCTTTAATATATCCTTCCATGATCTTCGGATAATTCGCAGATGCCTAGGAGAGGGTTAGCCGCCTGAGGTTTCAGATGCATCCCACTCCGGAGCCGTATTACTTTGAGGGTTGATTCAAGGACACTGTAGAAGAGGGACAGGTATGCTTCGCTCTTCGGGAGGGCACTCAGAAGAATGTGGTGAGCGTGAAGAGTGGATCTCAGCTCGATGCAGTGATCACGGGCCACTCGCTGCCTCGGGCTGGACGTCCAGACCGGCTCGATACTGCTCAACAAGCTTAGGACATCGTCAGGTCCCTGAGCGCGTTCCGGAAAGTGGACCAGATCTGGTGGGGCGAGAGTCTCCTGGAGCTTTTTCCATGACAGGACAAGCTCATTGTATTCGATGTCGAGAATAGCAATCACTGGATTTCTAAATTGAATTGAGATTAGGCAAGGACCTCACAGTCTGAAAGTAGGAGTGAGCGCAGTGCTCCGCATTGGAGGGTGAGCACGGGCGGCTTCAATGAATAAGGGGGGAATGGAGACGGGTGTAGATCACCCGAGACGAAAAGAGAAAAACAAACTTGAGGCGGGGGGGGAAGGGATCCACGAGTGGTCTAGCCAGACAGGAACGGGAATAAGATGAATAAATTGGAAGGGACCGCCAGGACACCCGAACGGAGATGAATGACAATTGGGAGACTAAGAGAACAAAGTTGAACTCACGTCGACGGATGTCGCTTGTCGTAACGTTTCCTCCAAAGCGAAATCGCCTCCGCATCTGCGTCGATGGATTGAGGGGCCATGATGTGGCCCAAGTGGGGACTGTGAATGGTAGGCGGTCGGACGAGTTCTCTCTCGTCGACTGGATCAACGGGATCATGTCAAGGGGGGAGGAGAATCGGGGAGGGAAGGCGGAGGGAGAAACGGAGGGAGAAACGAGGGAAAAGGCACAGCAAAAGGTTAAATGTGATGCAAATGGTGGTCAACCATGTATTGGTGGCAGGACAGGGAGTAAGGGGAATGGAAGCGTAGGGACTCCTGATCGTTGTTCTCAGTTGCGTCTCTTGGGGAAGAGAGTGGAATAAGGACGGTAGTCGACTGGTGGGCTGATGGGCTGATGGTCGAATTGTTTATACCCTCATCTTGAATAATGTTTGAAGTTTCGGCGGGTGATCTCGCTCGGGGGATGTAAAGAAAAGGAAGAGACGACCGAGAGAGGGGGCAGAAGAAAGGTGTCAAAGGTGTCTCGCCGCAAAGGTTGGAGGAAGAAAAGGGAGAGAAATGGAGAGGAGAAGAAGAGGGAGAAAGACAGAGAAAAACCATCCCCAAAGGAAGCAGGAGAAGAAAATCTATTAGAGGAAACTAGAATAGTACCTGCTCCTCTTCCTCCTCTTCTGCTGCAGATGAAGTACGGAATACTTTACAGTACGATTGCCGGGCCTGATCAGATGAATCTCGTCTGATATTATAATTACCGCTTCAGTATTAATCGGTAATGTTATCAGAATTCTCCCATCTTTTCTCAGGTGGGTTATAGGTGCCAATTGTATATTGATGAGCAAATGGGGTTATCAATCGTTCTCAAGCCTCTGATCACTTTGGATAATATATTCTTGTCGCTGCGCGGGACAGATTGTTCTTCGAACATCACGGGACAGACAAAGAAATTGAGTTCACATTAATCGCCTTTTTGACTTCTTTCCCCTCGAATTGAGGAGAGGTGGGGGGGGAGAGTTCTGTGTACAGTTGTAATCTTATGCATTATCTAGGATTGCGACTTTGACCTTCACCTCTATTTGGTGGGCCCCTTTACAGGCCGCAAAAGGGATATTGTGGGTAGTTCTTTTGGCAAGCACAGAGACAGACAGACAGAGGGACAGTAGAGACACTACAATATATCGAAGCCGTACTTCCGATGACTTCTCTGTGCCCCGTGTGAACATCTGACCGGGGGACCTCGAGCTATCATTGCTGGATTGGGCAATAGGCGCTTCAGTCGATGAGAGCCTCGGCCTCGTCGGCAGCGCAAAACTGACATCGAATAGAACGAACAGAACTTTCCCCCCTCTCCTCCAGCAGGGAAAAGCTGGTACGCCTCCCTGGTTTCTCTGAACCAATAACGCGCCACCCGCGTGTTCGAGGCCTTCCAGCAGGTGGAAGCGGAAGCCGACTTGCGCGGGAGACAATGGAAGGGTAGTATTTCCAGCCTAGACCCTGGTGGGAGGCTAAGTCATTGTCCACATCTCTTGAGTGCTGAGTGGTGATCCAAGACTCCGATCAAGGAAGATAGGTAACTCTTCGTCGCAAAAAGTCCAGTGGCTCACTTCATCCCAAGCAATGCGACCAAGTCATTTCAAGGAGGCCGACTGGCTAAATGAGCTGGATTGACCGATGCTGGTCGTATGCATGCATTGGATCAAACATTTTTGGATTTTACCCCCTATGGGAGGAGAAGGAGCGAGGAACAATCAATTCAAAATGAGCTTAATCTGCTTGGATTGACCCGGGTTAATTCTGCCTAAATCCGCTCTTCTGTCCAGTGTCCACGACAGACAGTCATCTGTGTTTTGTTCGCCCATCTGACACCGTCACCAGAGCCTTCATACAGAGAAAGTGAGATACTATATCATTTTGCACTTCCTTATCAACCACTGCCGGGGGTCATCGGCAAAATGACAACCGTGTCTGCAATCCCGAGACAATTTGTGACCTACGACGATATTCAAAGTGTGGACGTAAAGGGAAGGCCAATCCATCCTTGTCAACCTCTTTCTATCGACCAGCCTACTGCTCCTGTACCTTTCTGTACCCATGTAGGCCAGTCGATCTTCCTGAAGTCGTGACAAGAAAAAGAAAATGCCTGAGACAAAAACAAATAAACAAAGAGGGATTGATGATGGTTGTGGTGGTGCTGCATCATGGATCATGGATCCCGTCGACCCGACCGCAAAAAGAAAACAACTCTCCCAGCAACTCGGGTCGTTCATGAGCTGGTAACTGGCTCAGTCTGTCAGAAGAACAATATTATAGTAACCATCATTAATCTGAGAACCAACGAAGCTCAGCTTCACCATGTTTGGCAATTCAGACGATGGAGGTGACGACAAGGGGGTTCAGTCAGCACGGAGAGAGCAAAGGAGAGAAAGAGAGATATTGGGGACGGAAACAAACACACGGACCAAGTGTTGCTGTCACGGGCCCACGCCGCGGTGAAAGGTGAAGGTCGAGACCTAGCTCCATCCGCCAATCCCAACGCTTCTTTCTCCCTTCCCCCTCCCTTCTTCCTCCTCTTCCTTCTCCTCCACTCTAACATCGCTTCACCCAGAGTGACCACACATTCTACTGAGTATCCGGACTAGACAACGGTTCACTCAGATGCATGCCATCTAAGCCACAGCTTTCTTCGGCAATACGGTAATATGGCAGTGCGGCAGTGCGGCATCTACCCTCTTTGGCACTCTTTTCTCACCTCTTTCAAGATACACCTACGCCTTGGATAAGCGCTGTTGGGATGTTTAATATTGCCTCCGCAGACCAAAAGTCCCGCCGGGGCTCGATCGCCCTTACCACCGCACGTCTTATCCTCCTTCCCCCTTATATGTGCAGCCGCATATAGTATATCTGTCAGTGCGCACTGTTGCATTTTGGGGCTGGCGCACATGCGCTCACTTAGGCAGTCCATTCCACCGACCAGATAACATGCTACGATGCCGGAACTTGGTAATTTGCGCTAGCTTCCTAGCTATAGGTTTATCAGAATGGCGAACTCTGGGGGGCATGGATGTGATACAACATCTCTCAGTGATGAGGCACGACAGATTCGGCTCGCCCAGCCTATAAGTGTCTAAAAGGCCTTGGCACATCAAAAGATTCCCCTGGTAAAGGTCGACCTGTCAGTTTCGTGCGCATGCAGCAGGATCTTTAGACACATCTTCACCATTTGCCTAGCTGGGCTGTGTACCAGATTTGGTATCAACGTAGACCGTGGGTATAACTCTTGGTCCAGACGACCCGTCCATTCAGATGTAAGTTACTGCAGCCGAATCAGCTCATCAGATAAATCTCTCGAGGCTCCAGCTCATGCAGCAAGAACTCTCCACACATGATTATAAGTACTGGGCTGGGACCTTAACAACTACCGGTACGTATGGGGAGCACGCTGATCATCCCAGCAGATGAATTGGGTAATCCCAAGACAACCAACCCGTATCAGGCGCAACCCTGGGTTGCATTCGACACATCACACTTAACTAACCACTTCATCCTTAGGCAGCAGCGGACACAACCTAGGTGAGTTCACCTTGGATACTCCGTACAGATGTGCGATACTGCTTCAGCGCGAATTCCATCGAAGCAGCCAGCCTCGCTTCCATCTCACCCTCTGCGCCTTTGTGATCGCCCGGAACCATCCTAACAATATGCAACCAGGATGTCAAACTTAGACTGCAGGCGAACATCAATGTCAGCTGCAAAGCATCTTACAGGTGGTAACACACATCACACTGCGGTCTTTGTCGCCCCGTAGCATTGAAAGCGAATCAGTGGCAAGTGCTGCGCTGCGGTCTAGCCAGCCAGTCCGCCCAGCCAGGTCAACCAGCTGCTTCCTGAATCATGGAGGTTCTGCTGCGGCCGCCGTGGCCTTCAGTGTCATGTCCGAAAGTCCGTATGGTATGGAGTCAGAAGACACGTATTGTGGTTCTCCTCCCAATTGATACCGCACAATTGACAGGCAGACGTGCGCCCCGTGTCCTGTGCCCTGTCTGTTCATCCCCAGCTGGGTATCGCTCTGCAGGGGGACAACGGAAAAGCTCCCCTCGTTTTATTCCAAACCGCCACTGCAACCTCTCGCATCGGATCGAGAAATCCCCGAGACGTCCCAGTGAAGTGGCAATCGCCTTGTTGTCGTCTTCCCCTTTCTAAAGTGCGAATCCCTGCTCAGACCTCCGCTAGTCCTTGGATTGGCCTTTCTCTTCTTTGCTTTTTCCTACTTTGGAGTAGCTTGTGATGCACTTTTGCGCGCGGAATTCGGAGTACTTTGGTGGAGAGAAAGCGGGGGAACGGGGTTAGTCTTAGTCTTCGCAACTATGTATAGCCACCGCTGTTCCTGTCCCGATAAACCACTGGTCCAGGAGGAGATTACAGTACTCAACCGTTGCGATTAACGCAGGTCAATGCCAATATGAATGGGAACCATCGATGCCTCGACCCGGCCCTAGCCTCGGTCTGCTAAGCTTCGGGTTTGTCGGGAAAGGAGCTTGAGTCCGATGCTAGGTAGGGTGAAGCGGCATGAGAAAGGGAGGCAGGCGTGGAGCTCCTGCGGCCTAGATGACTTTCTATCTCCGTCGTTTGGGGGCCGAGGGACTAATTGACAGACGCAGTCCCCAACCACCACCCCTTCCGCTGGTTAAGCTACAGACAACAGAGCCCCGGTCTGTTTCGGGTGCGAGATCGATTATGACTTAGTGCGAGGGTAGATGGTTGCACAAAATCCCAAACCAGAACAGCATAACTCAGTGAGTGTGGGCTTTTATGCACAGTACTTCGTACGACGCCCTTTGTCTGGACCTTTCTACCAACTTGACTGGCCCTCTCTCTGCCGGTACTCCCTCTCTTCCTTCTCCACAACAGAATGATAAGCATGCTCCGACCTCGGAGGTCAAGAGGGGGAAGTGATCGGTCGGGCACGCGCTCTCCACCTGGAAGGATGGAAGAGGAAGCGTAAAGTCACCGGCGATGTGTACCGATGCAACTGCAAGGACACACAGAGAGAGAGAGAGAAGAAAAAAGAGCACATGACGGTCACGCGTCGCGGCAGACCTTCCTCAATGGGGAGCCCGCCTTTCATGATGGAATTCAGGGAAGGCAATCTTCCCGAGGGTCTGTCCAGGAAGATTAGTCAGCCTCTTCTGGACAGCCCGGAGTTTTAGATTGAGTGTACGGAGTACAGGAACAGATTTTAATGTTAAATAATGTTAAATCAAAGCCTCCTCAATTACTTCGAGCCAATGATGGATCGATTCTGCCCATGTAGGGTCGAAGGCCAGAGAGGAGAAACAATAAATAGTAATCAAATTTGACTGGATGACGCGAGACCACGTTGAAATATTCGGGGTTGGGGGAGAAGAGGGAGAAGAAGGTCCCAGCCAGAAAAAGCAAAACAAAAAGCAAACAATCCTTCCGAGGTCCATGCGCCCAGCGAATGTTGTTGCTTTTGGGGATTGGCGGTGTTGATTGTGGTCGTGAAATGATTACGTGTGTGCAAAGTACGGAATACTGTACGGGTCGTGTCGCTTTGTTGTCTATCGTATACTCTGTACTGGACGCTGGTTGAGATAGAAGCGAGTTTCTTCCACATGATGCAGTACGATCAGATCGGCTTGACAGTGGGCGGGCGATGAAAGACTTGGGTGAGGGAGGGGATCTCTGTAGGGCCGTCCACAATAAATACACAGTCGCTGCAGTCTATCTGGCCTTTAATGGAATTTCATTTTCTTTGCTATCCACTGAGACTGCATTGCCCGGATTGGATTCAATGGACTGGCGGGAGGGGCTTTTAGAGTCTATCGGTTGCCAAAACTAGAAAATGAGGGGAGGGAAAAGGCCTCAGAAACTTCCCCCAAAGAGTGGGAAAATGAAGAGAGGATCGGCGGGTGAGCCAAGCTCTGCCATCCCCGCACCCTCAGTTCAGTTGCCCAGTGCACCTTTTCTCGGTCGTTCGATTAGTTACTGCTTCTGCTTCTGCTCTGGCTTTGGCCGCGATTTCATCTCAGGGAGTTCATGTCCGGACCATGGAAGGGGAACGACTGTGAACTCATAGGACCAGAATGACCGGTGAAGAAATCCAATTGCTCCAGGCCTGGACTGAAACGATCTCGACCGAGAGGAAGTGAGCAGAAAATGCCCCGTCAGCCAGTCAATCTTGGCTTATCTTATCCCGGGTTATGCGGGTCCACTGGGTTCCGGCTATCATGGACTGAAATCAGTCTCCAGCAATCAGATTGTTTCTGATCCTGCTCCGTATTGCCCTGCCTCTTCTTCCTTCAGTCTGAAAGGACGGAAGCGATCGTGTCGTCCATCATCTGTTCATCATGCATCACCTGCTTCTTATGCCGACTGTAATGGTAGGGTCGATCCACGGCACCGACGCGGGCGCGGCTCAGGCAGTGGAGGAACAAGTCTTTGGTTCGTATTGCGATGATTCATCATCCGCAGTTCAATGGGGCACTGCCAGTAAATAGATCAGACTGATGGTGATGATGGGGATGGTGATTGGGAATGAGTTCTTCTACTAAGGCACTTGTAGTTTGTCTCCAATATAATTACTATTGTCAGCCTGACTGATTGACGATTTCCCTGACCAACAACCACCGGAAGTGTACGGCTGTCCGTCGTCGTCAGTTGTCCGGCGCAGAACGAAGGGCGATAGGAACCAATCGCAGCCCCAGCCTGTCTTCCATCGGTTCCAGCATCAACCATCAACTCAAAACTTACGAGTACTTCTTACTTTGCGTTATTGTTTCCACCTTAAACCCGCAGCATCCATCGAGTTGCTATTCTCATCGCTGATTTCCTTCCCTCCCCCCCACCTCCCTCCCGCCCCCTCCCCCCCCCAATCTCTAGTCCTCAATTCCTCCTCGCCCGACTTCGGGCTTGATTCTAGTCTCTCCTGTTTCAATTCCATGGGTAACTAGTGATCCCAGCTCACTATTTTCCCTCACTTCTCCCCCTCTCTCAGCCTCTCCTTCACTCTGTACCAGTACCTGCTCGCTTGTGCAATATTCACCCACCCTCTTGTTCCTCCAACCCTCCCAACACCAGCTGTAGCCGCCGACGATCAAACCGAATCTGCACGGAGTGATATCACCTCGGTGGTGTCAGCGGTACCTGTTCGGACCCTGAAGCCTTGACGCCCCGGTGTTTATTCTCCTGTGATCACCATCATCATCATCATCACTTATTCATTGCCCCGTGGCTGATGATCGCCGGCTATCCACACCACCCCC